GGGTACTTGGATCAAAAGTGCTACAGTGAACATTTTATGGAAATAAATGGGATAATTAACCCATTTAATAGTTCTGATGATTTATCTATCCATGACGCCAAGAAAGCACTTGAAAACCCGTCAAAACAACACGATTTAAATCTTATTTATACAAATTTTTCTGAAAGACCAGAACTAATTACAAGTCTAAAGCAAGAAATTTACTACTACACAATTCATTAAAAGTCATGAAGAAATTATGACAACAGCATCTGAACTGCCTGACGTGTTTTCAGAAAATATCTGGACAGAAAATACTTGATTACTGAACAAAAATTCTGGCTATGATTCCCTAAGTATGATCGACGCTTACATTAATGGCACAAATACTGCAGTGCCCAATACAATAACGAGTAATATGGCTTTTAAATTTAAAGACTGTCCTGTGATATTGAACGGTCGTTTTCTGCATTTAAACTTATTTTGGACGACAAGCGCCATAGTTTTACAATGGACCATTAAATTACTCCAACAACATCTAGTAATATACTGCAACGAGAACTATAATTCTCAATAAATATTTAAAATATAATAATTATGTATAATACGTAAATTATAATAATTTTTTTAAATAAATATTCAAATTTTTAGTGCATATTTTAACATAATCTATGCATATTTCAGTATTTTATGCTGTATATTTAATACAATGTATACATATAATAGAGTTATTTTACTGCATATAATCCGCAGTCTAATTATTTTATTGAACCTGTGGTACTCAAAATTGAAAATATATAAGTAGGAGGTTTTTAAATATTTTTGTTTCAATGTTTAATAGGTTTTATATTTTATTGTTTTTTATTCAGTTTTTATTTACTTTTTGTCATGTAGCCATGTAAGTATAACTGAATTTCGCTCAAAATTTTATTTCATTAACGATGGTTTATTATGGTTTACAGTTATAAATTATAAATATCTAACTTATTATATATCTTACCTTCCCACCTATAACAGCGCTACCATGGGCGGTTATAGGCCAATTTCAGCCTACCGGGAAATTTAAAAAATGGCCCCTATATGAAAAAAATACTGATAACCTTTGTTTTGCTTATTGGCCTCATAACATAAACTGATCCCTATTGTTTGAAAATCCTTTGCTGTGCATTAGTACGTTCTATTGTTGAATATAGCTCAGTAGTTTGAAACCCTTCTCAAATTGGGCTATATTATAAGTTGGACAAATTACAAAGACGTTTACTCCGTTTATTATCTTTTAAATTTGGTACGGCAGACTATCCTTTAAATTTAATTGAGAAAAAAATTGGTTTAACAACATTAAAGGTCTTTAGATCTTAGAGGATACATATGGTAAATACTCGTAATATTCTTCCCCTCTTCATATACACTCATACTCTAGATACTATCAATTAAATGATCCATTAATCCGATTGTTGAGATCATGTAATAGTATACCTAATTTTGATTTCTGTTTTGACTTTGTAAAAAAATTGAAATCGTATTTATTTACTATTTATTATTTAATGGTATTCATATTTAATCACTATTACTGTTATTGCACTTATAATCTATTATTAACATATTTGTATTTTGTATAATATTCATTTCACTAAGATTTGTATCATTTATAGTCACATGTAAATGTTTATTAATTATCTCTAGGTACTTTTACCCATTGTGGGATGTTATATATTTTAAATAAATAAAATAATACTTTTCTATAATATATACAATGGAGGAGTGCGGCGGAGTGTTTTATGAATAAATTAATGGGTGGATGGATGGATCAAATAATTTCACAAGACTGAATAAATTGAATTGATGCGATGGTTGTTATAATAGCATATTATTATTATTATGTATTATATTCGTTTTCATATTTTATGATTTTACGCGGTTGATGTTTGCCTTTAAAAATGGAATTAAATAACTCTAACAAAAAATATCCTTAACTATATAGTGTAATATGACATTATATCGGACACCTTCTACAATATATATTTAAGAATTATATACTTTTTTCCACGATTTTTTTTTTTCCTATAGAGTAGGTACGACTTTTTTCCCTATAGATTACTGCGCGTAAACCGTCATAATCGATCCGGCGGCAACGGAAACTTTAAATTTTACACACCGGTGGCGGACAGAAACTGTGGGGGTAGTAATGCGCGCGAAACAATTCACGCGATCGCAGGTGCAGGACTCGCCGAATTCCATTATGTACGTCGCCCGAGCCCGAATCCGCAGACGGGACCCCGTTTATACGGAGTTTTATTTATACTCGTCCCGCCGCGGTGGCGTTATTTTATTATAACGTCGCGGCGACCGTGTCTGTTGGCGTGGGCGTTTTATATAATAATAATATATACATGTATACGAGAGGGCGATGAAATAGAAGGAAAAAGGCGAATAAAAAATATAAAAAAGGAAAAAAAAAAGAAAATGCAATTCAAAAGAAATCTGTCAGTATAGCGTATGGGTACACTGCGCTAGTACTATTACATTATTGTTATTGTACTGGCCGAATAAGATTCTCAACTCTGTTTGCTGCAATAATATACGTACGACCGATCAAGCAAAACCGATTGCATTTAACGGTCCGACGACCAAACTGCCCCTGATGTACTTCATCTACTACTCTGTATACTCGCTATATATTTTCAATCGAATAACCGATATATTGGAACCACTGTTCAAATAATTACACGGTCGTCGTATCGTTTTTCTATCGCGAAGTCAATGTTCATCAGGGCCGTGTTAAAGGGGGAGGAGAAAATGAGGGCAATTGCCCCAGAGCGTCAAACCTTTTCAAAACTACGGGGCACCCGGCTCAATGTAAAACTTGAAATACAATTAATAATATCACAATAATTATTGTATCACTTGTAATTTTTTTATTTTTAAACGCTTTTCTTAGAGTAATAATGAATGAATGTTAATTGATAATTAGATGGACTTAAGTGCAATATAGTAACGTAACATGTGAGAAACTAGATAAAAATTCAGTAATAAGGAAGAATCTTATCAAAGGTAAAAATGTTGAAATTTTGAATACGAATTTAGTACAATTATTAAACAAAAACAACAAATTTGAAGGGGATTAACTCCTAAATCGTCTTCGGGTACAATTTTAATAGGGGGCGTTTAAAAATTAATGCACCTTAAAGTGTAAAGTGTGTGTTAAGCCAAATGGCTTAACAGGGTTCTGATATTCGTTCTATATAATAATAGATAAATTAGATTCATTATTCGCGGATACCTAATCTTTTGATCAAAGAATAAATATACAAATAAATAAAAATCATAAGTTAATACATAATTTTGCTAATGTTTTGAAAGTCTCGCCTACCACTTGCAAAACGAGACTATATCCTAAGTTGTCGTTCTCCTCAATAATGGTTTACGATTATGCAATAAAAGGTTTACATGTCGCATTGCCGTTTAACATAATAAATGTTAAACCTTTTGTTTCTTCTTTTTTAGCCGGGCATGCACCGCTTACGTATAGCTTGGCCTGAAAATACGCCACTGGTATATACTTGTCGATTAAATGTTATTCGAATGAAAACAAATAGCAAAAAAAGTAGGTAACTTATCGTTACATAAATTTTATATTTTAGAACCGTATTATTTTAAAAAAGTAAACTGATCAGAAAATGCATTTGCTATCTTATGTCTTTCAAATTTACGACACAGCATATTTACATTCAGCAGAACCAATTTTGGGTTGTTCATTTTAATATTGGAATGAATTGTCCTATACGGGCTATAATCAAAGTGAAAGGTAATAAATTGTGGTATTTCACACACGCATATTATCTCGCTTAAAAATAAAAATTACGAACAAACAACAACATACAAACATTGAAACACAGATAATGTTCTTATCTTTAAATTGTATAATAGGTCAATTCACTCTAATATTGAAATTAATAGCCTAAAATTAGTTCTGCTGAACGCAAATCTGCTATTTAGTGCGTTTGTAAGGCGGAAACAACAAATACTAGGTATATGTGTATTGTTTTTTATGTTCAGACAGTAAATTTGTAATGAAATAATAAAGTAAAAACAAAATTATTTAAATGGTTAATACTCGTAAATAAAAAATATATTTAAAAAAATAAAATAAATAAATGAATCTATGCGTCGCCTGGAGTATTATGATGAGTGTATTATACGACCGGTTTCGAATTAAAAATTCATTATCAAGTATATCACAGTCGTGGATGAAATTATGAAAAATAAAAGTTTTATTTTAAAAGTTTACGTATTTATTGGACATAAAACTTATTTTTTTTTATTTTTTTTTTTTGTTAACAGCCCAAGGGCTGGTTGGCAGCAATTCTCCACTCCTGACGCTTCTCCGCTTTCCTTTTTAATTCGTAATAATATCTGCAGTCCATATAAAACGTATAATAATATTAAAATCAATCATGACGTCAGTATATTATTTGTCAAAGTTTATATTATTATGTACAGTTATATATAGATAAGTCGTTCACGCGTATATCTAATATAAATACAAAAAACAAAAAAAATTCTTATTACAATATATTAAAATTAGGTACTTATATATTATACTATGAATGATATTTAAACTAGTCAAACTAATGTTATTATTTATATTTTAAGCTGAACCTTATAAAATATAAATATTTGTATTGCACCTATACGGCCCATAGTTAAACTACATACATATACTTATAATAGTATTAATTCTAAAAATATTTTTTCTGGAAATGTCCCAAAATGATAAGTATATATAGTAGAGCATGCCCCTACTTATTACCTATTTATAAATTATTTAACAGCATATTATAAGTAATAGAGTAATAATATACTTATAGGTAAGTTTTACTTCATAAGTACTTCTCAAATGAGTTAATAATAATGATTTACACTTAAGAATAAATATAACACCTTAATAAAAAATAAATTATATACAAATTATAATATTGTAATAGGTATATATATATATTTATTGTTATTAAGTACAACATCGGTGTATGAAAGATAAAATTAAGTTGTAACAATATAATTATAATTTACTCCTATTATATACAGAGAAATGCAAATAAATTATTTAAATTAAATCGCAGCTACAGTAGGTGTATATTGTGTTTACAATTTTTTTTTAATTATTGGGAGATTTTTAGAAAATTATTGCTAGGCAATTATATAATAGCAAACTATCTTTTATCGACAACAGTTTATTTTACAATTTTAAATAATTGCGTATTTAACGTTTGTATACACAACCATAATATTATTATACCTGTGTTCTATATAAAAAGCAAACCACCTACGCCTCCAAAAATTGATTTAAATACATGATATAACAAATCGCTAGCCTCAATATTTCGATTTTCGATAGCTTTTTATCGGGTGGTATAGTAGGCAAGAGTTTACGTAGTTCACCGAACGCAACGTTGAATGCTTCGACTCTGACCCGTTCGCGAGTAGCGTGCGCCATCCTATATTTTTGGGTCGCCCGTCGTCTTCTCCGCCGTTCTTCCCGGGTTAGTGTTGCCATCCCGGGAACTATGTTTTTTTCGCGACTATATTGAAAACATGGAATTGCATTATGGTTTGATAAGCGTATCTATCATGTCCGCGTTAAATAGATAAAATATTAGATAAGCCGGATGATGGATGGAAGCCTATAGGGCAAAGAAAAAAGAGTTGAAATCGACAAGACGCGAGATATTGGTACAGAAAAGACGAATTTGATTATATAGCTGCACTATAATTGATTGAAACGTTGTCCGATTGTTATTATTGGCGGAAATTCGGACTACGTATGTAGTAATAAAATTTAATGCCGAGTTTACACGAAGATAGTACTCGACCGAGTTACTAAAGCAACTCGGCAACTTTTTTTTGCTTGAGAAATGTAGACATATTATTTATTAATAATACCAGTATAGATTCTAGTAAAGATTTAAGTCGAATAACTAAAAAATAACTAGTTTTTGACCTAGTGGACATTTCCCCTAGCACTCGCTTATCTACTAATCCAATATAGACACCACTGTCGCCTAAAATTGTAGATGAAACAGCCCGCTTAAATACATCATTAGAATGAATAACTTGTTATTTTATTATACCGTGTATAGTAAACTAGTAACTAGATGCAATTTAGTAATCGACTTAGAAACTTGCTTTATTTACTCGGCTAAGTAGTATTTTAATTCCTAGTGTAAACGCAATTTAATAGTTCTCATATACAATATTGCGAAAAGATAATCATATTTTAAGTATATCTTATAATCGGATTGTCGCGGGTTACCGTCACAGCCGCCAGTGACAAGTGACTGTTCGATAGTTGTTGACTACCAGAATATTCGATAGTGAAAAATCTATTCAATAGTCGAAAAACTGTATAACATAATCAGGAATTATTCGATAATCGAAAAATCGGAAAAACTATTTGATAGTTCGAATTATTCGGTCATCGGTCATGTATAAACAATAATCTATTCGAACTATTCGTTAGTTTATATTCGGTAGTGCCTATCACTACTAGTCATTAATGTTATTACTTATTATTATAAATTATCAGGGTGGATATGAGCATGCGAAGGAGTAAATAAGGAGATTGTGATTGATAAAGGGAGATGTGGACAAAGAAGAAGATTAAAATATTATGTCAGTAAACATTTTATTTACACACCTCTTTTTGGACAGTGTACCGTGATGCCCGTCCGCGGCTGAGTCAGGGAGGGTGGAATCTGCCATAGAGTACATACCACATGGCAAAAAGTCCATCTGAAAACAATATATTTAATAAATCTAATGAAAAATTAAAAACGAGTGGATATTGGGAATGGGTGCAGCTACTGTTGTAGGTGGAAAGTCGAGAAGGTTTGATACTTAAAGTTATTTAATTTATATCTGCACGGAAAGCTAAACCATTGCTAACGAAAAACGATTCGGAGCAAAGTTAGGTAAAACATATTTTGAAATTCCGTAATTTTTACAAAATAAAAAAAAAAAATTAAGGTATTAAACGCAAATTTGGTTTTTAAATCACTAAGGACAACTGATAATGTAGCTTATGTTAAATTTTCAAGAATTTCTCTTAAGTCATATAATTTTAATAACAAATACCTATAGAATAAAAATACACATAAACACAATAAAATATCAAATACTAATAAATTGTCTAAAAATAGTTAGAATGTTTTAACAATTTTACCAAGACTATAAAAAGGTTATTATAAATATTTTCTGAAAACTACAGATCTTAATAAAAATTTTTGACTCAATAACATCAAAAAACCCAATGTCATATTTCCGACGTTTTTTCCCGGTTTTCCGTAGTTATTAGAAGAAATTCGGAAAATCGAACAACGACTTTCTTCCTTTCGGAAGATATGCTATTCTTTAAATTTGGACAAAGATTTCTGGTAGAAAAATATAATCTTAAAAATTGTAAGTCCCAAGAATCCCCCACACAAAAATATTTTGAAAATGTTAAACTTAGAATTTCTAAAACACGCTGAAATATTACCAATAGAAAATTTCTTTTTAAATTAATAAATAACGAGATTAACGATTCATTTCTACTTGATCAATGGAGAAGTGTTTTTATGGAATGAGTTATTTACCCTTTGAATAAGTTTCAAATGGATTTTGTGAACTTATGTCGATATAACATAGTGTAAAAGTTAGTGCCTACTATTTCTATATTTTTCGGTTATATTTTAGAAAATTACATTGATTTAGACAGCGATTTTCCCAAAATGATGGGCCAGTAAATCTACTGATAATCCTAAATAATTGACAAAATTATTGAAATTCAAAGTGAAACTAATTTAAATATTAATCCAATAAACAATAAAATTATCAAATTTTAAAGAAAAGGGTTAATAAATAACGAGGTAATATAATAAAATATTTGGAAATGATATAAAAATAAAACTATTGATCGTTTAAGTACATTAAAAAAATCGGACTTAAATGACACTAATCAAAATTAGTATAATACATTTTAACTAATTTAATAGTATTTAACATGAGTAGTAATAAACTACTATTTCTGCTCACTAATAGACAATTGTATAATTAAATTATATTTATTCCAATTTTACCAACGATTTTAATCACATATAAAACCAAATAAAAATAAAAAAAAGCTTGACAATTTTAAAGTCCTAATAGTAGCTTAAAATTTGTCAGAATATTTTTTAAATATTATCATGTCCAAAAAAGACCAATAAAAGTATTCTGAGAAAATTTCAAGTCTCGAAGATTATTTTTAATCAAATTAAGGAAGAAAAAAAAACATAATCGAAAATACTGAAACCATTATATCCGTAAATTCTTCCGTTTTTCATCCGTTTTTACCGATTACTATTTGAAATTGAAAGGAAAATCAAAAAAATCTCCCTAATGCAGCAACTAAATACAAATTGTGTTTCAGAAAAAATGCTATATCTAAAAAACATAACAGTAGTTTTGATAAAAAGTTGTTTTCAGAAAGGAAAAAAAACTCACATCATAGTAAAACTAATAAGTAATAAATTTAAAGAGGTCAGTTTTTTATTTTTGGAGGAGCTCTCATCAAATGAAAAAACCAGAAAACACAGGATGTAAGTATTAGTTCAAAAAAATGTCGGCCTTTTTTTCCTGTGAACAACTTTTCTATCAGCAATTTGGCTCGGATTTACAATAAAAGTACTTTTTTTGAAAGGAAATCTGATTTGAAAGGTATTTTTAAAGACTATTTTTCGATTTTCCCAAAAGTTTTCCCAGCAAATGACAAAAAACTAAGAAAAACGTGGGAAAAACATATGAAAAATGGAAAAATCGGTACAATATGAAATAAATATTATTAAAAAATAGTGTCTTTTTTATAATTTTACCATAACATGACACATGTATTGTTGACTATCCGCTCAGAATTGTTTTTTTGTTTGCAATAGTTTATCATTACTTACAGAAATACATTCAATTTAATTCTGTATCCTATCTTCCCAACATTCATCCTACTACGTAGTATCCACGTGCGAAGTATATCCGTATTTATTATGATAAAAGTATTTAGTTGTGTAAATTAAAAATTGAAACTATACTTCTATAGATTTTTTAATTTATGCTGTCGTGATATAAATTTTAAACACTATAATGACGGATAACAAGAATAAGTGTCTATAAATATTGAAAGTTTAGAAAAACGATTTTGTATAGTGTTAAAAAAAATACAGTGTTTGACGCTCTCGTTTGAGAAATTGCTTCACGATATTCTTTCAGTTTTTACGATTTTTAATGCATGAAAATCATTGAAGTTCCCAAAAATTAAATTTTAAACTTTTGTAGTTCGTTAAAAAACGGTCGTTGTTAGTGTATCCGATATGTGTGCTTATTGTGTGTATTGTTTATTTTCAATTTGCTTAAGTTTAAGCAGTACATTTTGAAATGTAATTAAAGAAATTAACGTTGAGAAATCTTGGCTGTGTACTGAATTGCTACTATTTTTATGGTGGTGTACAGAATAAGGACGCGTTGTTGAAAATTTTGCAACTAAAAATAATAACAAATTTTTTAAATCCTTTATAGATAATCACTGGTTTCTGATAAAAGAAACATTATGTATGTATTATAAATAAATATGCACATGCCATTTTGTATGCTGGGTATATCGATTTTTGTGGCTATAGGCTTTTGCTTAATACATATTTCATAAATAATTTAACACGTCTCCGGAAAACGTGACGATGGATTTGATTATAATATTGATATTAATGTGATATTGATGCGTGTAAGCAGATGATGTTTCACTGTGTTTTTTTATACTATTATTATTTTTGATATTGGTGACACGTTTTCGGCCTTTCGTCATCTCCCCGGGGAAGTAAAAACCACCACCGGCCAGACACGTGCCGAACAACCGAACAAAACACAGCCTTTATTGGATGATAAAATATGTATGTTTGTTGGGATGACTTGATTACGTGTTATAGCCGTTATAGCTGGGTCCAATACCAATAACAATAACGAGTCACAACTGTAACAAGAGTTCACAGAGAAAACTTGGAATGTTGAAACGAAAAATACTCAATTGTGTATAACGTTATGCATTTGTATTGCATTATAAAAATACTACATCAATACCGTATGATGCAATCTAATAACAATCACATTTAGATTACATGTATATAAATATATAATGGGGTATTTGTACCATAATACCCGAGGGCGTCGACTTTGCAATAAATCATTAAATTATTTATAGAAAAAAAAAGATTTTCGTGCTCCCTAATTTCGTAAATTGCAGGTTTTTTTTCAGTTTCTACATGGAGCGATAAGTTGTTGAAAAAATGTTATGAAACAAAAAAATATATAATAAAAATACTGACATTTTGATGAAATTATGAAAGATTAAAACTATGTAAAAGTTCTTCAAAAAAAAATCGTAAATTATATACATTCCATACAATTTATTAATAGACAAAAATATAAAATTATTTTTTTCCTTTCAATTTCTTTCTCCGTACCAAAAATATTCTATAATAAAAATATATTTAAACTATACATTTTTGGTCTCAGCCAGTGCTCGAATTGGGAAAAAGATTAAAACAGAAACCATTGTTTTATCGTTCCTCAAAATCCCTACATAGGGAAATAAATTAAGTAATTAATTTCACAACAAAAACAAATGTACAAATTATTTTGCTAACAACAACATTATTAGAATCTCTATTGAATTTACCATGTTAATAAAAGAAATAATAATAATAATAAAACAAACATAATTTTAGGGTAGTCTCTAGCTTTAGTAGGGGTCTAGAAAAAGTAGTTGACAATATACCGACAAATTCCTTATCTATGGGACGTCTGGAATTCTGGACATAGGTTTATACTGAAGGTTTTTTTTATATTATTTCACTAGATCCAGATCTAGATTGATCTGGATCAATAAGCGAATTCGAATTTCGGATAACAATAAAAAACCACTGTGTTGTACAAATAAAGACAGTGTCAACGAAAGTGTTCCTGGGTATAATTAAATGCTTTAAAATCTAAGTATGAAAAAACAAAAGAGAAAAAAATTGAACACTGGTCCCTACAGGGAAGAAAAACTTAAGTTAATTTTGTAGTTTTCAATACAAGTAAATTAAATTTTGTACGTATATACGTATGCCATTTAGACCGACAAATAAAGGGGAAAAAATTCCAACAATTGACTAAACCCCTTTTTCATTGGGACCAGATATAACAATTTATGAAGTGAAAGAATATGGTGAATGCATTTTTAGCCAATTATAAATGATTAACAAGTTAAAATGAAATAAAATAACATATTTAATAAATTTAGATAAGTATATTGTAATTAAAATATTATTTTAATGTATACCTTAACTAAACAAACAAATAATGGACTAAAAAATGTGAAAGTTTACTCAATAGCATAATTTATAATTATAATTAAACTCACATTTAGATATTCGTTTATAATAATATTCTTTAATCATTAATTTTGATAATTACTCTATAAATTTATTTAACATGCATTGTTAAACCATTTAATTGATATATTGACTATTGATACCTCTAATTTTCTAAATAAAATTATCTTAAATTATATTTAATTTATCTTAAATTGTCACGTTTTATATTTTATTGTATTATTACTAGTACACAATCATTAGATCATTAGATTAGATCGGGATAATTAAAGAAACGCAGAAAAAAAAAATTCTAAAAACCAAAATTTAAGTATTTTAATATCTCTGATCTTTCCACCTCAATAATAAAAAAAATCAGACCTAAAAGCCAAATCAATTTTGTCCATTACCGGTGTAATTTTATACTATCGTTTACATTATTAGTTTATTTGAACTGTTTAGAAAAACGGTTGGTAATCTTGAAAAATGTTTCAAATAAATGCAGTAGGTACTTATTTATTTAACCGGAGGGAAAATCTGTACATATTAACTTTCAAGGTATGGTGTGAAAATTCTGAAGCATTTTTATTTTTACGAACTGAAAAATCATCTTCCAAGGTATAAAAATTAATTTTTGTAAAATTAATTAGCTTTATCGCGCCATTCAGAATCTAAAATAATTATATCTAAATTGGTTTAAAAATGCAGTTGGAATATGAGGTAATATACGTATTATAATAGGTACATACAAAATTGTCGAATAATTGATAACCTCCTTTTTTAAGTCGGATATAATTACAATTTGAACCTAAATGTATGATATATATAATATAATAAATAGGTACAAGCGAATATCGATAATTGATAATCAAAAATTAATCGTATAATTAAAATAACAATAATAATTAACTAATTAAATCGTGTATATTATTATAAAACGATATAGCATGTATTATACATTTTAAATTACTTTTTGTGATTACTATAAACGTCCATTTATGGAGTATTGCAATTCATTAGATTTCTATATAATCTATTGATTTTAGAACGTCGTCCATAATTGATAATTGTAAGGACGAAAAATAGCTTGAAAAAAAGTGCAAGTATACCTACATTTTGGCGCACGGCACATGTATAATATTTATAATAAATGCAATACTACCTCTATCTATAATATTATATACTTATTATAGGTACCTATAATACAGGTACCCATTCGATATATTAATCTACATATTTGTGTTTTGTACTCACTTTTAGTATTCGAGTTAACCGAGAATCGTCCGATGTGTTAAATTTCCAAAGGTGAATACGAGAATGAAAATAAAAAAACAATCTCACTTTGCCCAGCATCCGGAAGATGCGCTGTACTTTCTACTGACCAATCAGAACTAATACGCCCTTTAGAAATCGTTACGGTCCCCTTCACGTGGGCGGAGTTAGAATTATCCCTTTTATAAATATTATTATATGCGGATTTTCAGTGTGAACGAGTTTTTCTTTAGTAGGAGTAAAATATTTTCACAGACAATTTTAAACAAGCATAGACATTAGACATGACTTCTATATATTTCTAATGATACAAACTAACTAACCTAGTACCTACACATGTATACTTTAGTTAAAATAGAAATAAAAAAATTAAAAACGTTAAAATTAACACTACAAAATAATATATGTACTTCATTTAAAATAATAATTACTTATTGCCTTAAATGTGTAGTTTTATAATAATTTTATTTTGATAAAATAAATAATATGACAAGTGTCATATTATAAGTAATAAGTGCATAATAATTAATATAGTACAAGTAGATAAATTATTATTCCTAGTTTCTACATATAGATATGAACTATTTAAAATTTTTAATCAATTCGATTAACATTTAATCATTTAATCGATGGCTATTTTAGGTTTGAAAAGAAAAAGTCAAAGCCAATCTAAACGGGTGATATACAATTACGAACGTTTTTACCTGCCTTTTTTGTTACGGCGTTGCGAAAATTGGTGACAATTATATTATAATAAATGGTTATGTCTGGCGATAATATACGATGTAAAATAGATACTAGCATCTATGATATGCACTAGGTGCTTTATTTCTACCTTATTTTTGGGCACAAGCACACTTAGTAAATCCAAGGTATGAAATTTTAAAGAATTTAAACTTCAATTCTTGTTCCTTTCTACGTAAATTTCACCAGTAAATATACAAAATCTCTAAGTTTTTATAACTAATATTAGAACTATCAATGGGCCAGAAAGCTTTCATAAGACCAACACGTACAACGGTTAGTTGTATAATCCCTGTTCCAACACACGTAGTGATTTCAATTTTAAAACAAATGCAAACACAAACTTTGACAATAATAAATTTTATTAAGACAATATACATAATACTATGACCAAAAAAGACCAATCTAAAATTAAATCAACAATTAAATATTACTGTGATAATAAAATACACAAGAATTTTATTTTATATTTACAAAAAAATCGAAATTTATACGAAGGAAAATTTTTTAAAAAAAAAACCTTTTAAAAACTAATTATAATTATTTTTTATTCTTATTTGTAAAGTATTATATACTGTGTGACGGTTTAATTATATTCATACCGAGAAAAAAATTATAATTAATCGACATTTTAAACACTTTTAGGTATTTTGTATTATTTTATTTTAGTCTGTAGCGTAGTTATAATGTAACAGTGATATAAGTATTGAATAGTTATTATTTTTAAACAAATTTTTATATTAAATCCTTGAATAAAATAAAACATATTCAGAAAAATATATACACTATCTAAACTTGGCAACGTGGCCTAAAAAACCGTATGCAATCGTTCTTTTCTCGACTAAAAAAAAATTATTTGATAAGCGACATTCGTTCAAATAACATCAGTTTCAAAGGACTTTTGTACGTAAGTAGGTATATGCCCTTATTAATTGTAGTTTATAGATAAGTATACTCCGTGTATGAAGCTTCATGACTTTTATGTTTCGAAAAAAAAGTTGAAATATACTAAAATAAGATGAATGCGTGTAGTACCTACAAAAAATCATATTCACTGATTACTTATACCCATCGCAGGACTTGATTAAAAGAAATAGAGGCCCTGTACACTGCTTATTTTGGAGCCTCTTTTAAATAAAAAAAAATTAAAAACAAGCAACATTTTTAAAAATTTATTTTCAAACGTTAATTGTTTCATAATATAATCATGATTAATTGGCAGTAATGATAAATAGTTAAATTTTTCTTGTGTTTGATTTAACTTTTATTTCATAATAATTACTTATTCAATACTTAATCTACCTTAAAATATCTTTAAAAAATACGATTTTTATTTTTTTGTTTACACAATGGCAAAGGAACCCAAAAATTTGGGGAACAAGGCTCGTGCACCGCACGCACTTCCGTAAATCAGGGCTTGCTTATACCTATGTAGAATACGGAAACAAATGTTTCACATATAAATATTCAAAACTTTTTATGGTCTGTATAGTTTCGCTGGGTCCTAATTATATTTATATTATTTTGGAAGAATTAATATTTTTATGGTTAGCAAAATAATAACACTCCATATTTGACATTTTACATTTTTAGAGGTACCACGAGAAATTTTTATACTGTTCCGAGTTTCCCTCTGGCTTTTTAAAAAGTAATTTATTTTATCAGTTATATATTGTAAACTTTAATATAATAACTTATAGACCACGATATTCGATATATTTTTATATAAATACGGTATTGAGACTCAATAATTGAGCATTAGCTAATGTAAACATATCGATAGTATCTATTGTATTTTCAGTGCTCATTGAATTCTTAAGCATTTAATTATCAATTTCAAATAAAATATATTATAATACAAAAAGACAATTTTACCATTAAATACACAAAACTGAACATGTTGAAACTATAAAGGTTATTATAGACACATTTAAAATTTATTTAAATTGATTTGTAAACAAATAATAATTACATCAACGATTAGTAATCAACAAATTGTACAACATTAAAACGCATTTATTTTTACTTATCTAAATTATGTAGGAAGATATAAATACAACTATGTTTTTGATTATTTTTTCGAATTTCAGAGTACAAAGATTACAATACCTACATATGCTATCAATAAATGTTAATAAATTTGATCTCGTTAGTAAAATATTGGGTCTGTAACTACATATTATAGAGGAAAAATATGAATATTATAGAAACGGTACTCAATTGAATTTAAAGTTAAGTTAAAGCCTGAGAACATCAAAATTCATTGTATTGCTGCAGTTTTAATTGAAACGCCGATGAATATATTCCAAATTTCTTTTTTTTCATAAAAAATATATGAAAACAAATAACACATTATTATTATTTTAAAAATATTATAGTCCCACATCATTCTCGCATAAATGCATATATTAGGTACAATATTATAGTTGCAGGGGTGGATCGGGCCTCCGGGAAGTCGGGAAATTCCTCGGTGGGCCGCTTCTTCAAATAACTATTTTAAAAAGTATTTTATGTTAAAAATGTATAGTGAAATTTTGAAATATACTATTAACGTTTTAATTTTAATTTTTAAATTCTAAGAGTAGCGAAGAATGTATTGGTTTTGTAAAAATTTTTTTTTTTTTTGTTATACTGTGTACACAAATCCTTCCAGAAATTTTACTCCATTATATACGTATGGTACAATTCTGAAAGTAAATATTGTTCAAATGTTACTTTTAGAAGGTGATTTTTTGATTTTTTAAACAGTTTTCATAATATCTGGGAAAAACCAGGATAAAACATGAGAAAAACGAAAAATTTATAAAAATAATGCTTTTATTATTTTTTTCAATTTTGTTATCTGTTATAATTTAGTTAAAATACTCGTAGAGATATGAAATTTAGACAAAAAGACTATGTTTGCTTTTTCTAGACATGGTAAAATTTTCAAAAAATTTAAGAAAATTTTGAGCTATTAGTTGACATTTTAATTTTGTACCAGTTTTGTACGTAATTTTTATTTGGTAGCTACTCTCTGGTAAAATTATTAGACTTAACAGAAATGCTTAAAAATTTAGCAGGATAGGTTCACTAAAAGTCGTATTTTGTGGTTGAAAAAAGAAATTCGAGCTTAATGTAGTATTTTTTTTTTCAGGTATAGCTTATTTTCTGAAAGAAAATTTTATCTACATGGAAGTTTAAGGAGGCCATTTTTTGACTCTTATTGGGAAAAATCGGAAAATAAACACAATATTGAACAAATATTAAAGAAAAACTATTATACATATTTTGTTATTATTTTACTATAATGTAACATATATATATATATATATTGTTAACAAAGCAACACTATTAACCGAAATTCGCTCAAGATAGAAATTACACAAAAATCGTCTGTAACCCAAAAATAATCCTAGTATAATAATATTATTGTTTATAAGTACGAGTACCTACCTATTTTTATTATATTAATATATTATATTATATACATATATATCTATTAACGGTTAAACATTTAATGAAAAATTAAATCATAATTATTTCCATAATATTTTGTGTAAGCTCGTATACATAAATCGCTTAGGTTATTAAACTTGGCACTGATTATTATTATTTCGTTGCAAATAATTGGCCTAACATGAGAATAAACTGTTTTTTTTTTTTTTATTTCTATACTCTCTTAAATAATGAAAATAAATATAACTATATCACCTTATATTCGTAGGTATATTATACAGTTTAAAAACATTGAAGAAATTTAAAAAAAATTAGTACCTATATATTATAGCTGAAAAATATTCGGTGAGTTTGCAGTATATATAGGTACGTGCATTCGTTATTAATTGATAAAACCAACGTTATAGGTTAGATATATTATGTCTGTAGCCATAGGGACAAAAACAGTTCAAACGAGTGTTTGTCACGGCAGAGAAAATAAGTTACCTAAATACGAACAGTACAAAGACTTTACTTTACTCGTGTTTTGAATATTTTAAATGTAGCAACAAATTTTTTATCTTAATATTTCATCGAATTATAGTGGATCCATTTGTATTGCATGCGAAGTATGTCTGCAAATTACACATGTAATCAAGTGAGTGATTTTACCACATGTAGATAGAGCATAATAACAGTTGAAATACCTATAGGTACGCTATATAGGGTACACAACTATAGTATTAATCAAATGATTGTATAATATACATTACGCATATAGCATATACCTAGTAATAGAAATAATATGGTACTCGTAATAATAGTTATACATATATTAATACAGTCAAATACTTATACTTACAAATATTAGGCAGGTAATAAAAATGTATGATATACTTAAATACCTATATTATATTTATTTATTGTATAATTTTTTTTTTTTTTTGAAAATAAGAATCGTGGAACATAATAATATTATACCTAATATATATATGAGTGATCATATAAAATTAATATAGGGAGACAATATGCGATTTTCTAATTATTTGTTTAGATAATTTCTTATCAATTATTTTAAAAATAATTGAATAACCCTATAAAAAATGTATACAATTATACATTTAGTGAATAAGTACTTCTGTCGGCATGTGTTATATTAATATTTTTTGAGGGACTGAACAAAATATCTATCTAATTGGATAAATGCAACCAGTTTATTTGAGACTTCGAAATTTTAACAATTTCGGTGTAGGTTTTGTGTTTTCACAGTCAAGAGCACCTAAGCAATATGTGCATGTTGTGTGTTTTCGCGTAGTCATATTATGCTTACGTCTAACATCCATGCCTCAGTTTAATTACAGCTATTGAAATCAAATGCTATATCTAATCGTGTACCAAGTTATACTAGTTTTTTTATGGTTTTTCCTCAGAACCTTTTCTTACCGAACCAAAAGGCGTACCGGCGATATTCTGGCTGCTCTAATAAGAAGAATCCAGAAATTCACAATATACTTTGGCTAAACAAAACACTATCTTACGTAACTTAGAGAGAACTTTCCCATCGCAACTTTTACGAACACTGCAAATGATGTTCAATTTTATGTTACATGTAGAATAGTGAAACGTGACCTTATTCAATAAATAGTAAAATTACACCACCTCAAAATGGTGTAAGTTATCCGTTGGTGACTGACCTGAAGTCTAATGAACAAATTCAAATAATATTACAATCAATCGTTGAAAAAATCCTGCAGGAGACAAGAAACCATTTATTGGTCAACCAATCTTAATGTGAAATAATAAAAAAATACAAATTATATATAATATACATGAATCACTAAATGCAAGCAGGGCACATGTCCACATTTTATAATTTTTCAGGAGAAACAAAAACTTAATTACTCTGGAAAAAATTGAAGAAAATAATTGAAATAATTTACAATTCACATCATATATAAATTATAATGATACCAGTAAACTAGACATGTATCCCGTTTACACAGAGCAATTTATTTGTCAAATCTAAACAAAAATCTGTAAAAATGTGATTTTATGAAAATTATGGACGTTTGCCCTTGTTGTATTTATCGATTCAATTATAACAAATAAATGGAGCAAAAATTGTTTTGTTTCACTCAAAAAATGAAAAATAAATACTGAAATAAATATTTAAAATATTAATGTAATATGTATATAATAAATAGTTTAACAGATGCAATGTAAGATAAGTAAAATAAAACATTCGCGTTTACTCTTAACTCAATCGCAAGTACAAAAAAAAGTAAAATTACTATTTAGCATATAGAGAGTAAATTTAGTAATTTAGATATTGACCCACTAACAGCTGTGTGGCAAAGGAAACAACGCAATTCGTGTGCACTGCATAACGCAGAGCGAAGATTTCTTTTGCAGAACGGACGTACAGTAAACGAAATTAACAAGACAAATAGGAGTAGGTGGAACTTATATGTAGAAAGGCACAAAAAACTGAAAAGAGAAAAGATAACTGGGATAGCTACCTTTACGCAGGGGAGATTATATTAAGAGTGAAGTGCCTATCAGATTTTCATTCCAATACAGATTGGTGGAGATTAGCAAAAAACTATGACAGATTTGTTTGGAGGTTTTATCTAAAAAGTCATAGGTAATAATGAGATGAGATGACATGGATTAAATAAGTGAAATATATTATTGGTATAAATTTCCTCGTGATAATTTTTGAAATCAAAATTTATTTGTACAACTGTTATAATAATACTCTTGGCTAAGGCTTTACTTATACCTATATTTATTTCTAAATTACCTATACGTAGATATTCTCACATAATAAAAAACAATATTACACTAGGTATTGAACTTTTTTTGCGAATAATATTATTTTTTACTGTAGGTATCTACATAATCAGGTTTGAAATTAAGTCTAATTAGTTAAAAAATAATACAAAATATCAGTTTTAAACTATAATATGTCTTTCTATAACGGTTTAAAAATATAACCATTATGTATAGAACCTCTTTTATAAACAAATTCAATTTTTTTTTTTTTGCTTACAATAATACGTTGTATAAATATGTTTTGTCTAAATATAATAATGGGGATACATAATAATATTTTTGTTTGTTGGCCAAATCTGCAGATGTTTTATAGATTATATTTATTACAATATAATGCTTATACCCCGCCTTATCGTAAAATATGGCTATTGCCTATAAGTACGATAATCTATGTGTTAGATATGTTTTTAAACCAATAAAAAATATTATAAAAAACAATTTATTCAATTCCACCTTCTGGATATACTATAGCTGTGCTATAGCGCACTATGGACTATCTGTGCTGGTGAATTGCGTATTTTATCCTATAACGAAGGGATAACATAATCCCTCGTGATCATTTATCAACCCCCTTCGAACCGCCTATATAAAAAAATAATAATAAACAAGTATAATCCGAAATGACCCATCGCGCCAGCGCCTTGTACTGCAGTGCTGCAGGTGTTATTTTGCTATAATTTGTAAAGGGACCAGTAGATAAAAAAATAAAATCGTTTCATGAATATTTAAACTTCAAGTAATTACAGGGTGATCCATTTATCACAAACTAGCGATTTTAAGTGAATTTGATTTATGTTTTTATTTTTCAACTATTACGGAATCATTATTTTGACACTAATTAAATCCTTTTATTTTAAATGAGTATACACTTTTGATTTTCAAATAAAACCCCCCCCCTTTAAATTCAAATTTTAATAGAGATTAGAGAAGCGAAAGTGACATCTCTAAATGTACCAGCTAGACGAAATTTACTACCAGAAATTACCTCCGATGTTGATGATTGGTAGAATATGTCTCGTAAAAAATGCCCTTATAGACAGAAAAACAAATAAAATAAAAAACAAACATAGCAAAACCAATATAATCCTCTTTTCGTTTAGAATTTAGTAATATATATTAGTCGTAAATCGTAATTAGATTACGATTATTTTAACAAAATATTAAAGTATGTTTAGAAAAAAAAAACAATTATTTTTTTTAGTTTACAAAATGTCAATACGCATGGAACTTGACTGATGCGCATAGAACGCCCATTAAGGGTTGTATTTTTTTATTTGCTGTTTTTGACACACGTGCACTAGTATACAAATCAACAAACACGCGCGGATTGTGGGATTCATGTGGGATTCATTGTCATTAATCAATTTCTAATATACGTTATATTTATTTCATTTCACGTTTCTATTACTATTATATTATTATTATAATAATATTCATTCTATATATACATTGTAATAATTCCATTAAAATCAATATATTTATTTTACGATTTTATTATCAAATGGGACAAGTCCAATGTAAACATATTATATATAATTATAATATATGAAAATAATACGTCTATAATACAATTAAAACATATTCTTATAACTAATTTTTTAAAAAACGAGTTACTTTGAAATCTTTAAACTCAATTAACATTATGTGCCCGTGACTGTGAGTCTGCCATATTATCTATAGGTATTTAATGAAATAATACATCTGTATATCATTTAGCGGTTTTTTTTTTTTAAATTTCCATACTTATATACAAAAATACGCAAACTTCTATATAAAGCCTGGTTCACACTAATGTGGTTATTACATCATGGTTTCGGCTATCGTAATTATAATTTATAACTATCACGGATACAGTGTCTATATACGGTAGAGCAATGAAAACAGAAAATATCGTGATAGTTTATAAAATGAACTTCGATAGAAACTTCTGAGAATAAGTGCGACACGATAATAAAATAGTACGATTAGTGTATTATGAGTTCAAGACTACACGATGCTACTACAATACCACCATGGCAGTGACACAGTCTCACAATAGTAATTATTAATTTTATCGTACGATAATTTGATAGTTACTATTGTCTATCATCCTATTCACACAACGATATTAAATTTCATCATCACGACGATAGTAAAATTCAAAACTATCATGGTAATACCTAACTATTGTAAACCAGGTTCTTATTCAAATAAGTCCTCTTTATTTTTTGGCATGTATATTCTAAAATATATCTAACACATGATATACTAAAAATTACAATTTTTAATTCATTATAATATGAAAGTAGTGGATCCAGGGAGGGGGGAAAGTCATTTTCCCCCTTCACATTATAGTACCTATGGTTTTTCTTGTATTGTAATAAAATATTTATCATTTTTCATTGCTGTAAATGGTTTTCCCCCCTTAACAAAAATAAAAATATGGATCCACCACTGCTGTATGATGTAAGTGTACATTTTGTTTGGCGATAAAAAGCACAATTCATATAATTATGCGACTTAAACCATTTAGAACGCCGTATTTTAGTAACATCATTTAACAATTTAGCCGTTTTCAAAATGCAATTTGCTTATATTGAAAACTATACGAAATTGATTTAAGCCGTTTTTCTCTTGGACCAAAGATGATCTGTTACTGCACCAATAGAATATGCAGATGGAGATGAACAATAGTCTCTTGTATAATCTCTTGTTTACAAACAATTGGAACGGCCGTTCGTCATTGTCAGGGACCCGAAGCGCAAGGTTATATTATTATTATATATTTATATATACGTATTTACGAATGGCAATAATTATAATAATTCCGCAATGCATAAACGACCGGATATTATAGATTATAATTTTAATGTGTGCGGACCGACTCTAGTTTAAATATATACTCGTATGCATATAATAATATGTTGGGATAACATTAAAAAAAGGGACGCAATGGTGACGTGCTGCGGCTTTCTGTGTGGATTTCTATTGTACAATTTGCGGGGCGGGTCGTAACGACGGATGTTTTATTATTACTATTTATAATATATAACAAGTCACGGGTTTTCATTTGAATAATGTTTTTTTTTTTAACACGGTGTGTTGTGTATGATGTAGTGTATAGGAAATTAAAACTGTATACGGCACAAACGGTAAAATAAAAATGCTTGAGTCATTAACGATCAATGTCGAGACTTATCTGGAAAATCTTTTATCTTATCTAGATGGAAATGTTGATATCTGTCCATAGAGTAGGTCTTACTCACTGTATCTCTCTGCCTGAGGTTTATCAAAAAAAAAAAACTAAATATTTTATTTTTAGTACTTCGAACTTAATAAAGAACTTAATGATTTTATTTATTTTCAAAATGTACCGAAAAACACCAAGTACACCATCATGAATATAATATCGTATAAGTAGAGAATGTGGAAATATCTATAAATCGCCCAAATATAATGTATAATGTATCGCGGTAAAAATTATTATAATTTATGTATTTTATACCTAGACGGCGGAAATTCTGTATATTATTATATTATTTTCAGTTCGATAAAGCGTTCAAACCGACGAGATTGGGAAATTGGGAAGTCCCGAAATGGCATCTAAACCGTCCAAAAGGTCGTTCAACCATTACAAAAATAATCGCGAACGACAACGGGCATTTGTTGCCCGGAGTGCAAAAAGCAGATCAAAAAAATTGGGCGGGTCTTTACTTGGGAACCTATCGGTTACCGAAACGTATCTCGAAAGAAATCGGTAATATTGTATTATAATTATACCTATTAAATAATATATAATATTATTATACATTAGAAAAGATTAATAAAAAAAAATATTCGTAAAATTAACGATAATATTCTACATTGTATGCTTACATCACTACTGCAGCGATAGAATTATCAAATCCAAAGTGTCAAACGTGGATGAAACGCTCGTACCACCATCCGTTTATCGACCGTTGCCGACAGAATAAAATCAAAACCGAGAAACACAAAAACGCAAACGCCGACGGCGAACCGTGCAAAACGGACGAAGAGGTACAAGATAAAAATTCGATAAAATCCGTCGAATCAACGGTGAGTCAAAAACGTTAAACGAAAAATTCGCGTCGCCGTGGGTTATGTATTTGTTTAGGGCATGGCCGGTTTCCGCCAAAAACGTACCTTTCCCTTTTCCGCCGATACTCGTTTCCGCCAAATCATAAAAGGTCGATTCCCTTTTCCGCCCAATGAAAAAATTTAGCGTAATTTTTGAATATTAATGGTCAATCGTATACATTACAATTATTAACTGGAAAATGTGATGTAATTGGTGATAGTATAAGTACTTATATGTCAAACTATGTGAAATTAAATATGATTTAGACGTCATCATTCTATGATTCTATTTCTTAGTGAAACATTTAAATTTTACCTTTTAATGACATTACAATACAAACATTTTCGACCGCTGTTATTGTTATAATAAAAATAATAAAATTGGATGTCGCTAAGATGTTTTGTTAGATTAAATGTTCAATGGAAATGGGTATATTATAAACTCTACAAATAAATGCATTTTTGTATTGACATTTTAAATTTTCATCAATTCTTCGATGAGATATTTCAATTTTAAGTTTGACTAGGAGAGAGTAATGAAGTACTATTACAAACGACGCACGCCGTGCCTCCACTTAAATGATGTTCCATTACTTAAAATTGAAGTATTTCATCAATTGATTGATGGAACTCAAACATCTTAACACATTAATTAATTTAAACTAATGCTTCATCTTTATAATGTGAAATTATTTATATAGGTTGTTATTTGAAAATCAAAGTAGATAATAGTTTCACCTCCAAAAATAAGGGTGACAAAAATAACATTTGTAAAATTGAAGAGTAGCTTGTTTCTTAAATGTTCCATAAAAATTCTGAAAAAAGTTAATACTCTCAAGATAATGATTGTACCCACTTGAATGGATCACCTTGTATTATTATGTATATATATTAAAGATGATTACAAATTGTGTTCAAAATAATTTTTATTAGAAGTGTACAGTGTTTTATCATTTCAGAAGCTTTTACCTTCTTGAATTTGGTCAGCATTTTTAATCACATTTCGGTTGGGTAAATCGAGGGGTAGGATTATAGTATCACATTAATATCGACTTTAAGAGCTTATATGAAATTACGAAAAATTCATCGACATAAAAAACTTCACATAAGAAACACTGTGCACGTTTAACAACCATTTCAACGATACCTCACTCAAAGGAGTGTGTGGAAAATAGAATTATGTCCCTCAGTTTTGTGTATAGAAATAAATCTCATAAATTATTACTTACATTTTTCGATTACGCAATAAAAAAAGACGGACATCTTCGCCCGTGGGTGCAACCACTATTGTAGGTGGGAAGTTTGGAAGGTAGGATACAGCAGGAAATTTAATATTTATCTATAAGCAAAGATAAACCATTGCTAAAGGAAAAACGATTCTGAGAGAAGTTCAGTTTATAATGATTCTTTGTCAACAATATACCATATAATATGTCATATTATGGTAAAATAATTAAATAGGCATAATATATTTTTTAATTTCTTTAATACTATTTGTTTGAAATGAATCCGATTTTCCGTGTTTTTTCTCAGTTTTTCACATTTGATGAGAAAACTAAAAAAAATCGGAAAATTACTTCCATAAAGTACCTCCCCTGTTCGATTTCGTTTTAAAAAAGGTGCTACACTTGATCAAAATCTGAGCAAGATTTCTAGTAGAAAAGTTGCGTAAAGATTTAAAAAAAAAACATCATTGTAAAACCTTAAGCTTCTTCGCTCCACGCAGAATTTAAAAATCATATTATATATATAATATATTGTAATCAGTTAAGTTACTCATTTAAGTGTTATACATAACTAATCATTAATCTATACGTATAGATTTGTAACATAGTAAACTGAATGTATAACAAAAAAACAAATTTATAACACGATAATAACATACCTAACCTAGTTATTATTATAAATAGGTAATACAAATAATACTATTACTAATACTTTATTATAACTATATTATTATACTTCCGACTTTTTAACCGAATTATTTATGACTTAAAATATAAATTATCTATCTAAACGTTCACACCTAAAAAAAAAAAAAATTGCATACACAAAATAAAACCATTAAAATAAAAATATGAATGTGCTTACCTAAACAAAATTTTTATAGGGAAAAATTAGTTAATGTGAAATATAATATGCGTGACGTTAAATTAGTATAAAATAGGTACCTATAGTCAATATAATCTAATCGCTAAAAACATTATAAAGTATAACACATATTATAATAGTAATGATTAAAAAAAAAAAAACATGCGATGATGCATTTATTTATGATTTTCTTTAAAATATTAATTTTTTTGATTGTAAAATTGTTCTCGAAAATACAAACTATTGCACTGTAATGTGTGTATATAAATTATACAGAGTGATTAATGTGACATAACACATTATTCCTTACTCACTATAACTAGATTACAAATGCAATACCAATTATCTCCTGTTTTTTTTTTTTTTTTATTGGATCAATATTTATTATAGAAAACATAAGCTGCAAACATTTAAAATAAAAGAATCGTGACGCTGTAAATTTATCAGTTTTAATTTTTCTTCTTTTTTTTGGTTTTTCTTAATTATTATGAAAACTATTTGAAAAATAAAAAACTACTTTCTTCGTGAGCAACTAGATCCAAAATGTAACAAAAAAGGCCTTTGCCGTTTTTTTATTAGAGCAATATTTCTGGTAGAAAACATAGGTTACAAATATGTTAAATAATGAAATCGTTACTCTATAAATATTTGTCCGTTTATCCCTACTTATTTTCTCTGTTTTTTCCCAATTATTACGAAAACAGCTCGGAAAATCAAAAAAATCACTCTCTTTAGATACTAACCAGATAAAATTTCATTTCAGAAAAAGTGCTACACTTGATATATCGAAGGAAGATTTCTAGTAGACATTTTGTGCACAGTACAAAAAAAAAATATTGTAAAACCAATAAATTCCTTGCTACGCTCTGAATCTTATGAGTTTGTCATTTTTGTAGGTGGAAGTTAAGAAGGTAGGATACATAGAGTAAAATTATTTCAATTAGGTAAATCGGTATTTTATGCAAAGATAAATCACTGATAATAAAATACGGTTCTATGTTCAGTTAAATCGTGTTTTAATATTTAGTAATTTATAAAAATTTTTTCAAAATTTGAACTTAAAAAAGCTTCTTTTATTGCGTTTCACTTTTTGCTTTTAAATCGTTTATATATATAAAAAAAAAAATACAATATTGCAATAATCTTTTTTTTTTGACTACTAAGTATGACTTTAAAATGAACTTCCTGTCAAATTTTCAAGCATTTCTGTTTAGTCCAACAATTTTATCCATAAAGTATGTAACAAATAAAAATTACGTAAAAAATTAGCAAAATTAAAAAGTTTATAAATAACTCAAAAATGGCTTAATTTTTTTAGTACATTTTCCCGTTATCTCTACGTATTTTTCGGTTTTGCTCAATTATTAAAAAAATTGTCAAAAATTCACTTTCCTTTCTTAATCAACAACTTGATTAAAAATTCAACAAAAATGATCTCTTATTAATTTATTGAAGCAAAATTCCCGTTAGAAAACATATACCGTAAAAATCTAAAATAATGAAGTCGTTATCTTGGTAAATTATTTAATTTTTCCCAAGTTTTCCAACTATTAAGATAACTTCAAGAAATTACTTATCCAATGCACCAACAATATCCAAAAAGATTTCTAGTTTTAAAATTTTTCACAGACACGTCGAGTAAAATCAATACCTATATTCCTCGCTGTGCTCAGAATCTAGAAATACACATTGCATTTAAAATCGGGCTTTGTGATTTTAATCTCTATATCGCTACAGTGCCCAACAAGCATATTTTGTGTTATAAATCCTAACTAATATCATAAATGTGAAAGTAAGTCTGTCTGTTACATGTCAGCTGGTGGTGATTCATTTAAATGAGTACACTTATTATTTCGAAAAGTATTAACTTTCTTCGGAATTTGTGTTCTATAATATTTAAGTAACAAGCCGCTCTACAATTTTATATTTATGTTATTTTTTGTCACCCTAATTTTTAGGGGTAAAACCACTAAAAACACTACCAAATTTTAATTTTTAAAGGACAGATTTTTAAAAATTCCATAAATAGATAAAGTATTAGTTAAAATAAATGTTAGTATTGAAATGTTTGATTTATATCAAGCCGTTGACGAAATATTCCAGTTTTAAGTTTGGGTTAAAGGAAAGTAGTGATGCATTATTAACATACCACGCGCTGTACCGCCACACAAACTCCATTATTCCCCTTCAACCAAAACTTAAAAGTAGAATATCTTATCAACTTGTCAACGGATTGACGGAAATCAAAAATGTTAACACCAAAATTTATTTTAACTAATACTTCATCTATTTATGGAATTTTTTATATGGATCGCTATTTAAAAGTAATTATAGTGGTTTTACCCCAAAAAGTGAAGAAAAATAACAAAAATATAAAATCGTAGAGCTGCTTATTTCTTAAATTTTCTATAAAATACAAAAAAAAATAAAATAAAAGTAAATAATGAATAGAAATAAAAACGCCATAACAACTATAACATCGTTAAATAAAAAGTCTATTTGACTGTATGCTGACTTGAATTAGGATGGTTAACTTTGTAAAATGAATGAAAAAAACGAAAAACTATGCACTGAACTTGGTGAGTAAATGAAAAGTAAAAACACATAAGTCATCATCTTTGAATCTTTGTGTTTGTGATTTGTAGGTACTAAAACTTCCTAATAATTTTAGCGTTATTATAGTGGATAAACAGGTATCCCACGAAGATATACCCATTGCAATATCTCCTGATATAATTAATATAATCAAATTCTGTTTTTTTAATATTACTCACAGGGATAATGACCACAAATATTTACGTTTGAATTAAATTTGCGTGTGTTCTGATAAAAAACACTAAAAAAATAACTTTTTATTTTAATATTTTGAATAATTTTAAAATAGCCATTTTATAGAATTTAAATTAATTCTTCTGAAAATGTTGACGTTTCAACTTTAAATTTTCATTAAATTCGTGATTTTCAATCATTTTTTAAAATTCAGAGAAAAAAACCTATAATCATGCGGGTGGCTATAATTCTAATCGCATATTGATTATTATTATTACTATGGCTAATTTACTGTACAACACTTTTAGATTCTCAGCGAAGCGTGGAATGTATTGGTTTTACAATAATGTTTGTTTTTTTTCTGTGGAAATTTTCCTCCAATTTTCAACGTTAGCACTTTTCCTGAACACCTACAGTATAGTTTAATTCCTGTAGGACATGTATCTATGCCCTATGGTAACACAGTTAGAAAAATGTATGACGCTAGAACACTTTTAGGCGGACTACCCATTTTCCACTTTTTTTTCGTTTAATATACTGATATAGAGATACAGGCAAAAAAAAGGGAATAACAACATAAAAAATTGGCACAGGCATATAATAATAGGCATTTAGTCCTAAAATGCCTATAAGACAATGGTGAATTCATTTTTTGACTATTTTACCACATATATATATATATATAATACAATAGTATGCATACGGCATGTCTTTTTATGTGATTTCAGATTTCCAACCGGCCGGCAGTGGCGGCAGCAGACGGTTCCGTCGTCGAAATGTTGCAAAATCGTACATCGGCGGACGAGGCGGACGAGCCTTTAAACTCCTCGACCTTGGTAAATGATAAAAGTGAAGGTGTTGAAGGGAGAAGAGGTGACTCGTCGTCAGCGAAAATCCCATCGAGTCCCGCGTTGAGCCGAATAAGTATGGGAGGTGGGCACAACGGTGGGGGTGACGTCAACGACAACCGTGACGGCAGCGCGCGAGAGACCGCGGTGGAAACACCGCGACTGCCACCGGGTCGACGGTACGACGATACGCAAAGACACCACGGGTTGCCAGACGCCATCGAAGACGCATTGTACCGATCGCTGCAGACGAAGAGACACAAAAACCCTGGACTGGGATTGAACGGCTGTTGGCCCAAATGTTCCGCTGTGGCGTACAAGTCGTTCAACGATCCCGGGCCCACGCAGTGCAGCAAGCTCCGAGTGTACCGGCCTAAAACGTCATCATCGTCGGTGGACGGCGATAAAAAAGAACATAGCCGACAAGGCGGCGGCGATAAAAACTCTCGTCCCAAAACTTGCGTGCCCGTAATGACGGCCGATCAATTGACGGACATAAAACTGGCCCTGTGCTGGGACCTCGACGCTCCGTTTGACCGGCACAAACCAGCTCGACCGTCCGATGAGCCAGCCGTGTTCCACAAGGTTCAGCAGCAGCAACAGCAAAAATCGAGCAGCGAAACCACGGCAGTCAAAAGTGATCAACGAAAATTACCACAAAACACATCGGCCGTCATGGGTTTTGTGGGAACCGCGGCCAGAAATGACAACTGTGGCAACGGAACGCCGGATTCACAGCGGGTACGGAACCACGAGTGTCTTCCGAAAAATCGTAATCTGTCGGCCGTCATGGAACTGATACCGGACAAAGATCGTGGGAGGCTTGCAACGGTGGATCAACGTAAAGGTGAGGATGTTCGTTCCTCAGACAAACCTTCATCCTCGTCCACGAGTCGTGACAAAAGATCTACGACCGGTACTTCTGTCGGTAGTAATGACCGTGACAGTAAGTCCGATGACGGCCGCGATAACGAGACAACGGGCGGTGACGACGACAAAAATGACGACGGAAATCCAGATGACAGTGGTAGTTGTTACGAAAACACGCGGCTACGAAGACGGCGGCGACAGAGGCGACGACGAAGATCGCCGCCATCACCGCCACCACGGCAGTATACCTTCGATTCTCCTACGCACAGAAGACGCCATCACCGCGGTCACGATGACGCCGTGGACGAAGAACGGGTCGATGGTAGTAGTCGCGGTCATCGCGGTCACCGACATAGGCCGTGTTTGGCGTGTGACAACCTTGCAAATGACGATAACTACTGCAGAGACAACTGCAACAATCGCAGCCATCGTCGCAGTGAAGAACATTGCGGCGTTGGCGACCGGTACAAGATGGCGTTCAAGGCGGGCGTACCGGTAAGCACACCAGTCAAAAATCGCACCACCGCGGCCGGACAACCGGCAAAGCACTTGAGGGTTCCCAAGCCCAAGACCACAAATTCGGACAAAAAGAAATACGTCATCGGGACGCTGCTACCGCCGTTTTCCATGTGGCCCGGCACCACGGCCCGCGACTATCCAGAACATTGGAGACTAACCTCTGTTTATAGGCAAGCGTTCAAACCGCTAGAGCTTCGCAAACAACCTTTACTCCAAACGGTTTACTTGTAAAATACCGTCGTGTCGAGAATCGGTTAGTTAGTTTCGCACTACTACATAAGTCTGTTTCAATACCGCTGTGATCGTCAAAATTTGAAGTAATAATATCTCTACGAAAAAAATTAGAAAAATTTTAAAATTAGTAGACCCGGATTTACCTGCAGTTCTCATAAATGCGTTTTCGAACAACAATGAGCCCCTAACACTAGGTAACAATAATATTTTGATGGCTTTTAGTTTTTGATGGACGTTCTTCACGAACGGGTCTAGTTAAAATTCTAAATGGTGTTAGCATTATAACAAACAAACTTAAAAATATAATATCCCTACAATAATGTTACCCAATATTAGGATTAAATAATAATAAAAAAAACATTATTACAATGGTTAATACTCGTAAATAAATATATACATTTTTTTTTTACTAATTTATTCTAGTATATTTGTATTCGTCGATTGGTTGTTCGTTGGGTTTGGACACGATTCCGTAGGGCCCTTATCAGCGAACGGAATTGTGCCCATTTTAAGGCACACGATTCCGTACGTTATGTTCTTATGATTTTAATGCTATGTTGATAGATCTCCATAAGGCTACGTAGGTGTTTGACTATTTGATATACTATGCGTTTTACGTATAGGATATACCTAGTCATTGATTAAATTAAAGTATATTTAATCAACGTCCTAACTATTATAGTAATATTTATACAGCGTATAACAGCGATACAATCGTTATACATCAGATAGTTTTTTGTTGCACTTAATTATGCGCCGAAATATTATATTCCGTTCAATACAATTAATTGTTTACAAAATGATTTTTAAATACTCGTAGTTTATTTTTTCTTACCTGAAAAATCCAAATAAATCTACATTGACATGTAGTGGTTTTTTTTTTCAGGAATTGAATGAAAAACTAATTTTATTTTATAGTAGTGTGTAGTTAGTTGGTCGAAAAATTGTTATACAATTTATACTATTCAATTGACACATTTTTAACTTTGACTTTTTCAAGTTCATCAACTTTTCTTGTAACGTTATATTATTTAAGAAAATCAAACGAATTGACAATAATAAATAATAAAGGGCAACATTGTCCAAAAAATCGTACGTGATCGTGTTATTTTTGAGGTAATTTTGACAATCCATTGTTCGATCAAAATCGAATGGAATCGTGTTCCCAACAAGATCAAACATAGAAAATCGTGCTTTACCGTTACGTTGTTCATGGTTTCACATAATTATGTTTAACTCGAATGTTCCGTGGACATCTTAAGGTTTCAATAACTGTATTGAAACCGGTGTGTTCCGTATTAATAACAAATCATTATGTGTTTAGTAGTTTATTTATCAAGCTTACCACTAGATATTGACTTGTTATTTAAAATAAAAATAGAATGTTATTCACAATTTGTTGAATTATTAATGTATTGAAAATAATTGTTTATTCACAAATAAAACTTTAATTATTTAATTATTCAAAATTATTTATTTATTTTATTATTTTAATACTAAAACTGTTTAGAATAAATAAATATTCTTCATTCACTAAATTATCAATTTTATTTTAGATTCTGAGCGCAGCGAGGAATGTATTGGTTTTATAATGATGTAATTTTTTTTCTTTTTAATCTATAAATAACTTCTATACTAGAAGTTTTGCTCCGAAATATCAAGTATAGTACCTTTTCTTAAAAGAAATTTTATCTGGTGGTACCTAAAGAGGGTCATTTTTTGATTTTCTTGGTGGTTTTCATAATAATTGAGGAAAACTGAGAAAAAACGAAGGAAAAACGGTAAATTCACAACATGTATTATTTCAAATTTGTTTTTAGTTGTGATTCAGTTAAAAATATTCTTAGAGACTTGAAATTTGGACAGAATATTATATTTGTCTTTTCTAGACGTGATAAAATCTTCAAAATATTCTAGACATTTTTAACTATTTATAAACATAGAGTTTTTTTACGTAATTTGTATTCAGTATATGTACTCTGTGGATAAAATTGTTTTACCAAACAGAAATGCTGAAAAATTTAACAGGAGGTTATATTATAATTTTTTGTATAAAACATATATTTACAGGTATTTTCTTAATAATTATTCCCTTATTATTCCGTATATAGGTACGTATATGGTATATCAAAAATCTATAAATACACATCAAATTTTGTTTTTTTAAATACGATTTTAAACTCAGATTCGTAATGTGTACACAAAGATAATAAAATAATTTTGAAAATATTGTAAATAAAGTCGTCAGATAAAACAATGATGTACAACAAATAACTATAAGAATAATCGAAAAAAATCAAATTTATTCTAAATCTCCGTATGGATAATCGCTGTGGAATTATATGGGGGTGAGGTCCACTTGAACATTTACCCTAGTGTAACTTCTAGCCTTGTATTAAATTGGTTGAATTCTGGGCTCTATTAGTCGTAGGTATAAAATGTCAAAATATCGAAAATTATGTATCTTTAATTTATTTTTTGGTCAGATTGTCGATTTTCAGGATTTTGAAATTTTAAATTTGAAAAAATTTTAAAACACCTAAATTACAAATTTTAGTCGCAAGGAAAATGTATTTCTATATCTTTGTAAATATGATACATATGTGAAATACCTATTGAATGAGAGAAAATTTGGTTATTTTACCTATTATTGCAACGAATCCTACTGGATAATAATCTTCACGATAAAACAATCGTCCGACATAATGCCAACTTCATTTTTTGCACAATATGCAACCTACCTGCATTTGTAAAGACATAAACACGACATTTGTGATCTAATATGCGCTCTATACATAAATAGATGTATAATAATGTATTACGTCGTTAAAATATCTACAAGTTTAGATTAAACGTACAATAAATGGAACGTTAAACTAAAATAGTTTAAACAATATACAAGTACCTAAATGACGACCTGCCCCACCCGAAAAAAAAAAAAAACAAAACTATATTTATATAATAAATAAATAAATTATATACCTACAGCCATAATAAACGCATGCGAAAACATTAAACAGAACAATATGCGTATATAAATTTCGGTATCCATTTCAAATAAGACCATTATTGTAATATTATTAAATATTAATAATTACCTACCGACATAATACCTACATCGGATACCTATTGTGTCATTGTCAGTGCGGTACCATCCGGTACCTACCATAATTTAAAATATTGTGGCAACTATGTTGTACACAGTTCTTTGTGAAATTGACTTGAAACAAACAATACGCATTATAATAAGTATAGCTACAGGTACCTGCCTCAGTCGCATGCCCACATTTTAATAGTCGTGTCTTGATTTTAGCAGTAATCGTGTATTTCAAAATGGCTACTATGTATATGTATAATATTATAGAACTAACATAAACGTAATAATCCAGTGAATATCATCGAAAATATAGTACAATAATACGTGCAACATCGTTTTGTTTTTCTCGTCATAATATTGGAACGAATATTACAGCGCGCGCGACACGCCTGTAAACCGCAGTAAACATTTAATAATAATATCGACTGTTGTCTTATTATATCTCGATCTAACCAACTGGCAACGGCTTGATAAAAATAATAAAATTATGTGACGTACAGAACATAAATTGTTAGGTGGAAATTAGAGTTCAAACACAGATAACAAATTTCAAAGAGGACGAAAATACTCTCAAGCGCAGTAAACATTGCTGCGTTTCTAAATATAATGTCCAATTAAGTAGAAGTTACAGCGGTGTTTTTTTTATTTTTTGTTTTGTGCGTGGCTTTTCTACGCTCTATTCGAAAACCTTATGGGAATATTCTCTTAGCATTTTTGAGCTAGTTGGTCGGTGTATAGAGGAAGTGATTTTCGATTCCAAACGGAACGAATAATTATATGTATTGGTTTCACAGTAATGTTTATTTATTTTTCTTTAGTGAACAACTTTTCTACCAGGAATTTCGCTACTCCGATTTTCAAGTGTAGCACATTTTCTGAAAGGAAATTTCACCACTGAGGTGGTACTTTAAACAGGTCATTTTTTGATTTTCCAATAAGTTTTCATAATAAATGGGAAAAACGGGAAAATGTACGAAATTTATTATTTTCGAACTATGTTTAGAATCGTTTTTCGTGAACATAGATTAATCGCTGCGTACAGGTATACATTAAATTCCCCTCTATATCCTATACATTCCCGATTTCTCGCCTACAACAGTGAATCGCCCATCATGCGAAGTATATCGGCATTTTTTTTTTTTTTGTTTCCTTGTATTTGAAATAAATGGGAAAAACTGACAATTTTAACATGAATATGTTTTCGGGCTGACGGTCAGACGAAATGTGCGAAGCACTTTTATTGTAATATTAAACATGTGATGCTGTGGTTTTCATAGTAACAGCCACATAATTAAACATAAATAACATAATAACATAATTAACTATGGTTCTAAGGTTTTCCGTGTAGCGGAAAAAAAACAATTTTTTTTTTTAAAATTTGTATGGATTTCTGGGTTACCTTGACAAGGGAAAACATACAACTACTAATACTCTACTTAAAATCGTTTTTCATTAGCAATGGTTTATTGTTGTATACAAATATACCTACATTAAATTACTATACATACATATGCTTTCTTCCAACTTCCTACTAAAACAGTAGCACATTCATATTAAATGTTGTGTCACTCAGATGTACTAATATTTTTGTATAAATCACAAAAAAATAATAATAATTATATTTAAAATAAATCGGTAAAAATTTAGAAGATAGTTAAGATAAATCCAAAACAATCTATTTCACCAATAATTGTTTCCATCATTTTACCTTTTATACAATTTTTTTTGATAAAATATATTTCCATTATTTTTTTTCTAAAGTTCTTATTTTAATATAATTATCTAGTTGAGTACTTTCTAGGACAACTACAAACTGGTTAACATTAGAAAGTACGATGTACTCCACAAGACATTGAATTAAAATTATAGTGAAAATTCAGGGACATTTAAATATTTTTATTGTTGGTGCAAACATTTTTGCAGGCCATTTCAACTCATCACCAGGCTATAATATTGGCAATTTTTTATGGGTGGGGAAGTTAAGTGGGAACATATCCTCTCTGTCTTTTTATTTTTTGCCTTCTTTGTTAATCATATGGTGTCGGCCAACATTTTCCTACACCTTCATAAAGATTTTAAATACTAACTCAATATATACCTATTATAAAACACTCGGGTATACATCGGCGCTTAGATTTTATTTTTGGCAGGCCAAACAAGACGTTTTAAAAACAGTTGGTGCGAATGCACACCCTGCACCCATCCAAATGACGCCCTTGAATGAAATGATTCACAGGAGTTGGTTGAGTGCCATCAAATTCCGACCAAACTTTTGTAATTTGCATTTTTTAAAATTCTATAATTTGCAAAAACTTAGTAAGTAAATTTACGAATTCGTTTTTCATAGGAGTTGCATACCAGTTAAATTATTAATAAAATAATTCTCGATTCTTCAGGGTGTAAAAATGGCAGATCAAAAAAATGTTTTAGTTGTCTACTCATTTCAGACATATGCATAATAATAATTAGTTTTGGATAGCTTTTAAATGTGCTATTTACGTAAAATGTATTAATACATACAAAATTTAAATTTTCCATGGTATCTACAAAAAATAATTATATTATTACGAATATTGTTGACCAATTAAATCTTTATGTCGATTTGTTTTTATGTTAAATCATTCAAAATGTTATACAGATAGGTACCTCATTTAGAATTGTTGGGCTATTTGGTATAACACGTGGTCCAGCGTGGTGAATATTTATTTTTTTATTCAGTGAACAATCATATGCATGTACTTATATAATTTTTCAGGTAATAGATACCTAGTGCAGTTCATAATAATTTAGATGATCTTTCACAAATATCAGTTTGAGTTTTTCGTTTTAATTTATTACTCAATTCCTGTCTATTTAATATAGACGTACCTAATTTAAAATTTCATATTTTGTTCAAAATTTGTATCGTTGTATTACAGTAGAATCCGCTTATTACGATACCATATATAACAATATTCCAGATAAAACAATTCCCAGCCATGTACTAGGTTGGTGTTGTACCTCACGTGCAGTAATTTTGGTCGGATATAATATCAGTTACAACAATAATTCGGATATAACGATGGTATTTTAAAATTAAAATTAATTTTTCATTCACCTATAACTAAAAACTGGATTATGTCTTAGGACACATAGGACACTTAAGACACACAATATGAACTGATTGTCAAATTATGAGATATTATAGTCCGATTTTTAAATTTATTTTATTATCTGTTTATTGCTTTTAATAATAGGATGTTCACAGATATAAATAATAGGTTATAACTGATGGCATTAGTATAGAAATATAATACAATAGGTTATGCTATTAGGCTATCTATGAATGGGTTATTTTGTCATTTTTATTTATTTCAACAAGTATCAGAAAGTCCAGAATATTATTTTATTTTTCTACATGCCCAAACTATTATAATACTAATGGTATCAATTATGAATTGATAATAATGCTAGTCGACTAGAAATACTATTTTGAGAACCCGGGACCCAACTTAGATATGCCGATTTATTGATATTTACCAATTTTTAGGTTACCGATATTAATATTGTATAAACTACAGGTATTACATTTAGCACTTTAAAAATTCCCGAGATTTATTGAATATTATATAATAGAGATTTTACATAGTGAATGTAATGTATGTATCAGATCAGTGACAAATCCAGAGTTGAAGGAGCCCAATTTTGAATGAACAAAATACTTTAAATTGTTGAAAATATTAACTGTGTATTTTTTATAATATTTTAAATGATAAGATATATTGTATGTTATTAAATTAAGCAATCATTAATATTTTTATACAAATTTCTTAATGTATGAATATAAATGAAAACTACTTAATAACTATAATTATTGATTAAAGTGTAGTACCTAATTACTTAAAATATAAATAAAACTATTAACTATACTAATATAGTTAAGGCGATAATTGTACTCAACATTATAATAGTGTACATATATATAAATACATACTTTAAGTAAATATTATAATATACGAGTAGCTTAAAATTTTGTATTCAAATATGACAACAATTATTTCTCTGAAGGATATCTTATTGCTGACTTATACATGAAAAACATATTGTTTGCTATATGTATAAAAATGATAAAATGTAAAAAACCACATGTTCTCGTAAACAGAAAAGCGATGTCCATTAGAATGTTAATCTGGCACAAAATAAAAAAAATTTTATTTAGTGAGGTGATGTTTTTTTCACAACATCAGGAAGAGATTTTTCTTCACGTGGTTTTGCGCTTCCAAATATACTTGTATGCTGAGTAGTATCAGCCATTTGATTCAGAGGTTCTTTTATGGTCCTTGGTTTTAATTGCAATTTAGGTCTGCCTGGATCACCTGAAAAAATATTTCCATTAGAATGGCATATTATATAAAAGAAATTTCACACTGCAATAATATTTAATTTTACTAGTAATGTTAGTGATTACCCAATGCTAAGCTAAATAATGCTGTACTACTCCATAACTATTGACAATATTATTTTATGTAAATATGCAATTTCTATAACAGTAAATATTTTTTAAGTCATTCTATTATCCAAGTCTTATATTTATTTTAATTTCTTAAAATATCTTTAATTGATACAAATAAACTATATTGTACTGAATTGTGTTAGTTATATTATAAATAATACATTTGAACCAAAAGAGCTCAAACTCAAGAATTAAAATGTTTTTTTTTCTTTTATAGTACTGACAAAAAAATGTTGAGACTTTAAATATTAATATCACCATGTTGTGGAAAGTGTTCTTTTTAAACTTTGTACACCCCATCAGACCTCTCCAAATAAAGCCGAGGATAAAATTTTGTATATATATGGTTTATGATCAGGGATGTGTAATTTGGTTGTTCCAACTTTGAATCCCCTCCCTAACTATTTTTATGCTCTGACATCATGTTTTCACAGAAAATAGTTTTAAAAATATTTGACAACAATATATTTCTATAATATATATCAATTTTTAAAATTAAATTTGTTCAACATGTTTGAGATGATAAATTTACAACTTGCAATTTTGTATGTTAAATATAAAATTGGAAAAAACAACATAGTGACCACATTTATTATATGGAAATTATCAATTCGTCTTAATTAAGTCAAATCACTAATAATATTATTATAAATTATAAATTTTCATTATAATGTAAATGTGTGAATAAATACTAATACTAGATTAGAACTAGATTAATTTATAATAAATACATACAGTTAGTTTTGGTAAGTTGAAACTAAAATAGATAGTATTAGTAAGGATATTAGATTATATGCACTTTAACTTTATAGTAATTTATAGAAATAGCCAATGGAAACAAGATAACTTGAGTTTTTTTTTAAATTCCCATAGCTAAATTTTAAGGATGAAATCTTAATACTTGGTCAAACTTAATTTTATTTTTGCAATATTTTTTTTATAACATTTATCACAATGTTATATTCTTTACATTAATCCTCCTTACACCTCAAGTTATTGAACATTGAGTTATTTAATATTATAAAATATCCAACTTTAATAAAACTAACTTGGTGGTGGTGGTAAGTTTTCAAAATCTGGTCGGCGATCGCCACGACTTCCACCCGGAAATTGATTAATATTAGGCCGATTGAAATCTCGAGATCCACCATCTTGATACCTGTTCATTCCTCCGCGATTTCCACCAGATTGGTCCATGAAACCACCTCTACCTCCCATTCCATCATTTTGATTACGGAAACCACCAGAGAAACCTGGAAAATAAATAAATAAATAGATAGTGAAATTCAACAATAAATGTTGATACAAATAAATATTATTTTACCTAATATTGATTATTTTAATAAATCAGTATATTAATTTTAATTTGTTTTATATTGTCTTTAATAAAAGTTTTGACTATTAATCATCAAGTATATGAATCTTATCCCATTATATTAATTATAATTCTCATAATTTTTCTCAGCAAATATATTCAGTTTGTAAACAGCTTAAAATATTAATCATTGAATTATGGTTAAATTTTACATTGTTTGTGGATTTTTAATCAATTTGTTTAGCAAGTAATTCAGTTTATGGAATAGTTTTATTTTTAAATTATTAATCATAAAACTTATTGTATTGTATTCCTATTTTTATAATCGTAATCATAGATAGTTGTTTTGAATTGTGCAATAAAAAATTCTCATACAAATTTCTCAGCAAATATTTTCAGTTTGTGAACAGCATTAAATAATCATAGAATAATAATTTACATTATTTTGTTTTACATCAATTGTCATGAAAAATAAATTAAGTTTACAATATCTTGAACTTGAAATAGTAAACTAATAAAAATTCAAATTATTGTTTTAGATTCAGAGCGTAGCAATGAATGTATTGCTTTCAATTTTATATATATATATGTATAATGTACAAAATTTTTACTACAAATTTTGCTTTGATGTATCAAGTGTAACACTTTTTCAGAAAACAAATTTTACCTTATAAATTAATACTCCGATAAGTTTTAGATTTTTTTTTAATATACAATTCTCATACAATTTTCTCAACAAATATTTTCTGTTTGTGAACAGCTATAAATAATCACAGAATGAATTTGTACATTAAAACTAATTGTAACATCAAATTATATCAGTTTGTGAATAACTAAATTTTGTATTTTAAAACTAATATTACAAATTATTTATAAATTTTCCTTGAAATTTAATTTAGTTTGTAAACAGCTATAAGTTATAATTATAGATAAGTTTTAGGTATTTTAATATATAATTCTCATACAATTTCCTCAGCAAGTATTTTCAGTTTGTGAACAGCTTTGAATAATCATAGAATTATACTTTACATTATTTTGTATTACATAAATCACCATGAAAAATAAATTTAGTTTACAAATAGCTTCAATGTGTAATTCATAAACTATTGCTAATTCAAATTAATTTTTTTTAAAAAAAAAAAAAAAAAAAATTGTCATACATTTTCATTAAAAACTATTCAGCAGTTTTTGAACAGCTATAAGTAATAATCATAGATCATAGATTTTAAATACATAATTCTCATTTAATTTTCTCAGCAAAAATTTTCAGTTTGTGAACAGCTTTGAATAATCATAGAAATAAATTAATATTTATAAACAACAAAATTCCTTAGTAAATTAAATCTGTTAATTCACCATTAAATTAATTGGAAAATTCTAAGTTATGCATACAAATAACTAGTAGGACTTCGTGAGCTCAATTATAATTACTAATTTTTACTTTACAAACAACTTGTAGTAGAGTACAACAGAAAAACAAATAACTAACCTGGATTTTGGGTGAAATCATCAGAACGACTTCGCATTCCAGGGTTGTTGTTAAAACTTCCTGGTGGACCACCTAAAATCATGATTTTTAAATAATATTAAAATAAAACAAAAATAACATTACATTTATCAAGTGGTAAATACTTAAAACAAATTAAATAAATACAAAAATTTAAGTTGAAATGAGAAAAAACTTTTAGATCAATTATTTTAATCCAGTTTTACTTTATAATTATTTAAAAAAAATTAAATAAAGCTGGACCTTTGCATCATAGAATAGGTAAGAAATTTAGAATATATATGGTTATTAAATAAACTGAAAGGTTAGGTTAAGATAATAATGATGAGCCATTGCAATCAAAGCAAATCTAAGTTTAGCTTAGGTAAAGAGTTGCAGTATTAATCGTGTATTTATTCCTCATAGTCTATGAACACAGAAACCAATAAAAATGAAAGCAATGTATTTACATTTTTCATTAGTTATTTTTTAATTTTCTAGAAAAATAGTTGGAAATCAGACTTTTATTTCAAATTCAAAACCACCAATTGAAAAATCCTTATGTTTGAAAGTATAGCATAAATAAAAAAAAAAAACAGGATTTTATATACATACAAGTCAATTATATTTGTATTATCTTAATTAGGGTTAAGCTGAGATTGGTCAAATTGGTTTTAATCAATTGATTGGTTAAGTATGGTCAATTAATGTTTTACTATTAAAACTAATAAATATTTAAAATATAATTAATCTTTCTTAAATCTTAGGGGCATTTAACTATTTTTAATTTTTACTACAATTCTCTATGAATAAGAATATTGAATATAATTTAGAAAAATTGTTAACATATTAACCCGCCATGGGTCGCATCATTATTTGTAACACATGTGGTCACATAAAGTCTTTTTGACTGTTCTCTTATATCCAATATTTTTTTAAACATTTTATGTACAAATGCATTTCTTAATGATTTACAAAAATTATACGTCATTTATTTATTATATTTTATAATAAAAGTTGGTATTAATGGAACTATTATGCTAAAGCTTAATGTGAAGATAAATTATTAATAATTACAGATATAACCATGTAATGAATAACGTGACGCGTATAAAACTAAACGAAAAAATATTGTAACTTTATTTGAAGAGATAAGAGGTAAGTGACTGGATAGATTGTTTTTGTTGGTTCTTTCATTTAAAATTGGGCGCCGGTGAAAATAATACCTAACAAAATTGATAGAGTTTAGTGGCACACAGTATTTTTGACAGATTACTGATTTTAAAAATGGTTATAAATTAGACAGACAAAAATTTAATGTTCTAAATAGTTTTAAAAAATAGCTTAGCATGTAAATTAAAGGTGTCAAATTGCACAAAATAAAGTAAATTACTCACAATGAGTAATTAGTAAAATAATAAACTCACAATCTAAAAGACAGTGATGCGACTCATGGCGAGTTAAATAGCACCTATAATATTATCAATTATAAATTCAAAAACCACCTAAATATTAAACACAATAGTTAATAAATAAACAGTGTATCCAATGTCACAACATTAAAAAAAACTAAAGTTAATTTGTGGTTAATTGACAAGTTAAATTATTTGTTTCAACTATCCAGTTTTGATTGAGTGCCAACCCAAATTTTACTTAACATATTAATTTAAATATGATTGGCAATTTTTTAAAATATATACTGTTAATAATCACCTCGACCACCTCTAACTCCTCTATCATTTCGTTTCCCAGATGCAACATCAATTTTAATTTTTTGTCCTTCAATGTAGACATCCAGTTGAAGAGCAAGGGTTAGATGTTCTAAAGTAACAAATTCAACATACCCAAAACCTTTGAACTGATCAGTCTCTTTATCATGAACTAAACGTACACTTCTTATTTGCAACTACATAAAAAAAAAAAAAAATTAATTATAATAGAAACTTAATTGACAATATTATGTTTATTTTTAAAATAAATAAATCATACATCACTACTATGAAATAAATTTTCGACATCTCCTTGTGTTATTCTTTGTGGTAGATTTCCAAGGAATGCCACAAATGGTGGACCATTAGGTAATGGTTTGCTAAAACTTCTTAAAAAAAATTGTAACTTCAATTAATTTTAAAAGTAAATAAATAAAATTGAATAAACACTACTTATTATTAATTTCAACAGGTTGCATTATAATATATGAACCTTAATTGTTTTTAATTTTAATCAGTTATACAATTATATATTGTTGAATTGTGTGAACATTGTTGAATGATTTCAAGTATAATTGAAAATAAATTTGGATTTTATCTAACAGACACACACTTGATTAAAACAAATAAAATAATACTCCTTAAAAAAGTTTAACTTTTTTCAAAGCCCTTTTGCGGGTTTTTTTAAATTCTTTTTCATTTTTTTTTTAAATTTACCATGTACTATGAATAAATTGGCATATTACACAATATAAATTTCAATGCTTAAGCAATTAATGTCTTGATTGACATTTGAATAATACATATTTAATGCATTCAAAACCATATATACATGGTTTTATCAAAATATTTACTCCTATTTTATTGTTATGTACTACATTATATGCCAATTTCAAATGTAAAATAAGCTGTACATGCCATGTTTTTAACGTAATTTAACGCAACCTAACTCTATTTGCAAGTACCACTGGCTATTAAAATATTAAAATTGAACTTCTTTGTATTACCCTGAATAAAAACTTAGAACTGATAGTGTCCAAATTTTAAATGATGCAAGATAGTTTACTACGTTAATGTTGGTATTTATTATATAATATTTATATATTATGATGCAATAAGCTCATAGTAGATAGGATAGACTACTTTACCTATCCACTCTGATGAAATACATCGAGTGGCAGGCATTTGTGCCAAACCAAAGCTTGTCCACAACGAACGAACAAACGAACCTTTCCGGTATGTCACCTAGTACCAACGACTTTAAAATAGACAGTTTCCATTATAAGTTCCAAAGTTAAAATCGATGCCGGACGTCACGAGCGCCGGTATAACATGCCGGAGAGAACGTAATATGTCCGACAACAATGCGAATAATTTATATTGTTAAAATAATAAATAAATAAATAAATAAATAATAATAATAATAATAATAATAATAAAATTAAAACCACCGTGCCAAGTAACACGGCGGGAGTCGTCGCAATCGTTGCGGTTTACCTGCTATCGAAGTCATTGAATACACTTCTGCCAGCCATAATCAATCGAAAATTAAGACGGAAAATATCAAGCTCAAACAAAACAATAGATTTTTAATTAGACGTACAGATTCACAAAAATGTAATATTATGATAGAATCACGCTACAACCTACAGCAAAAACGCGTTTCGTCAGTATTCGTCTACCACACACGAACAAAATGTACGCAAGCCAAACAAGAGGTTAACCATGGAATAGAGGGTATGCATCCCATGGACAAAACAAGTATGATAACGATAAGTGATAAGGATATCGCATGACATGTTAAGATATCTTAAAATATCTATGTAAAAATCCTATAGAGTAATATTGATTTTATAGGAGGGAGAATAGGAAAAATGACGTTGGTAGGCTTAGATTATAGAAAAATGTTAGGTTTGGTCAAAGAAAAAAGATTAGAGAGATTTGGTTTTTCTATTGTCTATGTTGGCAGGTCACATTTTGGAATAGAAGTGGACTACGCACACGAGCCATAATAAAATAGGAACTGATACTCAAAACGGTTGCAGCCACATTTGTAGGTGGGTAGTGGGGAAAGTGGGATACATAGAATTATTTAATTTATACCTGTGATCATAGATAATACAATTTTATTATCTGTCTGTAACCAATGATGTAACCAACTTTTAATAACGAAGAACGATTCGGAGCGAAGTTCGGTTATACCTTTTGAAAGGTCGATGTTCGTTTTTTATCTATTTTCCTCAAGACGTCTTCATTCGAACTTATCTCAGTCCAGTTTAATCTCTGCATCTTTCTCCAATACCACATCTCCAAAATTTCCAACATATCTTTCTCGTCTTATTAATTGTTCACGTCTCATTTTTATATAATGCCACACTTCGCGAGATATTAAAAAGAACAAAATCGATCTCTTGTCATTTTAGCATTAGAGAAATATTTCTGATAGAAAGTACAATAAAAAATGGTAACGCCGTGGCTTGCTATAAATATTTGTCGTTTACCTAAAATTGTCTTTCGGGTTTTTTCTGATTATTTCGAAAACCCTTGGAAATTCAAAAAATGACCTCCACTAAAATAGGTAAACTAAATACAGAAAATTATCAGTCAGAATAAAATTTGCTATAGTTTATACTCCATAGCAAGTTTTCTGGTTGAAAAGTTGTTCACAAATAGAAAAACAAACACATCATAGTAAAACGAAAATACCCTCGCTACGCTCCGAATCTAAAAATTATGGTATTTATTATTGATTTTTAATATAGCCTGTAGGTGTACTATAGAGTGTAAAGTAGGTATATTATGCACAAATACCTATATGGATATAATATATCTATTTATCCTATATAAGTACCTACTTATTTGTAATATATTTTAACTAACACTACATCTAATTAAGACATTTTCAATACAGGTTGCCTTTTAAAATCAAAAGTAGGTAGTGGTTTTACTCTCAAAAATAAGGGTGACAAAAAAAATGATAATGTAACATTTTGGAACATATATTTCTTAAGTTTTTAAAAAAAAAAAAATTGTTAATACTTTGCAAAAAAAGGAGTGTTCAACGATAAAAGAATCATTAGGTATATGAATACACAATGTTATACATTTATACCAAACAATTGTACACAAAAAATATTTATAAATATTTTAAACCATTATTTAATTTTTTTATTCCCGATCTATATGATATATATACCGATCTATGACTTCTGCTTGGATATTCACATTGATATTTCTAGGTAGTGTTATAGACAAAAATTGCCCTATCATTATTATTACTTTTTGATAACGCTGATAAAAATATTGCAGGTATAAATACTATATTATTTTATTACATATAAGCTATAGCCGTGATTGCAAAAATCACAGCTAAAAATTCCAAGAGGGGGGGGGGCGGTTCATCCATTGTTCCCCCTTAAATACTGCGTCCCACACAGTTAATTTAGTAGCTTGCAAATTTTTTTCCAAACTTATTTTTTTTGTAAATAAAGCAAGATGATGATTGTGAGCAAGACATATTTAAGGGTAGCTTGAAAGTTAAATGTTTAATCCTACCTTTACCAATTAAAGTTGCTGGAATTCTTGACAAAACTACATTTATAGCCAATCTATGAATGTATCATGAGGTATAATGTTTGCAGGTAATATAGTTTTGATAGGAGAAAATCTAAAAGAAGTTAAGTAGTAGTAAGGACAAGTAAAAATAAAACAGAGTGTATAGAGTGTGGGGTAGGAAAAAAGGACATGACAAGTAATGACAATTAGTGATTAAGTTATATGCGAGGTTGAGAGTTCCTAGGTTCTGAGGTTAAAGTATATAATCTCACTGTACATTTTAATTTAAGTGGACAAATTTAAGTAGGTATGTAAAATATTTGTATAATAATCCAGTCTATAAATATGTATAAAAAAAAAATACAAAATATTATTCAATAATATTAAAAGAATTAAATGTAAGACAAAAAAATATATAACATATAATATTTTCTTATTTCTTTAAATATTAATGGTTACAAATTTAAAACATTTTTGAATGTCTTCATTTTAGTTTTCATGTTATAAATAATAATATTATAAAAGTATGTATACACTGCTGCGATAAATAATAAGGCAAATTATATCACTACCGTCACCATATTTTTACCTTACTATTTATCATAATAGTGTTTATGTACTTTAATAGGTTGAAGTACAAGATAAATCTTAATTTATTTCTTTAGATACATAGTTATAATAAATATTTATTTACAACATAATAATAGGTAAAGGTAAAATAAAAATAATATTTGTATCACTACTGTTTATCACTTTTATCAGTTAGTTGAGCATCTGAAAAAAGAAGATATTAAATTCATCTACATAAAAAATAAATAAATAAATATTAATTAATAATAAAAACATAATTACTGTCAACTGATTGGTAACTAGAAGATATAATTTGTACGAGATTTGGATACAAAGCTCGTTGTTCTGATTTTCTATGCAACAGTATAGGTTCTTGTTTTCCAAATGGAATTTTTCCAGCTAGTTTTAAACCAGCAAAATAAGTTTTACCATGCTGATAACCGACTTCCTAAAAATAAAAATTTAATACATAAATTAGTTGAATTAAACCTTACCTTTAAATAATAATAAATAATACAAATTAATCATATTATTATTTTTATTAACACAAAATAATGATGTAATAGCTTATATTTATGATTACCTATTGATTAGCTAGTATAATATTTTACACCAAATACATGATGGGTATCTACTATTATATAAGCTTTTAATATAAATATATTTTAATAAATAAAGTAATTAAATAATAAAGTAAAAACCAAATTATTAAAATGGTTAATACTTGTAATTATATGAATAAAAAATGTATACATAAAATAAAATACCTTTATCATAATATTCCAGACAACATATTTATTAATTTATTTATTCATATATTTATTTAATATATATATTTTAACAATACAATACCTTTATTTCTTCAAAACTTCCAAATTGAAGTGTTTTATACTTGTCAATAGGAGGTCTTATGTACTGACAATAATCACTATTTTTAACCACCTGAATTTTTAACAGATTAATATAAAACATAATAAAAATATAGTTTTCTTTTATTGTTAAACACTCATTATTTTTGCAAAGTGTACTTTTTTAAAAAAAAAATATTTTAGTAATTTAAAAAACCAAAAATCTAAAATTGTACACTACCATTATTTTTATATATTAAAAGTTTCATATATCGTTTAAATAAATTTATTTATTACCACTCGCATTCATGATATTCTACTTTTAAGTTAAGGGAAGAGGGAGATAAGTGGAACACTATTCACATGCTGCGCACCATGTCGCTACACAAATAATACTACACTACTTTCCCACTACTCAAACTTATAAGTGGAATATCTTATGAACAGGTTAAAGGAAATCAAAAATTTCAGCACCAAAATGTATTTAACTAATACTCTATCTACACTTTTAAACTTAATATAGGTTGCCATTTTAAAATGAAAAGTAGGTAGTCTCATTTAACCCCCAAAAATAAGGCTAACTAAAACTAATGGTAATGTATAATTTAAAATTTTTTGTTTCCTTAATTGTTAAAACACATTTTTTTTTTTGAGAAATATACTTTGCGAAATAATAAGTGTTCAAAAATAAAAGAATCACCCTGTATATGTCATAGGGCATTTGAGAAATTAATCTTTTCACAAAAAAAACCTATGCTTTTAGTATAATGATAACCTATTTTGAATTATACATTTTTTCCCTGCGAACAATTTGTCATTTTCTTGGCTCTTTGCATAGAGAATAATGACAGTTGGCTTTTTTAGAACCACTATTTTGAAGTAAGGAAATGTATATTGAAAAACAAAATGTTCCTTTTCAATGTCGTAAGAGACAGCAAATTGCAGGAATAAATAAAATAGTATGTATTTTTGTTTTAAATGATGTCATAATATCTAATTGATACAAATAATTCAATATTTTATGTTGTATAATTATTTTTTTGTTATTTTCAAATAGTAATCTAAAGAGAGTAACTAAAATAGGCCAAGAAAATAACAGACTTTAGTGGAACAAAATTAATAATTTTAAAGAGCCTAGGTTTTAGTTGTAAAGGTTAATTTAATGAACTATCTAGTTATAAAATTGTAAAATAGTCTGTAACAAATTTACTTCGAGTTGACGAACACAAGAAACATATGCTAGTCGTGATTGTATATCTGGAAGACTGGGGACCTTAACTGATGTAGTAAATGGATTATATTTTTTCCACAACAACCAAAAACCAGACAAGCTATCACCATAATTTGTAAAATCCATGTCATCTTGGGAACCTACGTCAATAGCTAGAACATATTTTGCTCCAAGGCTGCGCATTACATCAGCTAAATTGAAAAAATAAAATTTATTTTAGCTAGTTTTGTTTAACAGATTAATATATTTTATAAATATCAATGTTATGTACACATATATTGGAGTATGCATATCCAGTCAAATTAACACACATAAATAATACAATTGTTAAAGCTGAAATAAACAAAATCTACTGCATCTGGAGGCAATATATCTAAACAGTTCTTCTCTTGTTTATATATTTTCGAAAACAATTCATGTAAAATTAGACTAAAATATTCATCCAAAAATCTTTAAAAACATCAAATGACGTCATAGTCCACAATATAGTTAATATTTCATGCTAAGTTGTTAATAACTCACCTGGTACATTATTCACATAAGAGCCATCCATAAGTAAATGTCCATCATCATGATTATACATGGGCGGAAGTAAACCAGCAATTGTCATACTTGATCGAACATACCTCCAAAGTAAGCCTATTTTTGCACACTACACTTTAAAGACCATTCAGGTTGAAGAAATTATAGCCTGAATTGTTCTAACACACATACATATCTCCAATACATGATGACTTTGAATATTTATGTAATAAATTAATAACATAACTCAAATATTTTAAATATCACTGTTAATTAAAATCAGTTTTCAATTGTTTTAAATATATAAAAGTTTAAGCAGTTATTTATTTTAGTTAATTAAAATATTGGTGTTCATAAAATTCCATGAAAAAAAGTGTTACGTTTGTATAGTTATTCATAAAATTAGTTTAGTAATTATTAATTTAAATAAAGTATTAAAATAAGCTAGTGATTGATTTACCTGGTAAATTATTTATGTATCCACCATCCAATAATAAGTGGCCATCAATTGGATCGCATAAAGGAGGCATATAACCGGAAAGAGACATTGACGACCGTACATAACGCCATAAAGATCCTAGAATTTAAAACTCCGTATTCAAAATAAATAAAATTATGAGTTTTATAAAATTAATTAAATTAGCCTTATATATTAATAAAGTCAACACAGTTTGGGTAAATCAATCACAAAAACTTATTAAACAATTTATTTATATTATAGTACATTTAATAAAATATAGTTATTAAAAATATGTATGTGGGAACAAATTATTATTATATTTTATTAATTATTATATTAAGGATAACTTAATTTGAATGTATAACAATTATTGCAAGAATTCTACAATATATTATATGATCAATAATGTTAATGAATTTAGTAATAGAGAATAAAAATATGGTCTAACATGCATATTTATGAAATTTCAAACTCAACAATAGTAATGAATATTAATTGATTACATCACCTAAGGCCAGTGTCACACTTACAGTTTTTCTAAATCGGAATTCTATAATAATAGTTTCAGAAATAATTGTTATCATGATTTTATTACTAATGATAATCATAAGCTATTAAAACAAAACAATATTATTCAGCAATACTTTAATTCGTTTTTCACTCATAGTAGATGTAATAAACTATTTAAATGACTATTTGACAACTAACCAAGTGCGTGTAGTCATCTTTTTGCTGTGTTCAATTCGATTGGTATCGTGTACAAAATTACAAAATGTGAGATATCGATAGCAACAAATAACAAGTTTGAATTTATATATTGGGTTCTGCAAGGGAACATGCATTAATTTTCAAAAAAATTAGTGTTAATTCTACTCATGTGTTAAGGTATATTTAAGATAATGTTTATCTATATCACCAAATTTCTCCAAGTGTGATGCTGGCCTAACAGCTAATAGTTTTTAAGAAAAATATTAATAACAAAAAATTAATTATACCGTGAGTATGAACTCGCATTTCACTAGACGAGATATCTGTTGTTACTGTAAAATATGGCAACCATAAATCTTCAATTTGAGTTTCTCCAAGAGCGGAAATTAAAGTAAAATTAAAATCTTGACCAGTAAACATTGATGTTACTGGGTAAGTTAAATCCAATATTTGCCTCCACCAATGTGTCATACTCTTAAAAAATATTAAAACATTAATTATTATTAATGTTGATTATTTCAGATTAGAATCTCAATATCATATGAAGCATGTTGGTATTGTTACTAATTCAACATTAAACAGTTTAAATCATCTGTTATCATAAATACGATTTAATATTTAATAAAGTAGTATACATTTTATTAGAATATTATTTGATTTACATACAATGTAAAGTATATATTTTAGTAATTTATTTCTTATCTACCCATAAGTTACTCTAAAAGTATATAATAAATTTTGAAATATTTTTAACTAATGGGAACTGAATAATTATTATTAAAGCAACTATTCATTTAAATTACTATATATTAAATAATAACCCAAACTTTACTATCAAAAATATTGTAACAAACACCACAGCAGTTTAATCTTTAAAATAATAACTTTTATTGTCCTTGATAAATATTGAAATATTGAAAAAGAGTATTCGAACAATTTATTATAAATTTATATAAAAAAAAAATAATGTTTGAAAATTTTTTAAACACTTATAATAAAATTGTCTTGTTTATATTTATATATAATTTTTTTCACTCAATGTTTTTTTAAATATTATTAAAGTATGCACCTTAGCCCAATGTCCAGCTTTACGTATCATGCCAATGATATCTCTTTCACCACACCATACAGCTCCCATAAAGGCACCAATGCTAACGCCACCTACCATATCAATTGGAATGCCAGCTTCCTAATGATAATAAAAACAAAAAAAAAAAGAATACAAATTCTATATTAAAATAATAAATAACAAATAATAATTTGTATACTTGTATAGCTTTAATCATTCCTATATGAGCAGCTCCTCTTGCACCTCCACCTCCTAAAACTAATCCCACAGATGTTCCTGTCAACCATCTGGCTAAACGTGAAAAATCTGAATGAATATTTACTTCTGTTTGTAATATTTTTTCATATTGTTCACTCTAAAAATTAACAAGTATTATATTATTTATAATTTGATTTTTTCATAAACTTAACAGATTTTGAGGCTTTTCAATATAATAATTATTATTATTTTAGTAAATTACAAATAAAATATAATATATTATATAATTTATACTACTATATATAATAAATTGTTAGACTTAACAGAAATGCTTAAAAATTTGATATGAGGTTCATTAGTGTAACAAAAAAAAATGAATAATTTAATGTAGTATTTTTTCTTTTTTATAAGAGTTTTAAAATCACATTTTGACGAAAATCATAAATATTATAGTCCTTTAAAACAAGTATACCAAACTTCTTTCTGAATCACTTTTTGTTAGTAATAGTTTATCGTTGATTACAGTTATAAATTAAATAACTTTATGTTTTTTTTTAGATGTTTTATAATTAATTCAAACTAGGTTTATAAAATAAAATAAATTATAAATGACCCAAACTGGGTGAATTTTAATAATTCTTAAATATTTATTACTTACTAAAACTAAAACTGAACGTTTCAAAAATATACGTTTTGGACATTGAATATGGTGATGTGATGACACCCAAGATCTTATATTCAACCAATCAACTGTATTAGAAGGTAAATCTGAATCTTCTCTGTGTAATAAAATTAATTCTTTTTGAGTACGTAATGCTAGGCGCTCAATATCTTTTTCATACTAAAAAATAAGTTACATTTTTATTGTGTAACAAATACCTACACAAATTAAATTATATTATTATTTTTCACTATTTAATAATAAATATGAGTTATTAAGTAATAGCTTGTAATAATTAAAAATAAGTACAGATAATAATACAAATTTACCTTTCCTAATGTAGGTTGTTTATTTCCTAGAGCTATAAGTAATATACAATCAGCTTGTCGAATACATCGTTGAGTCCAAGGAGAGAAGGAATAGTCACATTGATAAAGGGCAATTTTATGTTGATCTTCTTGTTGAGCTAACCAAGTAGTTAAACTATACTCATTATTATAATCCATAATAGATTTTCCTAATACGTTTCTAACATAGTCAGAAGTTAACCGTATAGTAGATCCAATTGAACATAATGAATGGTAGAGTTCATAGGTGAAACTAGTTATAGGAACATCATCTGATATAGGTACAATAGCAATAGTTGAAAAATTGCTTTGAGTTGGTCTTGTATCGAGTGTTTTACCAATTGTAGGTTTTTGCCAAGTGCCTAGAATTAAATGATTTTAACTTAAAAATTAACAAAATGGTTAATGTAAACAAATATAGATATTTACATTTCATAATAAATTTAATATTAAAATATAAATATATATTTGTTTAAATTACCTAAAATTCTGTGTCCCAAAAGATTAATAAGTGTAGAAACAACACCAGGGAAACGTATTTTAATAGCATTAAATAATCCTTCTGGTAACTTGGCAAGTTCTGAATCTCTAACTGCCATAACTGTTGTCCCTCTAGGTGTTTGGGTGACAACTTCTACCTGAATGTATATAATAAAAAAATTAAATTAACATATTGTGAATAAAAACAATATTTTTATAAAAACAAAAAATACACATTCAAAAAAAAAAATAATAAATAGGATATTTTTTATCAAGACTAAAAAATGTTAGACTACAATTACAGAAAAAAAATAAAATAATACATCCAATGTTAAAAATGAACCTCCTGCTAAATTTTCAAGCATTTCTGTTAAGTCTAACAATTTTATCACAGGGTACCTACCGAATAAAAATTACATAAAAAATTAAAATGTCTATAAATGGCTTAAATTGTTTGAAAATTTTACCACGTCTAGTTAAATATAAGTTTTCTGTCCAAATTTCAAGTCTCTATGAATATTTTTAACTGAATTACAACAAATAAAAAAATTGATAAAATAATAAAAACATTAATTTTTTACATTTCCCGTTTATCTTAAGTTTTATCCTTGGGTTTCCCAGATATTATGAAAACCGCTTGGAAAATTAAAAAAATGACCTCCCAAAAATACCACCTGGACAACATTCCCTTTTAGAAATGGTGCCGCGCGTATATATTTGAGCAAGATTTATGGTCAAATTTTTGTACACAGGATAAAATAAAATAAATAAAAAAAGAAAAATAAACATCTTAGTAAAACCAATCATTTTTTTGTTACACTCAGAATCTAAAAAATCTTCACAAATAAAAGTTATATCATAAATATGAATGTATGCTAAATTTGAAATTGATTACACCATGAAAAGTGGGTTTAAAATGGATTGCAAGATTCCATAACACAACTTAAGGTAAGTTAAAGAAAAGTATATATTAAATAACATACAATATAACAAAACATTTAACAATTAAAACTTACAATTCCTACTAGATCTCCTTTTCCATACTCGGCAACCAACTCTTTTTTTCCATTTTCATGAGTAATAACTGAACGTAATCGTCCACTTAACACAATAAAAGTACTATCAGATTCTTCACCTTGCCTAGAATTAAGATGAATTAAATATAATAAATTGTTTAGTTGCATAAAATGTAATTTTAAGTTTTCCTCAAATATAACTATGATTTTATTATTATTTATGTATCAAACTTAGTAAAAGTAACTTAAATGAAAAAGACTGACATCTTTAAAATACAATTTTGTTTATTTATTTATCTATAGAAAAAAATTCACCAAATTCTTGCTGTGAAAAAATTTTAACATACAAAATATTTATAAAATTTATTTCTTTGCTTCAGTTAGAATCGATAAATTAAAAAAAGACAACTATAAATAATTAATTATTATCTTTTGTCTATAAAAATCTGTAAATTAAAAAATAATTTTCAACTTACCTATACACAGCTCGTCCACTTTCAATAAACAACCAATCTAAGGCAAAATCTACTTGACGTACAAATGGTGATAAGCGAGCAACTACTGTGTTTGCAATTGGTAAAACAATTTGAGGTTTTATTCGCATTATCCTTTTGAGAAACAATAAAGGGTTACAATATAAAGTAAAAATCATAATATGATATTGGGTCTTCATTTAAATTCAAATTTAAAATTTTACATTCAGAATTTAAGCTATGTTGGTAAAAATATTGAGCTGGCAAATTCTACTGTGATAGCCTTTTGAAAATATTTTAAATGGACATACTTCATACCTTATATGATAATTAACAAAATAACTGACACTGTTAAGTTAAAAAAAATCATTAGGTAAAATTAACTCATAATGAACCTGAACCAAACAAACTTATATATATATAAAAAAAAAAAATGAAATAGTTGAACTTAGTTTAATTTTATGCTTATGAATTAGTGAACAAGTTTATATTCTGAATGAATATTCAAATGTATAACTATGTTAATTAAAATAAATTTATTTGACTTACGCATAAACTGTTTGTTTTGACAATATTGCGATTACACTTGGGCGATTAGCTCTAAAAGTGAAAAATCCATGTTCTCCCGTTAAAACAGCTAGTCCACCAACAATATCACCAGGCTGGACTGAATACATATGGGCTTCAGTCAATCCATCAGGATCCATTTTTTGTGATACTATCATTGACCCATTCAATAATAAAACTAATGCTGCATCCTGAAAATAATGGGAAGCCTTTCAAAAATATATATCATTAATAATAAAACACTTAATTTTACTATTTCTTTCATTTCCTGATAATTTTTTATGTTGGTTAGATAAAACTACAAAAAATACAAAAATAAAATTTAAAAAAACCTAGACAAAATATATAGCGTTTATTTTTATTGAATTGAATGTGTATTCTTATGATTAGAGCAGACTCTTGGACGATATGCTAATATATTCATATACCAGTGGTCTGTGTTTCTAAATAGTTAACTATACATTCTGTTTTCGATTTATTTTATTTTTATGTAAAAATGTGCCCTGCATTATTATTTTCTTAATTAAAAAATGATGTATCTAAATTCTGATCGAAATGTTAAATGAATATAAGTTAAATTTTAAAAATTGAAATATTGAGATTTTGTTATTTTTTTTATAGTCTGAAGTATCTGCATTTTGTAACTATTAACTAGGTACATTAATAAAATACATTTTAAAAATATGCAGTTATTAATTTCAAATTGTGTTTTTGAAATATTTTTTTGCATTATTTTATTTTCCATATAAATGCATATTTGGTGAATTTTTAAGGTAAAATTCCTTTGCCTTACTCATGATTAACCAAGTTACACAACAATATACATCAATAACATACATAAAATATAACACAAAATTATATCTAGGATTTTTCATCTTTTGATAAGACATTCTTCTGGGAGTTATATATCACTTTTAGAAGTAAAGTGTCAGATTCAGCCAATTAGTATCTTCATTGTAAGGAAGTAGTGGTCTCACTTAATGAAATTAGTTGATGTAAAGATCGTTAAAAAAAAAAAAAAAAAAAGATGGATACTGCTAATGAATGTGAAAGGTAGGAAGTTAGGAAAATAGAATACATAGTTATTTAATTTATATCTGTACACAATGATAAATCAATGATAACAAAATATGATTCTGAGTAAAGTTCGGTTAAACATTTTTTGAATTGATTTGATTAATGTTATTTTTTTTGATTTTCGTTAGAAAATAAAATTAAGTTTACAAAAAAACTAGTTTATTTTGCTAAACTTTTGTTACCGTTAAATACAAATTTTTATTTATGTAAAAACATTTTAACTGGGCAAAAATAATTTCATCCACACAAAACAATGAAAATCATTGACCATGTTTAGAAAATATAAGAATTTGGTAAAATTTGTATCATTCTTTTTAAATGAATTTACAAAAAAAATTAATCAAAAATATTGAAACCATTATTCTCAAATTTCCCAATTATTAAGAAAACTACAAGGAAAATTTGCTGTAAGAAAAAATTCAACTTAAGAAATTTGAAGCAAGATTTCTGGTAAAAAAACAAAATTGAAATCTTAATATTTTTCTGGTAAAAAAGTTGTTCACACAGAAATTATTGATACTTTATTTTATACTTAAACTTGTAAGTTGCAAAAAATTACTCTTTCACCACACTTTTTATAATTGTTCTTAAACTGTTTTAGAATAAATTATTAACATTAATCTTACTTTATAAGAATCTTCTCGCATTACATATATGTTAGTAGGAATTTTACGAACTTCAATTTTTCCTTTCAATAAATCTTCATTATCAAGTTGAAGTTCTTTAACAAAAACTTTTAATGCCATTTTATGAAACCATTCTTTTTTATCGTGTTTTGGCTCATTTGTAAGTGATTCTAATGTGTTATCTATTATTAATGTAGTTTCTAAAAATATTTTAATTTTTAACAATTAATAATAAAATATAAATGCATATAATAATAAAATATACCTTTTTGTACAAACATAGATGATTCATTTTTAGAAGCTGTAATAAAAGGACTTATTTTGTTTTCATCTAAACCCTAAATATAAGTATAAGTATATTAATATTTTTTTGTATTTATGTCCTAATAATTATGATGGTTTTTAAATATTAACTATTATTCACTTTTACATTTTTAACTAATTCAGATGAAAGTCCTAAATACTGATGAAGAGCAGTAAACATAACTCTTTGTAAACGGACCATCACCACTTGGATTATTTGAATTAAGGAATCTGGATAATCTTGTAAAACTTCCTGAAACGCAGCAATTGGTAACCTTACTATTGTACTATCTTCAACAGCAAGAGCACTAACAGTTTTATAATTCTTCTTATGACCCTATAACATAAATTTAATAGATACAAATGAATAAATTGTTTATTTTGTATTATTACTTACAATAAGAACATCAGTCAAACTTAATAATGATGTTACACTGTCTCCAGTTTTAACTAATTTCAAGGGGATTATGCTGCCATCAATTGAAGTAATATTTACACTAACAAGTCCACTTTGGACAATGAAAACATTTTCATCAAGATCACCAACTTTAAATAAATGTGATCCAGCACGTACACTTAATATTTCTGTATGACGACAAAGTTTTAAAAAAATTGGTTTTTCAAAATGTCCAAAAATACTGAAATAATAACAGTATTTAGCAAAATTAATTTAATGAACAATCCATATTTTTAAGCAAATTAATTATGAAAAAGCTTAAAACAACTATAATTATAAAACTGGTACTAAAGAATTGTTAAAAAATAATCCATTAATTAAGATAATTTTTTAAATAATTTCACCACAAGTCAAGCAATACTTTTTGAAATTAAACTAAATTCTTTTTAAAAATATTTGTGTGTAATGTAGGTTATATTTATAATAATCAATATATTTACTCTTGTATATATACAATATGTATCTTTTCTTTATATATCTTATTATAAGTACTGTCAGGGTATAAATTATACAATAGTTAGAAATATTATATAATTATAATGTATATTGGTGATGATTATGGAAATATACTTGTGTATATTATGCATATTTACATATTTTGTTTTAATAATTTCTATACTGACATTATTTTAAAATTAGATGAGTTTTAATATTTGAAATTTTGATTCAGTCAGGTAATGAGTGTAATGACTAATTATTATTTGGTCAATAATAAAATTACCATTAACTATGCTAACTTAAAAAAAATGTACACTTATGATAAAGAATTCACTCGGTACTACTCACATAATCAAATGTGTATGTGACGTACCTATACGATTATATGCAAAAAAATGCATACTTTTTATTAAAATGAACAAAGCTATTAATTACAATACTATCAGTAAACAAAATTTATAATTTTTTAATATTATTAAAAATCAAACTTACCGAATACTTTGTAGCATATAAAATGCATCAGGAGGAACAGAATGACCATCTTTCATAATTAATTCTTCTTCTAAATACTCAGCAGGTGGCTCCAATACCTATTTATCAAACAATTATCTATCAAAATATTTCATTGTTGAAAAATATATTATTTTAATTTAATTTTTTTTTTTAAATTTATATAGCATCACTTTACATATAATTAACAAATATAAATACATTTAATCTTTGAGGCAATGTATCTTTCTTCATTCTTAGTAAACGTCTAGCAAATTTAATCACTAATTTTCTTTTTTTCCCTTGACCACGTACTTGTCCAGATATACTTTTCACCTTAAAAAAAAAAAATAATATATTAAATAAACTTATATATTCATAAATAAATAAAGAAATAAATAGATACATTTATAAAAAGATTTTATAAAATATTAGTTTAAAACAGATATTTACAATAAATAGTATAAAAGTAAAGTATTTGTTTTAATATAATATAATAATATAATAATATAATAATATAATAATATAATATTTTATGAATTATTGACATAAATGATTATCACATACATTTTTAATTGTTTTACCTTTCTCAACATTTTTCGTCCATAAAATAAAACTTTATCACGTTTTCGAAACCTTGTTTTTGTAGTGGCACTGGTATCTTTTCCTTGAATTCCAAAAACTATATAAACATTTAATTAAATAATGGTTTAATAATTTTAAAATTATTTATTTTGTATATTATATAACTTACATTTAGCTTTCCATTTGTAAAACATAATTGTAACGAATAATAGTAATACTATTGTGCATCCAAGAAGTATTACTAACGTTTTCTTTAAAAACAATAAAACAAATAAATTATAATTGAATTACAAGTAAAAAGGATACACAAAGTGTTTAAATTTTTTGAGTATCCATTTTTAAATTAATTCCTTGATTGAATTGTTTAATACGTTTATAATTATAATTAGAGATCAGATTTATATTCTCTTATAATCCACAAAAAATCGCTTAAAAACATTTAGATTAAAAAAATTATAGTTTAAAAATCCCATCACTAATGGCTCTAACTTTTTAAAAATTTGTATTTGCAAGTTAAATACATTAGAGGGGGGGACTTTTATACCCATCTATTATTTTTGTATTTTTAAATATTTGTATGTGCTTTTTCAAGGTTTTTTTGGGGTTATCAAGTACTTTTTGTTAAATTTTAGAGCAAATAAATTTACTCTCTAGTTATAAGTATTGAATTTAATAGAAAAATAAATAAATAAAAGTATAATATTAACTACTAAACATAAATTATGTGAGCCATATGTATAAGTAGATATCACATTAATTAAATACAGCTGATATGTACAATATAATTTATCAGTGGTGTAGCAAGGATTTTGTTTTAGAGAGAACTAAATATGTTTTGCTTAAACCATAAGGTATGAGAATATATTAATGTGTTTATACCTACATACAGAGCGATTCACTAAGTGTGTTCACCAAATTTTTTTGATTACACTTAGCATATATTTAAGTTTTGATTATTAGAATCTTTAGGTGTAGTTAAAGTCAATATTTTTGAATACTTAGATTTTTCATAAAATTAAAGAAATATCCAGGGGCAATGCCAACTTTGATTTATCAAATGAGAATCAAATAAACAAACAAATTCATAAATGAATAGAGTATTGGTTAAAATAAATTTAAATATTAAAATTTCCTACAATTAGTCGACAAGATATTCCAATCTTAAGTTTAGGTAGAGGGAGAGTAGTGGAGCACTAATAAAAGGCACCTAATTAAATAATTAGCATAAAAAAGTATTTAAACAAATTTTCAATTATTCAATATATTCATATAAACAATTGAAAAAGAAATTAAATATGTATATTTTTTTTATGATTAAATTATGTTTATAAATTTGAATACAGGATATCTGTGAAATTGTACACACTTTCTCAATGAAACAATACATATTTATAAAATATAGGTAATCTTTTGTTCTCAGAAATTATACACAATTTTCTTTTTTCATATGGCAATTATTTATCTTATCATAGGAGTATTAAAGTTTTATATTACACATTTAAATAGATATAATTTGTATTTAACTCACTTCTATTAGTAAAAATTGGTAAGTTGATATTATCCATTTTCGAAAAGTTGAGTAATAAATGTCATTTTGAACAGAATAAGCTATGTCTAATAAATCCATTGCTCACAAAGCGACATTTAGATTATATATGAATGCTAATAATAATCAATAAAACAAATCAAATGAGAATTAGTAATACAAAAGAATCTAGGCACCTAAATTATAATATACTTAACAATTAATTTAACTAACATAATAACTAACAAAACAATATTATTGTACTATGTATTATCAATACTATATTTAGACCAGTAAATTACACAATGATAACATTGTGATATTACCATAGATAATGTATTATCTAAGGATATGACACATATGTTTTGATCATGAATATGATAATTATTTGTAATAGAAACTTGAAGGACTTCACCATAAACATATACCTTCATACCTTATATTAGTATAAAACATAGCCCATATATAAGACCTTGTATTGTATAGACAGGCCTAAGGTACTATAAGTATGCTTCTATAGTGCTCTAACTACCCTTGACTACAGAGTTACTGTGGTAGTATCCGATTAGCTATACTACAGTGATGTACAGTATAATCATATCAGTGTTGTCATTGTATATGTTGTCCAATGTACAATACTCGGTTTCAGATTTATTTAATAAATCGTGATACAATAATACCACGTAAGTCATACATGAAGCGCCCTCTATCGATGACCGTTCTACGTGAACAAAAGGCCAACCTATTAGTATAAGGTTAAGGTCTATGGTATAAGATTTATGATCATGGACTCCATAAAAAAATTGATTTACTTATATAATAGATCATAGGTTAATAGTTCTATAGAGGATCTTCAGAAATAATCTTTCATGGTACGGTTTATTCCATAAGAAATACACGCACATAGTATTATAATTTTTAAATTTTCGATTATTAAAAATGTGTTATTTATACGTTTTTATTCATAATCATATACAAATATTACGTATAGATATTATTTTGCTAGTTTCTGACATCATACAATATAAAAATCATAGATAACACATATGTGTATAATAATATATTATGATAAAAATACTCATCTGTGATAAGAAATATAGGAAAGAAAAACTATATCAAAACAATAAAAATGTCTAATAGGTATTTGTGTTTTAATAATAAACAAGTTAAGGTTAGGTTAAATTAACAGAAAAAATAATAATTTTATGTATTTTATATGAAATTTACCGTGATAATTTTGTTTTGAAACGTTGGTCTTATCAATAGTTAATGTGACATTATTATCAAAAATAATAATTAATATTATAACGTAATCTGTATTACGTTACTGTCTAGTTTACTACTACTTGTCCAGAATCTTCTAAGACCGTGGTTACTACTATTATTTGTGTCTACTTTAATTACGATTTTACGTAAAGTGATAACGGTGAATAATATTTTGTATCATAACCACGAATTAAAATATACACATACTTTATACTATTAAAGTATAAGGTCTATATGGATATACAGAATACCGAATTGAAAAGTGGTATAAATGTTTTTCTAAGTTCGTTCGGTTGTTACTTTTGAAATGACAGCTAGTGCTTTAAGGTAAAATTGGTAAAAAATCAATCAAAACCAGTTTAAAGTTTAGACTGAAAGAGTAGGGTACATAATAAATTGCATATCTATTCTATAAATATTGACATAGCTTATAAAGAGTACACCGTATAATGTTAGTGGCCTTGCCAAAAGGAATGTAGAAAAAAGAAAGCAAATTTATCATTATATTATAATTAGTAACATTAAGTGTTATTAAATATATTATTAATTTAATAATAATAGCAATAGCATTTTATACTTTTATAATAGTACTGAATGTATTATTATTATTATTTACTGGTGCCTTATATAGAAAAATTTTTTAATGTTGATTGTATAATGTATGTTTTTTATTTTTATAAAAGCTTCATTCAACTTATTTTTAACTTTCAATAAATTTTCTGGTAATGGTTGGTCGGGGAAAAACAAAAAATTAAAAGTACAAAGTATGCACATTTTCTCTTTTTTTTTTAATTACCTGCCAAAAGTGAAAATGTTTGAAGTACACTTGGTACATGTTCGTTTGGTATTCTATGTATCTTAACATGTAATCGTAACCGAAACATAAATTATTTTGTAATTATTTTATGTCTGCCACTGAAATAAAATAGCGCACATTAAATACAAATCAATATATCATAAAATAAAATCAAAAATAATATTATTCAATATTCACTTAATTGATAATAATTTTGTTATCAATGGTATTACAAATTGTATATAAACATGAAAAACGCACGGCATGAGTGCTCACGATTATATAAACATGATACGACACGTGTGCACTATGCATATACACCAGTTGTATGAATTGTTATTAGATATTTAATCTATCGTTTTGTGATACAAAAGCAAAATCGTTTACCAGTAATATACAATAACGAATGACGTGGTTGTTGATTCATAGATTAAACTGTAATAGTGTATAATATGACAGGGTTTAAAATAAAGTTATAGAATTAAAAATTAATTTATAATATATATACAAAACACTTATATTTACTGACACACTTGCAAGTTTTTCACTTCAATGTTTATATATTTATATATATTTTATAGGCTTTTTGTTTTAAAAATGTGTTCTAAGAAGTTTTTATTTTTTTTTCCTATTTTAATAGTGTTAAATAATTATAAATCATTGGCACAATATGCACCACCAGGTGTTAACCCACAACTGTATCAACAACAGCAACAGGTAAAGAAATTGTAAATAATAGCCTTAAATATAAAATAAAATTACCCATTACCATTGATTCTATAAATTAAATATTATTACTTATAAAACATATTATTAACAATTAATTTTGTTTTCACTAGATACCAATTCAGCAACATCCACCTTCACAACAAAATATTCCCCAACAGCCTTACCAACAACCACCACCGCCACAGCAGCAGCAACAACAACACCAACCCTCACAGCACCAACCAGTAGTTATTTACTATTTACATTAAATATAACTAATTAATTGATTAATATTTCTTATATAGAAAATATTATATAAATTTATTTGAGAAAAGTATATAAAATTTTTTTTAAAAAAAAAGGTGATTGGGTGATTTAATTGGTATATTTTAGGGTCATGGCCATGGATCTGAAGGACATCAATCTCATCCACAACAAGTTTTACATACTAATATTGCAGAAGAAAGCGAGTAAATATCTGTATATTTTATATATTGAAGAATTTTGTATTTTATTTTGTTACTATACTAATTTTGTTTAATTCAAATTTTAGACATATTAAAAAACATTTAGATTTACCATCATTAGACACAAGTACAATGTCAGAACAAGAATTACAATTTCATTATTTCAAAATGCATGATGCAGACAATAATAATAAGTTAGATGGATGTGAACTTATCAAGTCGCTTATACATTGGCATGGTAATTTTATAATTAATAATATATATTTTACTAGTTTTTGGTGTTAAAAACAAATATACTGATTGTAAAGAAAGTTACAAAAGAGAAATAATAATACATTTTAAAATATTCATCATTATTTATAGTTGACTTATAATAATTGTGATATTTTGCTTTAAGTTCAAGGTGGTCAAGATCCAGCAGCACAAGGCGGTGCACCTCCACCAGAAAAAATATTTACTGATGAAGAATTGATGCAATTAATTGATCCCATATTAAATATGGACGATACAAATTTTGATGGATTTATAGATTACCCAGAATTTGTTATTGCTCAAAATAAAGCAAACAACATGCAGAAACAATCAGCATAAGAAAATAATCATAATTTAATTACAAACATGAATATTTATTTTTAATCTGAAATCTACTATATTACACAAATAAATAATAATAATAATTATTTTTTTCAGCGAGGTATTATATTAAGTTTGTATTTCCCAAATTATTTTTAAATGAAAATGAATTTGTTTCAATGTAATTAGACTAATTAGTTAAATTAAAAATCATACATATTATTTGTTAGGTTATCGTAATTATTTAACTACTAAAATGTATTGGAGAAATATAAAATGTTATTATTATTAAAATAAAATTTAAATCAACAAGAGGAACTAGGCCAACTCAAATTTAATAATAAATGTATCACCTTAAACATACATATTTTTGTGAGACTTAGTTTCTCTTGTATATAATAAGGTCTTACTTATTTTTTTTACAAATATATTTCTTATTTTTTTGATATTTGAGTTTATTCATTAACATTTCAACATTTTCTTCAACACAATCATCCCGAGGCTTATTTATCTTGCGTACAATCAAGAATAAACCAATCAATGTTAAACCTGTAATAAAATTTTAGTATTAATAATTCATACATATTATTATTCACATTTTTTATCTTAGCTTGCCATTTAAAATAGTAGGAAATACAATAAAAAAATTTAAAGTTGTTGACTGGTAATGAATTGCTTCGCTGAGATATAAAACAATGGAAAGAACCATAGACATAGCCCCAATACTAACCATTCTAAAAAATAATAATTGAAGAAAATCCAACAAATATTAACTATTGCAATGTATCACAAATAATACAATGATCAAAATGTTTTTTACTCACGGCTTATAATGAATAAATAATGAACAGTGTATCAAACATAGAGCTTTAAGAAGTGAAAACATTCCTAGAACTCTTGGTAAAGTTGAATCCTCTGTAAATAATTATACTTAAAATTATCAAATTTTAATTATTGAATTATTATATAATTTTCTTTTTTGTACAAATATTTTTAATTCATCACAATATACAAAATATTTAAATGTATATAATGCAATTCCTAATAATAACTTATTATTGAAATCTATACTATTTTACAAGTAATTGTATGGTTATAATAACAATTGACAGGGAAAAATTTACTATTTTTTTATAACAACTGAATGTTTTGCATTTATCTGATAAGATCAAAAGTTTAAATTATGAATGTTTTTAATATTTATATAAATACAAAATTATTTTAAATAACTAAAAAATTACCTATTATAAGTAAAAAACCAAAATGCAAAAATATATTGCATTACCAGTTGTTTTATTTTTCATATTCTTTCCAATTCTCACTACGTTATCTATTATTTTAACCTATTATTAATAAAAGTTTTCTGATTGAAATAACTATTGTAATAGAATTTTTTAAGTCTTAATAATTTGTTTAAAGTAAATTATGTATACAATATTAATTATAAATAGATATAATAATGTATTATTATTAAATATATAAATAAATAAATGTGCTGCCTGGAGTATTACAATTCATTGTCAGGTAAAATCAAAAAGTAAAACGTGTTATACTAAAAGTAGGTACCATGTATAAAGTTTTCATCTGCATGTAAATTTGATCGGGTTCCAATGATACATTTGTTCTCAAAAAATGACCTGAATGTTACACCAAGATCCATGAAAGCCACAAAAGCCAACCATCCTCGGAAAGTATATAAAATTTTGTCCTCCACCATATTTCAAATAAACCAAGCTACAATATAACAATTAACTAAAATATAAGATCGAAAAATCTACTAATAATCTATTAAATAATAGTTTTAAAAGTCTATGGGTGCAAATTAGTGATTTGATAAAAATACCAAATAATGGTACCATTTTAAATTTTTACATCAATTAGGTACTCCATGTTCAAGTTGTTCAATGTTTTTTTTACACAGTATATAAAAATTCGAACACACACAAATCTAGTCTACATAATTTTCTGGGACAACAATTATTACTCTCTAAAATTATTTTCTTCCGTGTAATGAAAATAATAAGCATGCAAAGCACTCTTCAGCAATCAGTATCATCATAATCCATCAGCACTCAGCAGAAGTAAGTACATTTCCAATGTATTGCATGTGTTAAATTAGATATTTTGTTACAAATATTTAAATAACTGAATTTAATAATCGTAAGAAGAAAAACTACAGAAATTCGATCAAATGAATAGTAAAGACTGAAAATCTTGGACCACGGAATAAAGATTACAGATACTACCACACCGATAGTCGCACGGCCCATAAACAAAAATATTACGATAAACGTAGAAATATTATTTATTAATTTATTATGTTAATTGCTACACAAAGTAGACTTCCTTATAAGTATTGTGAATTCGTTAAATTGTGACCACAGACAAATATACTAAGAAAAAATAGTTGCGTGTTCGTGTCCATCGTATTATGCTTATGCCAAAATAAGCAGCTGACCATACCATGGATAAAATATGAGTTTCGTATTATCGCTAATGTGGTCACTCCGATACTTTGATTTCTAATCGTCATAATGATAACATATCTTTCAAAGATAATAATGATAAAATTACATGTGACTATGCGAAATGTTGAATATAAATATATTAAATAAAACATTACATTTTTATACTGTTTTATTTTTATTTACCTAAACCTACATTAAGGATGAAGAATAAAATATTTTTTGCAAAAAATAAATTGCCAAAAAAAATTAACAATCGGCGTGGAAGACTTATTATAAGAAATCTTCCATTTACTGTAAGTTTTGAAATCAAAGTTATCTAAGATTTTAAAATTATGTGGCTATAGTAATTTTTTTTAATTACCTATTTCAAAAATTATAATCTGTTGATATACAAAATTGTTTATAAGTAAATTATAATTTTTTTCACAATATTGTTAGACAAACGAAAAGGAACTGCAAGAACATTTTTCTAAATTTGGAGAGATAAATGATATTAAACTTCTTCGTAAACCTGATGGAAAATTAATTGGTTGTGGCTTTGTACAGTTTGCTGTTAAGCAAAATGCTGCTAAAGCAATTGCCCATACCAGTGGAAAAGATTTTTCAGGCAAGTATTGACAATTGTTTAAAATATTATTTTTGTGTAATACCACTGATACATAAAAAAAAAAGTTTCATATAGTAGAGACGATAGTGAGGTATTATAGAAGATTTTGAAAAAAAAGAGGGTTGAAAATGTGAGAATAAATATAAAAAGTGTACCTATTTTGATAAACAAGAGTTCATCAATGGTCAGTATTAAGTCCACACTTGCTTGCATTTGTTATTGTTAAGATTTTGAGTGAAGCATTCTAATGTATTATGTTTGCAGACAATTTAGTTTTAGTTGAAAATAGGTCACATTTGTTGAAAGGTGGAAAGAGATATTGTGGAGAAAAAAATGTAAAAAACCATTTATCACATTCAATCTAATCTGTACAATTATTTTTTTACATTTTTGTTGTCATGGCTTTTAAACTTATTCCCCGATTTACTTGAAATTTATTATAAAAATCCATTTGGATGATCATATTTATTGTTTTAGTTTCTAATGATTTCCTGACTAATACTAATATATAAACTTTTTAATTTATTGGTACATTGGAAGTTAATAATGCAAGATAATATATACTGGGATTTTTTTCAATTAATTTTTAAGTACCTAAGTATAAAACTGTTTTGTACTTAGTTGATACTTTTAGTTTTTATGTACAAAAAAGCTAGTTTAAAATATTATTTTTTAATTATAAGGTATATATATTTTTAAAAGGTCGATCTATTGTTGTTGATTGGGCTATACCTAAAAATAAATATGAAACTATTCATACTTCTAAAGAAGAAAATAGTTTAGTCAAAGAAGAACTAGTTATAGAGACTGAGAAAGTAGATCAAGAAATTAAAGAAGAAGTTTTATCAGATGATGATCAAGCTGAAAAAGAAAAACCTTCAAAAACTATTGAAGATTATCTGACTCTTGATACAACAAAAATTGAAGATGAAAATTTGGTGGATTTTGAGACTTCACATTTTGAGTAAGTTACAACATTAGTTTTAATTACTGAATAATATAATTCATTTCCTATGTATGTTTTTAGATATGATGATAAAAACAAAAGAAAAAATACCGATGATGAATCTGTAATTTGTACTGAAAATAAAAAGCGTTTTAAATCTCATGATACTAAAGAGGGTTTAACAGTTTTCTTTAAAAATGTATCATTTAGTGTTACTAATGAAGAACTAAAGCGATTTATGAAAGAACGATTTGGACCTATTTACTATGCACTTATCTGTGTAGATCGTTTAACAGAGCATTCTAAAGGAACAGCTTTTGTTAAGTTTAGGGTAAATATTAAATAAATGAGTTCAAAATAATTATTATTCCAATGCATTAAAAAAAGCCAATATACTTTGTATCAAGGGTATACCACTGTTGTAGGTTGGAAGTTAGAAATGTAGGATATAAAGGTTAATTCAATTTATATTTATTGACTTTGAGGGAAGTTTGTTTGAACATTATTTAATAAGTTTTAAATTTAAGTTAATTTAAACAAAATATGATGAATCTTATATCAAATTGTTAGACATTAAAGCCAAATAAAAAGAGCAAGAATGTTTTGAAAATTGTATTATGTCTAAAAAGTGTTTTTATAAGTATTTGGTGAAAATTTTAAGTCTACGTTTATTTTGAACTGAAATATAATTAAAAAAATAAATTAAAATAGGTATTAGAAACTTAAATTTTAAATTCTATTGCCTAAATTCCCTTTTTTTTTTTCATATATTAAAGAAAATCAATCAATGACCTCTCCAATACACCAAAAATACAAAACGTGATACCAAAAACACATCCCTATAGTTGATAATCAGAGCAAGATTTTTGATAGTTAAGTTGTAAATAGACTAGATACAAAACAATAAGTATAAATCATAGTAAAACTAATATATATTCCTTGCTACACTTAAGATTGGTAACAACAAATATTCTAAAATATTTTAAAGATATTGTTAGGTTTTTAAATTTTATGTCAAATTTAATTATCTGTTTAAATGAAGTAATCATAATTTATGTATTAAATTATTTTAAATTTAATACTACAACTATAATAAGTTTTTGCATTCATCATTTTTTTTTTAATTAAAAATCTTCTAAGTGCCATTATTTCATACAAATTGAAGTATACTGTTTTTTTACAAAAATATTAATTGGTATACATATTTATATGCAAATTGTTTAGAATACTAGTAGTGTAGATACTTGTATGACTTGTTCTCCCGAAGAGCTAACTCTATCTGGATCTACAATGGAACCTCAAATGGCAATTGATAAAGATGTTCTTGATAAATCAAAAGAAGGAAAGATTATTCATAATGACAATAGAAATTTATATTTGATCAAGGAAGGAGGTATATAGATGATATTTATTTTTATTGTAATCATTTTTATTTTGTATTTGATGAATATATAATTCTTGAATTCATGTTGTAGTTATAATCGTTGGTACAGCAGCTGCAAATGGTGTATCTGTTCATGATATGAACAAACGTCTACAGTTGGAACAATGGAAATCTCAAGTTTTAAAAAATTTAAACATGTTTGTGGCTCGTAATAGACTTATTATTCACAACTTGCCTGCTAACATAGATAATAAAAAATTAAAAGATTTATTTTCAAAGTACTCTCGTCCTAATGCAGTATTAAAAGTAAGTACAAATTATTATCAATATACCGCATTCATATTGATTATTTTATCCAACAAATTACCACCATAAATTAATTTAAATGTTTAGTTTTTAAAATTTATTAATTTACCTTCATTTCCTAAAAATTTTACTATATATAGTGTGATCACGATTTAAGGTAACACTAAATATCTCTGGTGGAGGACCTTGTATTGAAATGGAGTTTTCGGGAGGTGATAAGGAGTACCTAAATACATATTTTCAGATAAATTTCAAATTTTTAACACTTGGTATGCGTATGCGCAATACAACTTACATTTTTTGAAATAGAAACACTATTTTTTTTTTCTACATATTCGGATAGATGATTTTTTTTTAAACATTTTTTGTATTCAATGTTTTTTTCTATTTATAAAACTGACCAAGTTAGAGTAAGTCAAAATTTGGATTTCTGTATAATTCGTGTTTAATGAAATTTTCATTTATAATCACTGGAAATACTAAAATAATTGTGAAATAAATGTTCAATTTACTTTATCTGTTTACAAATAATAATTTAAAAATATTGTTGGTCACTAGAATAAATATCTCGAATATGTAATAATTTTTGTTCAGTAAACTGCAATAATACGATTACAATTTTAACTATTTTTTTAGTGGAATTTTATTTTATTTAACGATAAGATAATCAGATAATAAGGCATTTAATTTGATGAAAATTATAATTTTAGTTTTATTCTGTAATTAGACCCGTTCTAAAGTGTGTGCGTTATCCGTGGATGTCTGGTTATTAAGTGCTTCTATAAATTATAATTTTTTAAATATGAATAACGCTGAAAAAGTTGAATTGTTTTTAATTTATTGCGAATGTCAATGTAATATACGCCTAGCTGCTATGAAGTATGCCGAATGATACCCAGAAAAGTACCATCCACCTTATAATTATGTTTTACGACTTTTAAAAGGGTTAAAAGAGGAAGGAAGATTTCCTGGCAGACAAATAATTCAACAAAGGCGTAGAGCAAATATGTTTGATGACGATACAGAATTACAGGTACTAGCATACATAAGAGGTAATCCATGTTCGTCAATTAGGAATGTTGCTCGCGAAATTGGCGTTTCATATGGTTATGTTCAAAAAATTCTAAAAAAACACAAAATGCACCCATATAAAATCGATTTTGTCGTGGAAGAGATTCTATTCGTAGGTTGGAATGTATAGCTTGGTTCTATATTAAATTGTATGATAACCCTTTAATTGTCAATCATATTCTTTGGAGGGATGAATCAAAATTCACTAACAANGGCTTTATGAATAAACAAAATCATCGATGCTGGGATGACACAAACCCACACTGGTCACGTGAAACTAATTTTCAAATGGTTCGGGGAATTAATGTATGATGTGGGTTAGTTGATGGAAAGCTAATAGGACCGTTCTTTTACGATTGTACGCTTAATGGCAGACAATATCTCAATTTCTTAACCAACGAATTACCAAGACTGTTGGATGATATTTCATTAGACACACGGAACCGTATGTTTTTCCAGCATGATGGAGGACCAGCCCACAGTGCAATTATTGTTAGACAATATTTAAATTAAATATTTCCAAACCGCTGGATTGGTACTTATGGAAGACTGGTTTATGCAAATCCATCTGTCAATATTCAGGACTTAAAAAACAAAATACAGGCAGCATGTGATATTTTAAGTGAGGAGCAAATTAAGGCGGCAACTTCGACTGAATTTTTGAGACAAATTGAATTATGTTTAGAACACAATGGTGAAAATTTTGAACAATTCATATGATAAATTTATTTAATACATTTTATTTTTTATTATAATATTAATATTACTATTACCATTATACATTCTAGTGACCAACAGTATTTTTAAATTATTATTTGTAAACAGATAAAGTAAATTGAACATTTATTTCACAATTATTTTAGTATTTCCAGTGGTTATAAATGAAAATTTCATTAAACACGAATTATACAGAAATCCAAATTTTGACTTACTCTAACTTGGTCAGTTTTATAAATAGAAAAAAACATTGAATACAAAAAATGTTTAAAAAAAAATAGTGTTTCCATTTAAAAAAATGTAAGTTGTATTGCGCATGCGCATACCAGAAGTATTAAAAATTTGAAATTTATCTGAAAATATGTATTTAGGTACTTCTTATCACCTCCCAAAAACTCCATTTCAATATAAGGTCCTCCGCTAAAGATAATTTAGTGTTACCTTAAATCGTGATCACACTGTATTTATATATATATATACAGTGTAGTATACTATATATATATATATTTTACATTTCTTTGAAAATATACAATCTGTAAGTGGTATTTTATAATAAGTATATGTGATTAGATAATATATTTTGTACATGAATGGCTTCATTTAAGGAAATACCCAAATGTAGTACTTATGACCCGGATTTTACTATTTAAAATTAAAATTTGCTAATATTTTTCTTGTAATTTTAATTTACCTTAATTTTGTAATGTTTTTATTTTTTATAACCTATAAAAAAGAGGAATAATAATACAATGCTTCACTTATACTTTGTTCGGAATCTTAAATTGTTTGTTTTAATTACATATATTTCAGGCAGTTGTGATGAGAAATTTGAAAAAGGTGGATCCTAGTGGAGTAGCCATTTCAAAAGAATATGGCTTTGTTACATTCAAAGATCACGAAGATGCTTTGAAAGCACTTAGAGCTATTAATAATAATCCAAACATTTTTAATTCAAATAAAGTTTAGTTTATTTTATAATTAATTAATTAAAAAACTAATTTAGTAATTAAAATTTTACTTTTCTATATGAAAATATCATTTGTCATATACAGGGTGATTCTTTTATCATTGAACACCCATTATTCCACTACTTAGACTAAAAAAAATTGTTTTCCGTAAACTTGTTCATGAGAAATATTCTACTTTTAGGTTTGGGAAGGGGGAAAGCAGTAAAGCTCTATTCAAGTGTATACTTCATGAAATAATGAATGTTCAATAGAAAAAGAATCACCCAGTGTAACCTAACCTATCGTAAGAGTATGTTATACCCACATTTATTGTGTTGGTCTGTCTAAAAAATAACATAACTTTAAACTTTTGATGTGAAGTTTGACTTTAGAGGTTATAAATCGAAATAGTTTTCCATTTAAGAATAAAATATCAAATATTCTAGTATTTTTATAATACATTAAACTCAAACATATGTTCTTATTAAATTTGGCCTTGAATATATTATTCATTTTAAACATCACTGTTATATAGCAAAATTGTGTTCTATTGTTGTTTGTTGTACAGACCAATGTAGTAAATGCAGATATAATACTATACTATACTCACTATAGCTTTAAAGATTCATAAAATAGTAACAAATATTATTTCAGAAGATTAATCATTGATATTATCATTTTAGAGACCAATTGTTGCATTTTCTATTGAAAATAGACTTGTTTTACAAGCAAGGCAACGAAGAGTAGAAAAAAGTAAAACATGTAATCCATTAATTAACAAACAGCTCTCAAATACTGAAAATAAAAATAAAAAGATTAATAAAACTGAAATTAATAAAAAAAATAAAACTGCTGAAAAACTATCAAAAAAGAAAACAGCAGATCTCCCTGAATATACCGGAATCACAGCTAGAGAGGTAACTGAAACAAATATTATTTATTGTACAACACAAATGTGTAAATGTATACATTTTATATTTCAGGGACATACTGCGATTCGATCAAAATTCAAATTAAAGATTCAATCTGAATCTCATCAGAAAAATGTCAAAACTAAGAATAAACTAACCATGAAAAAGAAACGTAGCCTAGACATTAGAAATGAAAAAAAGAGAGAACCAAAAGTATGTTTAGTAAATAATTAATATTTTTATAAATATTAATATTATCATATATTTCAGGTGAAAAGTATAAAAAGAAATATTAAAAAGAATGATGCATCATTTACAACATTTACAAAATTAGTTAACAAATATAAAAACCAAATGTCAACACCAGATACATTAAAAAAGTGGTACGACACCAAATGAGATTTTTAAGATGTTTTTTTTGGTATTTGTATTTTAATAAATTAAAATAATTATCTTGATTTTTATTTTATCATTTTACTTCCATTAAGCTGTTCTAAAAAATATGTTGTACTTAGTTAAATTATAGAACTATATTAAGCCTGCCAATTTATTGAAGAATGGTAGCTGTAAAATTAGAAATATGACTTCAACTTTTCTAAGTTTATCTTAAAGAAATAAAATAAATTATGCAAAATATTTAATTGTATTAAACAAGTAATATACAATGATTACTAAACCTTATATATAAAAACAAATGGCCATCTTTGCACGATAGGCCACTGTTGTAGGTGAGAAGTTACGAAGGTAGAGGGTAAATTCAATGTATATCTGTATGCAAGGATTAATCATTGCCAACGAAATCATTGCTGATTCTGATCAGAGTTCAATGATTTATTTATAAAATTAAATGCCAGTTAGGCAATATACAAAAGATTGTAAATATAACTATTAAATTATTAAACAATTAAAAAGATAACAAGAGAGAAAAAAACATATAAAACAAATATAAGAATATTAAATATATAATAGTAAGAAACAATGGTACGAAATACAAGATCATGGGGGAGAGGGGATACATTATTTACATTTACAAATAAATTATTGACAATTTCAGTATGAAGCAGCATAAAATTAATAAATTCAATAAAAAAATTGTTAAAAATTACTTTAACAGTGTTTTTTCTAAGTTTTTCCCTATATATTGTGAAATTGCATAGGAAAATCAAAAAATTACCTCCTTAAAGTACAACCCCAGTTGGATTTCCTTTCAGAAATAGTGGTACACTTGAAAATCTGAGCAAAATTTTTCACAGAAATAAATAAACTTCTAAATATATTATGTTATAAAATATAATAAATACAAACAATAGTTTACAATAGTAAATAATAGATATATACATTGTATAATGTATACAATTAATAAGTCTAAAAGTGACAATATTAAATTTTGGATGGTACATTCATATAAGATAAAAAACTAAAAATAATATTTTATTCAAGAGATTTGAAGACTATCCTATCAATCCCACCATAGTATACTATATATAATTTGTCATATTTAATGACTACATTTTGCTGCCTATTTTGTTACTGCATTCTGTTTGCTAATTCTATGTTATAATAATTATCTATTTAGATTTCAAATTGACAAAAGATTTTGATCTAAAAAATATTTTTTTAAGCTCTTCTAAAAATATGTGTAGATGTATATTACATCTACAAATCTCATGGTATATTTGGTCAAGTAGTCTAAACATTGATATCAGATAAAATTTGTTGAAATGTTTGCTGTGCATAATATCTGTAACACAAAATCAGTTATAAGTTTATAATAATAGAAATACATGACATAATTTGCACATGTGTGTGGCACTATTGTAGGTGAGAAGTTTGGAATGGAGTAGAGGGAAATTTAATGCTTATTTGTACGAAATGAATAATATTGCTTATGAAAAAGAAAACATATAGTCATTCCTATTACTAATTGGTAAGACAAAATAATATTAAATTAGTTAATAAATATAAATTCTATATTAATTCAAGAAATGAAATTGAAATTCTTTATTTACTAATTTTAGTTTTATATTTTTGTATTTTAGTTTATAACCTATAAAATAGAGTTTCATTGAAGGAATTTAATTATAGTCTATTATTAAATCATCATGAGATTTATAATTAACATTTAACAATACAATCATAACATGAATAATATAAATTATAATAATAAATAAATACAATTTTTAAGTATAATTAGTATCATTATACATTTATAATCATAATGTTTATTTAAAAGTTTATTCTGATTTTTTGTTCGACCTTTAATGAAAATTTAGTTAAAATATATTGATTACTAGTCTTACTAGTATCTACTTGTTCACAGATGAATTAAGCTGTAGTTTATCAGAGTATAAACAAAATAGTTTGTACTATGACAAACACTGTTCACGGATGAATAAAACTGTAATATGTGACTAGCTTTATATTATACAAAAATTTGTTAAGTATAAATACCTATATAAAATAATAAATAATACATAATTTATTTAGCATAAATGAAATATAACTCATTGTTGGGTTTATTGTATACAATTAAAATTAAATAATTATTCACCTGATTGTTATCATATTATGTTTATTTGGATATGCTAAACATAATGTAATACCATTTGAGCGCATAGCATAATAATTATACTTTTTACCCTTACTTGAGACTTCGTTTGCCATTATATCATCTAGCAAACAATATAAAATACACACGCTTTAAAATTTAACTTATTAATTTAATAGTATAAATCTTAGAGCGTAAAAAGTAATACTTGACTTGGTACAGTTAAGTTGTATTTAATTATTTAAAATATATAGTATACCATTCATAAGACGTGATGAAATTTTATTGTAAAAAAGTATAATTCCATTTTGGACATCATTACTTGAGTAATAATTTTGCATAAATTTGAACGAATTTGTGTTTATTATAATATAACTAAAATGAAACATATCAATAGTTTAATAAATGGTGTATTATTATAATGGTAATGATCAAGAAATTTGATATTTGTATTAATATAAAATTCAGTGTTACCCAGATGTTAATTCAAATTTAGTGGAATTGGATCTAAAATTATTTATAACTGTTCTAAAACTTTTAGCAGCACTGATTTCAACATCGTCTAAATTTGGTGTAGGTCCACAAATAGCTGCTGCCCATACACCTTGTACAATCATGCAACATACTAATCGTAAAAGAACCTGAAAACAATTAATGTTGAAGTATAATGTTGCATTGTAAATAGAAATAAATGATTTTCAACAATAACATATTGTTTGATGAATAAGATCTCATGCAAAATATTATTTAAATGATAATATAATACTAAATTTAAAGATGATAATGAGTTCCTATAATAATAATTGTACTATTAAATTAGTAATGTATTAAACAAAATAAGTCAGTAATTTTAAGTGTTTCATACATGTTAGTGTAAGTGTGTAGGGCTAATGTTGTAAGGGGAAAAGAATTTGAAGAGGTAGGATACTTATTATATAGTTTTTTTATGTAACTATAATTTCCACTATTTGCTAGATACCTATCTATAATACAGTTTATAGTACATATTTGACAATTATTTATTATTATTAAATAATATTGTCATAATTATAACATCACTGATTTTATATAAATACATATATTAATTTACCTTAGTACTTGAATGAGGTAAAAAAATTGGAATATCAGCTGATGTAGTTTGGTCATAACAACTGGCTAAAATGATGGTTATTAGTAATTTTCTATCACTTTTATGCAAGTCCCACCAGTCCTGTGTTGCTACACATAATTTCTTGTCCACTATAACCCAACACAAGTTGCTACAAATTGTTTCAGACCAATTATATAAACAATTCTGAAAATTAATTAATAAATAGTTATACAATTTAAAATTATTCATAAACTGCTGATTGACAAAAATAATGAGGATTAAATTTTATACCTCATTATAAATTCTTATATCGAAACAAAATAAAAATGGCAATTTTTTTAATCTTTCAAATAAACCAGTGGTGGTCAAATATGGCTCGCAGATTAAATTTAACTAATGAACATTTATTAGTCGGCCCACCAAGTATTAAATCAAGGTTGAAAAAAAAAATAATTTCAAATTTCAAAAATTAACTTACATTAAAAAAAAAGTTTTATATTTTTTGTTTCTCATTTATAACAATGAACACATAATAAATAATTTAATACATCACTGTACCTATATTAATATGTACTTACAACAAAATATAATATTCTGTAAAAGTAAAAGTTTATTTATTAAATTCTTGGCCCGTCAAGAATCAATTTTTTTTTTAATGATTTGAAAGGCATTAATGAAATAGTCAATTAATAATTAACTTTAGTGTTAAAAATTTCTACAAGAAAATTTAAGACATGCATTTTCAACATTATAAAACTAATGATTTTTTTGCAGTGATCAGAATCTAAAAATTAAATACCTACTTAAGCAATTTAATATTCTTATCTTTTATATTAAGTACATACGTGATCAAAAAAAGGATTTTTATTTTTCTTTCAGCCTTTTAATTTAAAATACTTATTTAATTTTATAATGTTACGTTTATTGTTTTGTTATCCTTCATTGACTGCATTTCAATAAAATTGATCAAATGCTTCTCTATTGTAACCGTTGTAAGACTTTTTAAAATATAATCAATAATGGGTAAACACGGCTAAATAAACAAATATTAAATTAAACATTTGAATTTACATAATATTAAAATGCTAAATAAAATATTGCCAATTAAAAGTTATTTAAACATAATAAATACTTTTATTTCACGTTTTATTCTATCTGCATTCTTATTGTATATGTTTTCATCTCCAATTATCATTTTAATTAAAGTTGAAATCAGTTTTAAACCTGTTTTTATTGTAGAATCATTTAAATCACCAATACCTGCCATAATTAAACTGTAACATATTTGTGAAATATGATTGGCATAACATAAAATTCAATATCAAAATGTTTATTATTATTATTTAATTTTCATAGAATAAAACATAATAATATAGCATACCTATCTCCAATACTATGCCAAATAAACGAGTGTTTATCTGTATGAATAGCTTTAAATTGGACATTTTGTACATCAGCAAAAGTAATAACAGCATTTAACGTTGAAAAAGTAGTAAATGGTATCTAAAAACATTATTAGAAATTAAGTAAATAAACTAGATAAATATTTAGTGTAGAGTTCAAATTTGAAAGTGTGACATTAAAAACTATGAATAAATATAAATAAAGAATATAGCATACATATATATAGTTTTATAGACTAAAAAAAAACATTCTAACAATCTCAAGAAGGTAGGTGATATAAATTAATTTATATGAATTATCAATGTTAATGTTAACCATAACATTTAGTCTATTTTAATGTTTGTTATATTTTATCTAATTTTTAAAATTATTAATGAGAGTTTTGTCTTATGTTCATTGTATTTATAATTTATGTAACTTACAAAATCTTTTCTATTATTTGTTCTGTAAAATATAGGAATTCCACCATTTACTGTAGTACATACAACGTCAAACATTATAATTTATAAAAACAGATAACAATATATTAATGATATAAGTTATAATTATAAAGATTTTTTTTTTATGTCTAACTTTTGTTTTAAATTAGTGAAATGGTAACATTTAAAATTAATTTTATCAACGCTGTTAATAATAACAATACACAAATAAAACAAACATTGTTTTGTCTATGATAATACCACAGAATAGATATCAGTTAAAATCAGAAGCTTGAACATTATTATATACTGTTATTTCTGATAGTATACTGGTCATACTGATTGAATAATTATTAATTGGAAACATGGCCGTCACGATCATATATTAACAGACAATATACTTATTAACCTTAAGACATATTAATAAATTATTTATTAATCATCTTAATTTATTCTATTTTTAAAATTCTAAAATTTAAATTATTCAACAAAAAATCAGATTATCGGTAGTTGATGATCAATTTTATGTTTGAACTTTAGAGTTTCCCCCCTAAAATAAATCTGATCATGAAGATAATATAATCTATGGTAATACCACAAACCACGGACTATCTAATACTAAGATATCGTAGTCCGTGGCACTAACCTACTAATCTAGAACTGTGGTACAGGTTGTGCAACTGATATAAAATTGGGAGACGTCCGGATACCACGAAAACACTGTAAAGATGGTTTTAATTTTCATTTTGTATCATAACCTGAAAAATTCATTTCGGAAATCTATCGCGTTCATTTTGTTCACTCGTGTCTTTTGGTGAGTTTCTTTTAACATTTTTTCGTGGGTTTAACACGTCCACGTTTTATTTATTTATACAATTGTTTCAGTTATTGCCATCCATCAATACATAAATCATGTCTTCGAAAGTATCCAAGGATACGTTGTACGAAGCGGTCAATGAAGTGTTGACTCAGGCAAAGACTAACAAGAAAAACTTTTTGCAAACTGTTGAATTGCAAATCGGTCTCAAGAACTATGATCCACAAAAGGACAAACGTTTCTCAGGTACTATCAAACTGAAGCACATTCCCAGGCCTAAGATGAAGGTGTGCATTCTTGGTGATCAACAGCATTGCGATGAAGCTGAGGTTAAAACTTTTTGCTTAACTAACTTGAGATATTGTTAAATTGTGTTTAATTTTAAGTATTTTCAATAACATGTTTGTATATTTCAGGTAAACAAAGTCCCGTTTATGGATGTCGAAGCATTGAAAAAACTTAACAAGAACAAGAAATTGGTTAAGAAATTAGCTAAAAGATACGATGCATTTTTGGCTAGTGAAGCTTTAATTAAACAGATTCCACGATTGTTAGGACCTGGTTTAAATAAAGCCGGCAAGTTTCCTGGTCTTCTATCTCATCAAGAGTCAATGAACATGAAAATTGATGAAGTGAAAGCAACTATTAAGTTTCAAATGAAGAAGGTTGGCAACCTTCTTTTTGATAAAAATAAAAAATATAATGTACTGAAATAATGTTTGATGTATTTTTAGGTATTATGTTTATGTGTTGCTGTTGGTCATGTTGACATGAAATCCGATGAGTTAGCCCAGAATATTCATCTTTCAATTAACTTCTTAGTTTCTTTGTTGAAGAAACATTGGCAAAACGTTAGGTCATTGCACATCAAGTCAACCATGGGACCAGCACAACGTTTGTACTAATGTGTTATTCAATTTTTAATATTTTAAATAAAGACCACATTATTAACAAAGTTATTGAATTTTAGTGTTCAAATTAGTTACCCAGGTTACTTATTTATTATTCATTTATTTTATAAACAATTTAGGAGGACTTTCAATGATAAAATGGTTACATAATGTTTAACATCTACAGGTACTTACTATTTTTTGTGTTACTATAGTGTACAATCTTAGATAAATACTGTGTTTTAATTTGATCTTATGTTAAATTGCAGTGACTCGCTTATTGTCATTATTGATGTTAACTAGAGTCACTAATATTTACTGTTATTAACTAATATTTTTCAAATAAGATTTCATGTACAATTCTGTTAAATCTACTGTTATTAGAAGTATTTTAGTCATTTGGATGTTTAATATTTTGGATATAGACATTCAGTTTTTATTTCTTATCATTTTTTCAGGGTTGGTAATTTACTCATATAAAATGACTAAAACATAAAACTTTATAACAATTAAGATATTATTAATTTATTTTTCAAGTATTTTTTTAATAGTCATATTGTACATTTGAAATTTTAATTTGAAAGTATTTAAATTTATAAATTAATGTAACAGATTTACAAATCACATCAACTTATTCAGTTTCTTAAATTTACAATAAAATATGAACAAAAAATATTATTTTTTGGTATTGTAAATATTAAGGTAGTTATTAATAAAGAATAAAGATGAACTTAGTAATTAATATAACAAATGATCACATGTATCTGATGTTATTAATATGAGATATACAAAAGGATGATTATTTCAATTGACAATTATTTTTCCTGATAATTTCTGTTCAATTGCAGCAAAAAAAAAAACTTATACAATGAATAGTTTTATACTTCACTGTATTATTCATTCCAATCCTGCATTTTTTAGTTCTATATACTTAAAAAATATATTTTATGGTTAAATAATAGATATTTAAATAAGCTGTAGTTATTTCAGGTTTTTTACAAATTTGTAGTATACATTTTATTTTTATTTTATAATTTTATATGGAATTTACCCTTCGCATTTAAGTAAATTGATTTAATTAAATAGGTTCAATACTATTAACTATGTATAGGAAAAAATAGTAATTCAAATCTAAGAAGGTTGGGTCGATATTGGCATATATCATTACGTTTTTTGTTACTGTAGACATAGATGTTGATAGATAAGGTATTTCATACTTATAGAAAACCCAAATGTTTAAGAATTATATTTTCCTGCATGTCCAATAATCAAATAAAATTTGTTGTTTTTATTAACCTTTTTTCACTTAAAATAAGATTTAATCATTCGTTGATATTTATATACATTAGTACTATCTTTAATTTATTATAACTTATATTGAATCCTAAAATTCAAAAATTTGGTTATTGTTCTAAAGCAATATTGTGTTCTATAACAAAATAATAATAATGAAAATATTAAAATACTCTTAAATGGTTTGTAAAAGTATGTGGTACTTGATCTATTATTATTCACAGCTTAATAGAAATAAGCCTATGGAATTTTAAGAATATTGTGGGTGCAAAATAATGCCTACTCTAGTAGTAACTTGAACAAAAGAATTGTGATTTAACCAAAGAAATGTCTTCGTGTTGTTAAAAGTTATCTGTTATTTTTTTCTACTTCTGTGAAGTTGACAATAGTGTATTAAATACAAAGTGAATTTTCATTAAAATTACATGATTGTTATCAATTATTTCCAATTTTGCCAAAATTATATTTTAATTAAATTAAAACAAAAATTACTACTCAATAATAATTGTTCATTTTTTTTTTTAGTAAACAAATAATTAGTACTTATTTTCATGACAACATATTCATTTGAGTTAACATTATATTAGTGCAAATTAGAAAAAATTTTAAAAACAACCCATATTTTTTATTGATGATCAAATAAGTACAATTTATATTTTATTTTGAATTGTTAAAATGACTGATCTACCCTTACTGTAGAAGTTCACTCATCTGTTTATGCATGTCTGGTATTAATAAATAGTATAGGTAACTGCAAGTTCCAGTTAAATTAATAAAATATATATTTATAATTTGATTTTAAGAAACTTTAAAACATCACTCACCAAATACGCTGAACGACTAGTAAAAGATAAATAATTAATTTAAACATTAGAATCCCTGTTTTGTATACTTCACCTGTGGTCATTATTACTTTTCCTCAGATATAATATGTACCTATGTTGCATCTACATTATCCATTTCACAATATGAATACTTAAACTATACACAAAGGGAACTTATTTCTTCATTTGGATGTCCATATAACAAAACAATAAGTGCTACTTTTGTTTTTATCATATTTCATTGTTTTACTGTTTAATCAATTTGACAATCTATATTCATTAATTTGATAAATGTATTATTATTACTAAAATATTGAACTGTATACCTAATACATTTGGTATTATAATTATTTGTATACATTTTATTTAAAATATTGTTTAATAAAACAAATTAATTTATTGAAAACTATAATTTAAATGAACCCGAACATTTTTTTTAAATAAATGTCTAAATATTAGAATTTCCCCCCCCCTCATTTATTATTATGAAAATAGCTGGGAAAGTCAAATAACGTCCCCCCTAAAATACCACTTCTGTCAAATTTCCTTTCAGAAAAGTTCTATAATTGAAAATCTAAGCAAAATTTTTGGTAGAAAAGTTGTTCACAGATTGAAAAAAAAAATATTGTAAAATTAATACATTCAGAATCTAAAAACTTTTTTTTATCTAGCGGAACATAATATCACGAGAAGAGCCAAAAAAGAAAATAAATAATTTATTTTGAAGCAAAATGGTTAAATGATGTTTAGTAACATAAAATTACCCCTATCTTACAATATGCTCTCTACAGAGTACAGTATATTTTGTTCTAATACGCTTGATACTTTTAACATGGCTATTGCGATGATAACTAATATGTTAATTAATCTGTAATGATTATTTTTCTGAAATTTTTAAGTTTCAAAATATCTATCTTCCCTAAAACAACACTATTCTATTAACTTTTATTAGACACCGTGTTCTAAATTGATATAGAATACCATTCTAAATTTGAAAACAATTTTAATTTGCATATGTTTTTCAATTTTTTGTACCACTGTACATACTAGCAAACAACAATTTAGGATTCTACAAATATTTATTGATTATTTAAAATAACAGTCAAATTATTAATATAAATGTAATACAGATTTAGATGAATAATACTACAAAATATTTGATAATATAAACAAAAGATTAGTGTACACATATTATTTAATAACAAGATACATAGGTCTATATTATACAATTTATCTGATTACAATTATTTTTACAATCGCACTTGATCAAGGTCTATTAAAAACAATTGCAGGGTATAAATGCGAATAACATTTTCTCTCATTAGACCTACTTATTATAACAAATTGATATCCATTATAGTTATTCTTAAATTAAATTTATTCCCTACAAGTGATAAAGTACAATATAATTAATACTAGATATTGACAACTATTCTAATAAGTAAAATATTATGCAGTTTATATTAGAATTGAATATTTTTAATGGGAGTGACAGTTTAAAAATGAATAATTAGATTTTTAGTATTGAATAATAATTAAGAAATATTAAGAAATTTAATTTTATGCATGATCTACCTACTTCAATAAATGTAAATTCAGGGCTCATACATTGTAGATCTAAAAAAGATGGACATACTTTGCATGTGGGTGGGCCACTGTTGTAGGTGAGAAGTTGGAAAGGTAGAGAGGGCAACAATTAACCATTGCTAATGATAAAACGATTCTGAGCGGAATTTGGTTAATAGTGTTGCATTATCCAAAATATATGCCATACTGTGGTAAAATAATTACATATGCATTATTATATTTTATTTAATAATATTGTACCTATTTTCTCATTTATTATGAAAAAAGCTGGGAAAATTAAAAAAATAGCCTCCTAAAAGTACCACACAGTTAGATTTTGCTACAGAAAAAAGTGGTATACTTATAAACCTGAGCAAAATTTCTGGTAGATAAGTTTACCACAGGAATAAAAAAAACATCACTGTAAAATCGATAAATTTCTTGCTCCGGTTAGAATCTAAAATAATGATGCGGTAATATCTAGAAACTATAAAAATAATATACTAATGCACATGATATAATTATAGTGGTTTCCTTTTCGATATGATTTCTGTCTTATTGAATAGCAGTGGACGCTAGTAGAAACAAATGAATATGTAGATACTCAAGACAATTTAAATTATTCTTATTATTAAGTATATTTTAAAGCCTACTATGATATTAAAATAGCAATAGGCACACAAAAAAAGTAAAAACTTCGAAATATAAAACATAAACTTTTGTGTAAACTCCGTGATTTCTTTAAACAAATTTATAGCTCACATAAGTATCTTTAAAATCAATCAAAAATAAAATGCAAATGCAATAAGTAATAAGCCCTGAATATAATTAATCAATAAAAATAAACAAGAAATGAGCATTTTATATTAAAAGATCACCCTGTATATAAAGAAAGGGATATACATAAACTAAGTATATAGTATGTCATTTTTGGTAGATAATTCAATCGTGTTTCAACAGAAATTACTATTTTAGACCATTATATTAATGTATTAAAAACATTGAAAATATTTAAATATTAATTTGCAGACAATAGTTTGAATACATTTGTATAGGGTGTATTATTAACATTTAATAATTGATTAATAAATTTTATTAAAGGATAAAGAGTATATAAATTGCACACCAAAAAATAACAATCATACATTTTTATTTGTTCCACGCTTTCCACTCCATACCTTCTGGGGGTTTAATCTCAACTTTATCATTGGCAACATCTTTCCAGTTGGTACTAAGAACAGTACCATTTGATTCTACAAATGATTTGTTCATAGCTTTACGTACTTCGTCTGAACCTTCTAAATAAATTTTTCTAAACAAAGAGTTAACATCTTCTTCAGTATCGTCTTTTGTCATATCATTGACAAGTTTATCCCAGTTACGTCCTTGACATTTAGAATTTTCATTAGGTTTACATAAAGGCCTTTCTAGTACATCCCATCTTTCTGCATTTGTTTTGGCTAATAATATCTCTAATTTTGAAGAAAGAAGTTTGAAAGAACATCGCTCTGGTACAATATTTTTACTGAGTTTTAAATTTAATGTGTATGATTGACCAGTAGCAAATTTTGATTTAATAGTTAATTCGTCTTTATTAAATACTATAAAACAATCTTCTTTTGACAAATGTTTACCTAAAATAGCAAGGATTATATGAGTTTCTGATTGATACCAATCATTTTTAATAATTATTTGGCCATCATCTAAACTGCTAGCCATTGTAGATCCTAAAAAATAAAGAAAAATAAAACAAAATTAATTTTAGATAGTTTAACAGTTTGAATAAATATAAGTTAATGGGTATAGATTACAAACATAATATAAGTATGTATACACAATTTAATAAAATAATTGGTATTAATTCGGTATGAGCTCTATGGATTTTAGTCATTCTACACATGTTTTATGCTAGATACACAGTTATTACATTATCTGCCATTAATTTTATAAATTATTATATGTTGGGTATTTCAGTTTATTATCTTATGATAAATTTTATGACTGTAGGTCAATCTAGAATTCTATCAGTTACTTCGTAACTGTCATTCATGTATTAAATGTAATGGCAGTAATACTGTTTCGTGAAGTTTAATTCTAACACTGTAGTACTAAATGAGAATTTATCATCAGTATATCATTTATAGTCCCATCTTAATCATTATTGCCGGTGACTTTACCGTAAAGACATTCCTGAATCTTTTCTCCCCTTGTTGGAAGCATTCAGAACATGAATTAATAATAATAAAGTAAAATACAATTTTTTTTTATCATTAATTAGTTAGTTTACTTTAATATGTAATACCAAAGTAAACAACTTATACAGAGCGCATATAAACAATACCAAATAATTAATAGTGAACATTTAAAAAACAATAATTTATTTTGTTTAATATAATTGGTTTGATAGATGCATAGAAAACATTTTTATCAAAAATCTATTTTTAAAATTAAAATTTTGTTTTTTTAACTATATTTTTTACATTAAGATGTTAGTTTAGTAAATACAAAATTTATTTATTTATTTATACAGAGCCATTTCAGTTTTTCCTTATAATGTAATATTAAAAACTATGAAATTCACTTTGAATGGATAGGATAATTATTCCAAAGTTTGTCATTCATTTGTACATTGTAGTATTGTACCACTCCATTAATTGAGAAAAAAAATTCCTACTCTAGTAAACTAGAATTGTTTTAAATAGTTCTTCGAGCTATAACAATACGAGCGATATTCAATTTAAAAGTGTATATTCTATCTAAAACTTAATAATTAATAATAAATTCTTACAATTAAATAAGTACCTACCTAAAAAAAAAAAAAATAAAATTTAAAAAGTTTCATAATTATACTCACATAAAATTAAGGTTTTACTTCCTACGAAAAACATAAAAATATAACAAACCGAGTAGTGGAATTTTCTAGAATAACAAGAAATAGAAGACTGATGCATAGAACGGTGTCTAGAATACTAAAACAATAGAAAAATCTACAAACGATAACAGTTAAAATTATCGTGATAACAGGATACAATTGAACGACGTTTAAATTAAAACCCATAGATAATAAACGTCCTAGAATAATATTGAAAATTTGACCACGTCTAGACAAATTAAATATTAGTTTTCCGTCGAAATTTCAAATTTTTACGAATATTTTTCACTGAATTACAACAAATAATAAATCATTATTTTCGTAAATTTCTAGTTTTTCTTTAGTTTTATCCTGGTTTTTCCCAGATATTGTGAAAACCGCTTAGAAAATTAAATGATGTCCTCTTAAAAGTATTATCTACACAATAATTCCTTTCAGAAATGGTGCCGTGCGTATATATCTGAGCAAGATTTCTGGTAGAATTTTTGTACACAGGATAAAAAAATAAACACCTTAGCAAAACTAATACATTCTTCGGTACACTCAAAATCTAAAAAGTTTAGTTGTTCTTCCATGATTTCCTCTGTTATGTTCTTACTCTCTTACTCTGTATGGTTCCCGAGCACTGATGGTAAGGCGGTGAGGAAGGCGCTGTCCATAAGTTTATAGGCATAGACGCATTAACCATAGTTAATATTAGTGATGGGAATAATCGAATGATTTCAATAATCGAGAGATTAGTAATCGAGAGGTTATCATAATCGAGTGATTCACTTGATTACAATAATCAAAATATTGTACCTATTCGAATAGATTAAGATCGTTATCTAATCGATAAACATTTTGATTTTCATAATCGAGTGATTTAATCGATGTACCTAATCGAGTAGATAAGAATCACTCAATATATCGTGAAAATGTATACTATTTTAGATTCTGAGCAGTAACACACATTATTCATTAAATCTACAACAATCTTACCTTTTAAATTAGTTGTATTTCCGTAAAACTTAAATCTTTTTTACAGATTTGATAATTAACTACGCTTTTATTGGCATTTTTTTAAAAATGCTCCCACACTACAAAACGTTTTTGACTGCCTGGTCGCATTTTAAAATTTAAAAATTTATTTCGAATTTTTTACGATACGTGTTAATTTTGTATACGATTTTTTACGATACGCGGACGGTTTCAATAAATGAAACAAACGATACAATAAAATGTACCTAAATAAGGGTCATTCAATTTTTTATATAATAGTTAAATATTTTATGGTGTGTGTGATCAAAATTAGAATAGGAACAGTAGCAAATTAACAACTACCTATTTCATTTATGATTCTAGAATCATCTGGAAATGATTATAATGATCTACTCAGCATTTGCGCATATTAGTAAACTATGGGTTATTTTATTTTGATTCATATTGTATATTATTATNGATAATATTAGTTATTAGTAGTGAATAAAATAGTAGAAAGAAATAAGAATGATTACCGATACTGTTTCGAGTAATCATCAACTACTAAATTACTAAACTAGTAAATATAAAAATAGTAACTACTAATTAGTAATTACTAATTTTTCATTCGATTATTCCCATCACTAGTTAATTTGTCTATGTTTATAGGTCTATGATTTCTACTGCAAGATTGATAACAAACAAGATAACAAATTAGTTTTTCATTTTCTGTTCTAATATTCTATAGTTTATTGACGAATGCGGTTTCAGTTTATTTCTATTATTACCAGTGACATTAATAAGAATTTTTCTTTGTTTTTAATTTAGTTTTAGCGATACACATAGAGTGTATTTTGTACAGAAATTGTATAAGTCATTTTTTTATTATGTCTTTAGTTTGCGATCTGAACAAAAACGTATTTGTTTATGTGTTCGTCATATTTTTAATTGTTTGAAAATTAAACGTGGTAGGTACAAGTACATTTATAATAAACGAATTGTATTATTCGTACTGAGCCTACTGCGATTATATTATGAGTATATTTAATAATTAGAACACAATATCCATTAGGTAAGCAGAATTGTGTTATTTTTATTTGTATTTTATTTTATTTTAGTAAATATCTACTTAGTTAAAACTTTTTCTAATGGGAAATAATTAACAGATCTTTATTTTGTCGTGATGTATACCCCAAATACATTGTAATTAATAGTAAAAATAGCTACTTGATTTTTTAAAATGAATTATCGTAGATAGTTATAGACAATGGTGTTTCCATAGGGTATACTCCGTGTCTACATATATGTCTTATTATACTTGTATAACATATTACAAATATGGGTGTAGGTTATCTTAAAGTTAGAAAAAAAACATTAATTTGATGTATTATTACTACCTGTTTTATTACATACGCCACCAAAATCGTAATAGAAAATAGGATATAGGTAAATCCTGTTTAATACCGGCTCACTACTTAAATTATTTTTTTTTCAACACCGAGTTTGATGGTACAATTATAATTTTTTGGTAGGACTTATTTTTAAAATGTATTAAAAATTGAATATTATGACAAAGCAATAGTTGAAAACGTTAGTTATCACAAAGTTTTTTCACTTTTTATTTTGAAATTTATATAAAATTACTAGACAAAAATACTGGTGAAATTATAATCTGGTGATCATATTTAATTTTTGAGTTGCCTATCAGCATTTTAAATTGCATGATATTGAATTCAGTATATTAACGCATATTAGCATTCTGCACTTCAAATACAACCCATAATACCCAGGAATACAAGGCTTTCTGATTGGTTCGGCATTTTTCACAATAAACTATTTAAATTATTCATTATTATTATTATATTATCTTATCATAAGAAATTTAATAAGCCGTCATATACTTACTTATATATTGTAACTTTTAAGTACCTAGTTACATCACTAATATAAAGAATTAATATTTTAAAAATTAGAACTGATTATCCATAGCTATTAGAAATTATTATATAATATATTTATTTTTCAACTCCATATTTACATTTTAAATATAAATAATTAAAACTTATAAAAAACAAGATAAATTGTTAAAATAACATCTTTGATAAATGTTTGACCTTTTTCAACTTTTGAATACAATTTTTTATGAGTCATTGTTAAAACAGAACATTTGTAATGAGATTCCACATCCCTATCTACAGTCTCTATCTTGCAAACGCACAACATACCAAATTTGCATTTAATAGTTTCAAAAACATGACTTACTGAGTAACTTTTGGAGAAACACATCTTAAATAAAATTTGCAGAGAACTTAGTTTAGGAGTCGAGTATTGATATTTTAATTATTAAGCTTAATAATCAAAAGTAAAATATTACCATGCTTAAAACTAAATATTGGACACTGAAAAAAAAAATAAAATAAAAATTGATACGTATAGTTTTCTATTCCCAATTTATTTTCAAATACTTATATAATATAAATGGTTCAATTTTATTTTATTTATTATGAAATAGATTATAGATGCATAATTATTATAATTTACATGTACTAACTTGAACATTATTTAATTACCCTATTATACAATTTTAGGATTTTTTCAATATACTACTAACTATGGCTAATCAGGAAGAACCTATGTTGACAAATGATAATTCCAAAGAAAATAGTAAAACTAACGGTTCCGTTCCAGAATTAGATGATACGGAACCACCTAAAGTTATTATAAATAATCCTCCAACTATAAAAATTACTAGTAACAGATTACAAAAACCAAGTGACTTGGAAGAAAATAAAGACTCAGATGATTGTTTGATTATTTTACCAAACACTGAAATTATCGATATTACTGATGACAATGGGGACAAAGATGAATCTAATAAAGTGATTTCTGTAAATGAAATTCAAGAAACACATTTAACATCTAAAGAAGAATCCAAGGAACCTGAAACTGAGGTTATATCTGAAGATGAAATGCTTGTTGGTTCTATGGCTATTGATACTGAATCTGTATCAGAAGATGAATTACCACCAACTACTTTAGCTGATCAAATTGAATCAGTATCTGATGAAGAGTTGCCTAGTGAAAACGGTTCAGGCAAACTAAAGAGGGGGAAAAGTCCTAATAAACAAGATGATGAAATTAAACCTAGAAAACAAATTAAATTTGAAGAAGTGAAGCCAATTACTGAATTTGATAAGTTTTGGCAAGCTGTTAGAGATGATCCTTCAGATTTTGCTGGGTGGACTTATTTACTACAATATGTTGACCAAGAGAATAATATTGAAAATGCAAGGGAAGCATATAATAAGTTCTTAGAACGATATCCTTATTGTTATGGGTATTGGAGAAAATTTGCAGATTTTGAAAAAAGAAATAATAATAAAAATGAATGTGAAGTAGTTTTTCAACGTGGTTTAAAGGCCATACCACTCAGTGTTGATTTGTGGATTCATTATATGACTTACTTAAAAACATACCATACTGATAATGCAGATCGTATTCGTAGCCAGTTTGAAGAAGGCTTAGAAATGTGTGGTCTTGAGTATCGATCTGATCGTTTATGGGATCATTATATTAAGTGGGAAATTGATCATAATAAATTAGCAAATGCTTTTGACATATATAATCGTCTTCTTGCTACACAAACAATAGGTTATTTAACACATTTTGAAAATTTTAAAGACTTTGTGAACAAGAATGAACCTGATAAATTTCTAAAAGAAAAAGAATATCTTGAATTGCGACAAAAAATAACTGAAATACTAAGGATTAGTGGAAGTGGTGAATTGTTGACAGATGATTCAGCGCCGCCGGGGGAAGAAAAAAATACATTTACATCTGACGTGTCCGAAAAAGAATTGTCATTAATAAGAGAAGCAATTATTGAATCAAAATACAAAATTCATAAAGAAACTGGCAAAGAAATAGAAAAACGTCAAGTATTTGAAGAAGGTATCAAGAGACCTTATTTCCATGTAAAGCCATTAGAAAAGTGTCAGATAGATAACTGGAAAAATTATATTGCTTTTGAAAAGGAAGCTAGAAATCATAATCGCATTATTGTTGTTTATGAAAGATGTTTGATAGCGTGTGCATTGTATGAAGATTTTTGGTTAAGCTATGCGGAGTATTTAGAATCATTAAGTTTTGACGTAAGTGATTTATTAAATAATTTATTTACTCGAGCTTGTTTAGTTCATCACCGTAAGTCACCCGAATTACATTTGAAATGGTCTATATTTGAAGAGATCAAAGGAAACATGGACAAAGCTGCTGAAATTCTGAAAAATATTGATGAAGTCGTTCCACATATGTTACAAATAATTTACAGGCGCATTAATTTGGAGAAAAGAAGACTCTGTTATAATAGAGTATGTGAATTGTATGAGTATTATATTAACACTTCTCATACTAAGTTCTTAACATCAAATATTGCCATAAAATATGCACGTTTCCTTTGGAAATGTTATAACAAAATTGACAAGGCTATACAAGTTATTACAGAAATCATTAATAAAGATAAAGATAATATGCAAGAAAATGCCAGATTATTGTTACATCTTGTAGATTTAAAAATTAATGTTACTCCTTTAAATGAAAATTCAGTCATTCAAACGTTTGATGAAATACTGTCAATGAGTAGTGTTAATTTAGAACAAAAAATATTATTTTCTCAACGTAAACTAGAATTTATTGAAGATTATACTTGTAATTATAAAGCTTTACGTAAAGCTACTATTGAGTTTAAGTGTTATTCAGAATTGCTTGCCAAAGAGAAAAAGAAAGCATCAGCTGCTGCTGAAGAAGAGAAATCTAGACTTGAAAAAGAAATAAAAGCAAAACAAACACAGGAAATGGCTGCATCCTCAAGTTCACAGGTCCTCTCTACTAACTACCAATCTTATAATAACACTGGGTATTATCCTCAGCAATATGCAGCAGGGTACAATCAAGCAGCTTACCAGCAATACCCGACCACCGGACAAGAATATACATATCCTTATCAAAATTGGAACTATCCACAAGCAAACTATAATCAACCATGGGGATCGTACAATTATAGCGGCACTGGTGGAAGTGGTGGATATTAATTTTAATGTAGATAATTAATAAATAACAGTGTCATATACACCATAATTAGGCAATAATTATTTATTATATACAAATATAAACAACAATATAAAATTTTGTCATGAATAACAATATTAATAACAATAAATAAAAAAATACCATACAATATTTAACATATTTTATGTGTTATATGTAACACTTTTCAATGATATTTTGTAGACTCATTTGTTTTGATTTTTATAAATAACAAATAATTACGACAATTACAGTTTTTGTTTTAATTGAACAATCTCCAATATCTGTTTCCAAAAGTTCATCCTGGAACTGTTTAATAATTCATCAACCATACACGTATTGTCTCCATCTAATGATAAATATTTGGGATCATTTATACTTGTACTATTCCATGTAACATTTAAATCTGGTGAATTTGGATTTCTAAATTAAAATGTTTATAATAAAATATTTCATTTTTTTAATAAAATTAACAAATATTGAAACTATGATTTTACTTTAATTTTTAACTTACCCAGTTTTTGCAAAATTGCACCACAGCTTGCTCATTATTCTACACATTCTGTATTCCGGAGAGTTGAGTTTAGGTAAAAATCCAAATAATTGGCCATAAAACAAATAATTCAATTCATCTGCATGACACGCACCTATAATATATATATTTTATTGGGTTAATATTAATTAATATGAAAAAATAATTATATTAATGTATACAGTTTTGTTTTAAGCATTTATTTTAATTATGCAATTGTAATTCAATCATTTGTAATAAGTATGTTATGCACATAATAATAGTGTAATTAATATGTTTGATAAGAGTTTTGTAAAAAGGAACCATCCTAATATAGCAACAATTATACTACAGACCAATTGTATTTTTTTTTAAAATTTTATTATTATCAACATAATAATGATAATATTCAAAAAATAAATCTAAACAGAATATATATTTGTCTAAGTTAGTTTGTATACACTATGGGAAACTTGAAAAATATTGTTCTTAAAATGTTAGATACCTAAACTCTACAATTTTCGAATGAAATGTTAAGTATTTTGACTGTTTTCAAAATAATTTTTTGAAAAAAAAAAAAAAAAAAAATACAGTTAATAGTTTCCTTATTTTACTGTTTACTTAAAATCAGTGCCGTAATAACTGTGGAGAAAGTCTGAACGATGGGCCAAATGTTATTTAATATAGTTTGCTATTAATTAATGGTAAGCTGTATTATTTAAGAGTATTTTGGTATGTGGGTCATATAATAGGCTTGTACCCCCAGCAACTTTATTGTGACTCTGACCTAATCTAATGTGATCTAAAATAAAATTATAATACAACCTTTTAATGACTGAAATAGTGGCCTTGTAGCAAACAAAAGTTGTTTGCACATATTAAGTTCTCCATCAAATTTGAATTCATAATTGTAAACTGGTGTAACACCTTTTTTCAGAAGATAATTAAAACTATGTGGGAATTCCTTAGTAAAAAATACATCACTGAACAACTAGAATCAAAAAGAGATACAATTTATTGCAAGTGTTAAAAATTATTCAAAATAGAAAAATTATCCAAAAAATCCATTTATAAATTCATAAATAATAATGAATTTGCATTGTTATAATTAATTAATATCATTAAAACTAATAAGTTATTATTTAGTTTTTATAAGAATTTAAAAGTTAGAAAAAAAACTAATTTATGAAATTATATGATTTATGGATAATAAATGATATTGACTATTTTATTAATTTTTATTTCAGACCACTATTTAAAGAAAAAAAAAATTGCCTAACATGACATGTATTTTCCAATTTAGTTGTATCACTTTGTAGGTAATATTGATAGAAATAAAAGTTCTTGACTTTATTAATAACTCCTTCACTAAAATTACTTTCAAACAATCTCTTCATTTCTTCAGTTTTATGAAAATCAAAAATTTTCCCTAATCTATGTTCTGAAAAATAAAAAAAAAAATAAAATAATTATTATATTAAATTAAATGTTTAATTTAAGTGAAGGGACATATTGGCATGCAGTACAAACAAATAATATAAGATTAAATTTGAAAATAAATATTGGTATTATAATCTATATTTTGTTCTCTTTGAAACAATTATGAATTATTTTAATTCATTATTTCAATAAATTTTTTGATTGTTATTACTAATTACCAGACAAAGAGGGGGTGTAAATCTCATATTTGTGTCAGTTTCTTTATTCCACTATAATTCCTAAATGCCAAAGACAATTTAGATGTGTATGTTTTTTTATAACATATTTTACATGTCTGTACCACCAGTTAAATATGCTAGAAAATAACCTTGCATGCCGTAAATACTTTATTTGATAACTGAATTTAAAAATAAAAATTTTACCTCCAAATATTATCATGCCTTCCATACTGTTAATTCCAGTGATTAAAGGTACAGGAGATGCTGTTTTTGTTAAAATTTCAGGATGAATATGTAAAAATGGCTCACTAATTGCATTATTTTCAATAGATGGAACAAATGGAATGTTAAGTAAATCCCTTTGGCCCTATAAAAAAAGACAAATAAATATTAGAAGAAAGATAGGAACTACTTTTGGAATGTTTAATTTTCTCATTTTTACAAAATAAAATATTCGTTATAAACACAGTGATTGTCTATTAGCATAGTAAATTAATTCCCAAAATAAATTAAGAGGTATTAATAAGTGATATCCACATGCAGTGTCTTATAAACATGACATATGGAAAATTTAAGTTCAGCAGGGACAATTTTGCGATATAGGTATGTTTCAATGATAAATTGAATTGACTAAACTTGAAGTCAAGAATATTGTCTGTGTTTGTTAAGTTGTTTTTTTAAAAAAAAAATATTTGAATTTTCAAGTGAGATATGAGACTGTGAAATATTAAAATTTAAAAATGCTTAGATTTCACTAAAAAAAAAAACTAAGTACTAATAGTATGTAAGGTACAAAAGTCTGATATTAGGTCAATTTACTCTAAAATATAAAAAATAATAGCACAGAATTATCTCTACTAAACACACATTTGGTATGTCTATGTTTATAAACTGAAGATAACACATGCGGGTCTTCTTAAAGTGTCTAAAATATTTGAAAAACAAAAAACTAAAATAATTTCATTCATCACAGTATTCACAGCAATGATAATTTGGAAAATTTGGCAATTATGAACATAAATGATATATGGATTTCATATACTCATATGTAAGTAATAATAATTTGTATTATATATTTCATAATGTAGATATGTTTTTTAAATTCAGAGTCAAGTGAGGAATGTATCGTTTTACAATGTTTTTATTTTACATGTAAATAACCTTTTCTACCAGAAATCTCGCCCGATTTTTAAGTGTAGGACCTTTTAGGAAATTGTATCTAGGTGGTACTGTAAGGTGATTATTTTTTGATTTTCCAAACGGTTTTTATAATAATTGAAAAAATTGTTAGACCAAACAGAAACTATTGAAAATTTAACAGATGATTCATTATAAGCAGTAATTTATAGTAAAAAATGTAATATTAAATTATGATGAAAATCTTAAATATTACAGCCTTTTAAAACGTGTATAACCGAATTCTGCTCAGAATCGTTTTTTGTTAACAAAATTTAAATAATGTGTAAAGATATACATTAAACTCCACCATATATAACATAACTTTCCAACTTTTCAATAATAGCGGCTCATTTAACGTGCAAAGTATGTGTGTTTTTTTAATATTTAATTTACTTACTAATCATTTTTCAATTTTTAGCCAAAAAAACTTTTTGTTCAGAAATATATGCAGAATTCCAAAAAACTATTTATATAACAAAATATTTTTTATCAAGATTTGTATTGTATAGTTTTTTGCTGGATTAATATATTAGAATTTATGTTACTATTTGGTATGTAAATAGTACAATGTTAATTTAACCAATGTAAAAATATATAATGTAGACTATACTTATATTAAAATAAAATTACTAGTTAACTATTAAATTAAATTGTATATAACATTCAGTATGTTAAACCATTATTTTCATATGTGGAATGAAATACATATAACACTGTTTATTATAGTTATTAAAAGTTATTTTGTTACATTATTATTTATTATTTTATTTCATATAAAGGGAATATATTTGTTTATACATACTTCAAATTTAAACTTTGATGACGTACACTTAACTAAATCAACAGCAGGGACTTTAAGTAAATATTCTACTATTTCTTTAGGATTGTCGTTTTTACATCCCAATAATTTAGCCAACTTATAGGCTGCTTCTTTGTGTCTTTCATTAAAAGCCCACACATTAAAAGCATTTCCACTTTGCATTATAGCTCTCTGAAATAATCCTAATATCAAGAACAAACAATTATTATTATTTTTTTGATATTCACTCAAATAACATAATTTATATAGAAAATAAAATACTCAATTAGAATTATTATAAAACAAACAAATCAAAAACTAACCAGTTGAACGTGGAGAAAGTGTATGGTAATGAACAGATGCTGATCCTGCACTTTCTCCAAAAATAGTAATATTGTTAGTATCACCTCCAAACGCAGATATGTTTGCTTTTACCCATTTTAAGGCAAACAATTGATCTTTTAAACCCATATTACCAGGACACTCATTAATATCAAAGTTCAAAAATCCTATAAGCAATATTTATATTCAGTTTTATTTAAAATTATTTAATAATACATAATACTATAATATTATATTATATGTGCACCTAGAACATTCAAGCGATAGTTAATTGTAACTACAATAACATTTTCATCAAGCAAATAATCAGGAGAATAAAAATCTAATGATCCAGAACCATAATTAAAGGCACCTCCATGTATAAATACCATAACCGCTTTTTTTTCATTTGATTCTTCCTATTTGGTGGAAAAATAAAAAGTAAATAAATAAAACAAAACATAAATTAGATAATCTAGAAATGTTTCAACAACCTGTGGTACAAATACATTTAAGTATAAACAATCTTCACTTCCTACAATTTTTTTGGTCACAAATACATCATATTGCATACACATTTTGCCTGTTGAAAACGCTTTTAAAATACCGTTCCATCCTGGATGTTTGACAGGTGCCTAAAATATAAAAAACTAATACTTAATAAAAACTTTAAAATATGTTTTAACAAATTATTATAGACTAAAATTATCAAAAAAATTGAATTGTTTAATCTAAATTTTATCAATATAAATATTAAAACAATTAAATACCTACTATTAATAAAAATGCTTGGAATAAATAAATCTTACCTTGAATCTTAAATTGTTAATAGGAGGTTTGGCATAGGGTATACCTAGGAAGCTGACATATGGTTTATTCGATAACCGAGTTTTGTAATGTAGTCCTTGTAAAGTTCCTTGCTCCAGGATGACTGTCATTTTTTTTCGAGGCTAGACAAAATAATATTGAGATAAATATAAATGTTATGTTAATTTTATGCAGAAGGTAAGTTAGGTAGGTTAAGCAGGTATCCACCTATAGATAGGATATCTTAGGTAGCCAACCTAACCTACCTAGAAAAAAAATACCAATACATAAATCTGTTTATCAATACAATAATACATTATAGAATATTAACTTATACAGTATCAAAATTGTCAGCAAAAAAAAATTCATAACTATAATACCTACTACCTACTAAAATATGTATTATATTTGAAATTATTTTTATTTTATCATATTATGTGTCTATACCTTGTTGGTCAATTATTATGTATGAAGTAAGAACATAAATGTTACTGTTTATGTAATGTACTGTATGGTGTGTCTGTGCCATGACTAAGGTTGAAGTATGCGTTTTGCAGGTGAATACAATTAATCCAACTAGCAGTTTATAATTGCATTACCTGCTAAGTAGGTACCTCAGGGGCGTCTCCAGAACTTGAATATGGGGGGGGGGCGAAATAATTAAATTTGATATTAATGATTGATAAGAAAAAAAAAAGACGGACATACATCGCACGATGGGTGGACCACTGTTATAGATGAGAAGTTGGGAATGTAGGCTATTGAGGGAAATTGAATGTATATCTGTACCTAAGGGGATTTAAGCATTGCCAACAAAAAACAATTCTGAACGGAACTCGGTTAATAGTATTGCTCAGGGGCGTCTTCGGGTCAATTCAATGGAGGGGGGGGGGGGGCGAACAATTTTTATTCTTGAATACCACCGCTTTGGTAAACAAAAACTTAAAACATTTATGTCTGATATCATTTCAACTTATATTAGCTTAGAAGATTGCAGATACATATGTATATTGTACAAATGCAGTAAAACAATACAATTTAAAAATTAAGTTTATTTTGTTCACATTAAATAAATAATAATTAAAATAATGATAATATGAATAACAAAAATAAAATTAGTAATAATAAAAGTTAGATTACCAAATCTAAAATACTTTTATTTTAAGCAGCGTTTTGCAAGCGGTTTGATCAACAATATTTTCTATACTAAAGTTGTCATTTCGATGAATATTTAAGTGATAAGCTAGTTAGCCTCTGTTCAAAACGTTTTTACCACAAAGTACGACTTTTAAAGAACCTCATGTTAAATTCTCTTAAGCATTTCTGTTTGGTCCAACAATTTTATCCACAGAGTATCTACTGATACGTACAAAACTCGCAAAGATAAAATGTCTGTAAATTGCTCAATAATTTGACCACGTCAAAAAAAGGCAATTATAAGTTCTCTGTCCAAATTTTAAGCCTACGAATAAGTATAAATGTTTTTTAACTGAATTACATCAAAAAACAAAATTTGAAATAATAAAAGCATTATTTTCATAAAACTGCTTGGAAATAAAAAAAAAATGACCTTCCTAAAGTATCATCTAGTCAATATTTTCTTTCAAAAAAGGTGCTACATTTACATATTGAAGCAAGATTTCTGGTAGAAATGTTTGTCACAGTATATATAAAAAAAAAACATCATTGTAAATCCAATAGGTACAATATTTTCTACACTCAGAGTATAAAATTTAAATTAAATTAATCATTTCCAATTTTGATTCTAAAATTACCTATATTATTTTATTATATCTTTACAAATTGATGGTTCCCACTTAGTTTTTCACAATTCTATCTCACCCTTGACAGAATATTTATCGAAATGTATAAATGAGAAGTGTTTCATTCTTGTTTCAATCAAAGTATTTTCAAAATCCGGAATCATCTTTATGGCATTTGGAACTAGTTGAATTTTGATTTATTTGTTCTTAAGAATTATGTATATTTAGTATAAATACAAAAAAGAATATCACACGGCTTATAGAGAAGGCGATATCACCCCCTCCCTCTTCTCCTCAGGGACGCGTCTGAGGTCCCTACTCCTACTCTTTATTATAAACGGAAATATATACATCGTAGGCTGGAATCGCAAGTTGTTACCTAATTTTTTTGAAAACTATTTGTTTACGTATAATAAAACAGAATTTTTAAATTGAAAATATAGTATGTACATAAAAAATAAAAAAGATTTCGTGATAAGCGAGATTGATATATTTTTACGAGTTTTACGTAGCCATTTTATTTCGGTTGATTACAGTCTAAAAATAAGCGAAAATTCATTAAAATTTCAAAGGGGGGAGGGATAAGATTTTTCACATCAATGTAAGCTGTGGAGACCCGACACCAGATACCCTCACTAGGTACCAAGCCTGGATTAAGACATTTAGAGGCCCCGGGGCTAAACTTCGAGGCTCTTGTTGAAAGACTAATAATACCTAGGTACCTATACGATTTTTAAAAATGTTTTATGTTTACTAGGTAATCAATACATGTTTTAACAAAAGAACAATAGTAAATAGAACATACATCATTTAGATCTAAAATCAAAAACCGTAAGTATTATTTAAATAAATAAATATATTATTGTTAACAAAGTTAAGTTACATAGTTTAGTTACTAGGTACATATTTTCTACTATATAATAATACGAATGAGTCATCAATTAACTTCTTTCGTAATTTTTTTTTTTTTTGAAATTTAAGAAACAATTAGGGCTAGAATGTTAAATCATCATTAGTTTTTGCCATTCTTATTATTGGGAATGAACCGACTACCCATTTTTGATTTTCAAACGGAAACCTATACAGAAAAAATTCATAAATAGATGGAGTATTATTTTGAGTATATTTTTCTATTGAAATTTTTGATATTCCACTATTCTGTTTGGGTAAGGGAGAGTAGTGGACCATCATTTGTGTGGTGGCATAGCGCGTGACGTTATCAAAGTATCAGAAGTAGGCGTGTAATTAAAAAATAATGATAATGTAACACTTTAGAGCTACTAGTTCCTTAATATGTAAACAAACTACGAAAAATATTAATATTTTCCAAGGTATCGCATTGATCGTATCTTCGAGGGACAACTCGTATGGGACCTATACTTGATTTTAGTTTATCCATCTTCTAGTTTAGTTCTTTTGTTTCGTGTCGTGTTTTGATAGACGATTAAGTCGGCAAGGCGACTATTCGTCTTCGTTGCAGTTGCCACGGTGTCAGCGATTCCAAATCGTATAAGGGAAAAAATGGAAGGCATCAGAAAATGTGAGGCCCACGGCAAGTGTCCTCTACACTCGCCGTTAAAATCCGGCCCTGTTAGTTATTAGGTAGATATACCGCGGATTTTATTATCTCCCAACATTACTATTTGATGTTTCCTTTTTTGTTCTATCGGATCACCTTGAACGTTTCTACCAATACATTTAAATTACAAGGCGTAATACATCTTAATAATACAAATATAGTTATAATTACAAACATAGGTGCCGGTATTAATCGTTAAAATAATAAGTATATAGTTAACATCGAAGGTAAATTTAATTTTGCCAGACTCACGCGTTAAATAACAATAAACAACACGCGTGTACGGTGGTATTTCGTATACAAACTGTTACGATTCACTTGCGGCACACAATTCGTGACTAGATAATAATGACATGTGTATAATAACTGCAATCTATACGTCATATTATTATTATAGTTACTTAATACTTGGTGTGCATTTTTGATTTATATTTTTTACAGTAGCCAGTAGGTTGTAAATACAATAGTTGAAACAATAGGCGGCTGCCGCCCGGTGGGCTCGATTTATAATGGTTTTTTAATACGATGTATTTTAGATTCTGAGCGCAGCGAGGAATGTATTGGTTTTACGATGATGTGTGCTATTTTTTTGTCTGCCTGTAAACTTCTTTTATTTATCAGAAATCTTGCTCTTATCAAAAAATAACAAAACATCTTTTTTGTTGTATTTTGGATTTAGTTGGTATATTATTGAGGTCATTTGTAAAATGATCAAAAGTTTTCCTATCCAAAAGTTTTCATAGTGGTTGGGAATAAAACCAGAAAAAAATATGTACGGACATACTTCGCATGATGGGTGGGACACTGTTGTAGGTGGGAAGTTGGGATGATAGGAAGCTAAGGATATAGAGAGGAATTGAATGTATATCTGTACGCCACGATAAATCTTTTCTAACGATAGACGATTCGAGGCGGAGTTTGGTTGAACATGTTTTAAAAGGCCGTAATATTTAAAATTATATGATTTTCGTCAGTATTTGAAACTATAATTCTTATAAAAAAAAATTCTACGTTACAATCATTTTTTTTTTACCACAAAATAAGATTTATAATGAACCCAAACCCTCCTCCACCCTCTGGCTACATTGGTATACTGTTGTACACAAATAAATACCTATAAGTGTGTTACAAATTATAATATCATATCATATTATATCGACATTTAAACGGTTTTCAGTTTTTAAAATCACACCGATTTCGGAATAACGAGATCTTTTGTATAATATTCCATCATATTGTACAAGACGCACTATTATTAGTACATAATATAGTGGTAGATGAATATCGCAAGATTAAATGTTTACTGCGCGTCATGACATCACGACGAAATCCAGAAATACAATCGTAAAGATGGTTGTGAAAGTATTCAGGTTTTAAGGATTTGATATGAAATATAAACTCAAATTCGTCCATGAGAACAACGAAAATCTCCGTGTTACGGTATAAGCAATATGTATATAGCACAAATATAGGTATACCATATACGTTCGCGACGCAGACCTATTATTATTTTTATACATATTTTATATTTTGTCCGACACTTTTTAGCGTTTAAAACGATTTCGCTGTTCATAATAATATGACCCGTGAGTTTTGAACTCACTTTTTTTTTTCTTTTTTTAAAATTAACCGACCATGCAAAATACGAATTTTCAACGTTCGTTTTCTGAACTCGCCAATGCGTGCGTAGAAAGGATTTATGGTTTGGTCTGTTATAAATCGAGAGCGTATAATATTATTATTATTGTAATAGAAAAATAAGCAACTCCTATAAAATATTGAAACATGAAGTGTAACAAACGGTCAACAATTTGCTTTATACTTATATTTATATTATGAAAAAAAAAAAAAAAAAAATCAAAACAATAATGAATTGTTTGGAAATTATAAACAGTTTAAAAATGAACATTTTGACCCAAATACGGATATACGTCCAATAATATTGTTGTACGACGAATACGCCTCACTTCACACTTGACTATTGCAGCTGTTTATATTTTACGTGCTGTACGTCTAGTGGCGTACATGTAGGGGATAAGAGGTTAGAAGTTATATCCCCTTATTGGCTAATATACAAAAATTATAATTATATGTAATAATTTTATCTTGAAATTACATAAGTATTTTAGTGTTACAAGGAAATAAATCTTTATTTGATAAAATACAAATTAAATTTGTTGTATTCTAAATTTAAATTCTCATTATCAGATTGAAATATACCGATGAAGATTCTACGGTTTTTATTTTATTTTATTGTAATTTTTACGATTTATTCATGATTATCAGATTGTTATTGACCACATACCCTCCCATTGAAAATTACTGGGCACACCACACCCATCTATATCATCACTTTTTCAAATGGTATTCAGCTATTCACGTAACTACCTATATTGTACTTATTGTAGTATAAATATTTCTGAAAAGAGGAATCAGACCCTTTCAAGACCTCTAAAGATACTTTGCTTAAAGCAATATTTTAAACAATTCTTAAATTACTCGAGAACCGTATAATGACTAATGGCGGATAGTAAAATACTAAAATATGCGTGTATTATTCCATGAATACATATATAGGTATGTATGTAACGGTTCAGTTTATTGATCGAGATATACTCGACTATACGTAAATAATATAATAAATGATGAAAGTCGAAATATAATATATTATATACCTGACGATAAAAAACATATGCTGGAAATATGTTTGAAAACAATATTAGTCTTTATTGAGTTTACACACTTACTTTCTTTTTAAATACTAATGATATTTTAGATTTCTACGTAAAATGCGTTCGAATGATAAAAACAAGCAACAAAAACATTTTAATAAAATATTATGGCGCGTATTACAGCGTGAAAATCTACGCCGGAAAGGGTAAAATATTGTGGACAAAATGCAAATGAAAACTATACAATAATGTTTAATGTAACCGAAAAGAAAAAAAAAACGAACCAAAATCAAATAAAATGTACTCAATACATCTTCGGTACTCAGACAATAGTTGGTTGACGCGGATAAAAGAATTGTCCTGTATAACACAATACAGTTTCGTAAAATTATAACAATAATTGATATGCAGAGCGAAGAAATTTGGACGATTTCACCGGGGACTGGGATGCTAGACCGGCATATACCGCGCGTGTACCAGGTATAGAATACCGCTAAACCAGTCTGAAAATTGGATACCACGCATACCTCCACGCATATTTCGGCCGTGTCTACACAACCGCAGACGGCTCGTGTACGTATATATGTTATAAATAAAGAGGCGTACACCAAAAACTGTAGAGGTGTACTTACAATATACAATGTACGATAATAATGTACACGGCCAATGTGTTGGGCAAAATATTTTCGAATAACGTTTATAATATTGTATAAGTACCTGAGAAAAAATAAATTTCAACAAGTAGGTGTAATATACTAGTAGATGTAATTAAAATGTTAATATACAGTTTTGAAAATGCATTATTCTATTCGGCCCTATAAGCAGTTTACAAGTACACAACCTGTATAAGTGTTAATATACAAAAATAAACCGTATTATAATGTTTAATCTGAAAGAAGTATTACGTTCACGCCCTGGGAAAATAAAATACTGCACAAAAGATGTGTATAAAATATATTTATCAAAAAGATAAACGAACCGCTAACGAAAAACGATTCTGAGCAGAGTATTATTTGTCGTATTTTTCTTTTGTTGTCAACAAAAATTATACAACAAATTGCCAGTTTTTCCCAATTATTAAGAAAATTGCAAGGAAAATCAGAGAATGACCTTTTCAATATACTAACAAGATCAAAAATGCTACAAGAAAGTTCCTATAAGGACCGCTCAGCAGTACAAGTAGTTGCCGGGATGCTAAGGCCAATACAGACTGCAGAAAATTCTAATGAGTAAAATATTTCCGATTCATTCGGCATGTCCAATGCGTCTTTTAATTTCTGAATTCCTGAGCGATTGCGGTAATCAAACCAAATTATTGATTCGGCTGCAAAATTGTCTAGAAAAGAACTATACTTTTTTGAAATTTTTTCAGTAAGCGATCTATATTGATGTTCATTGGGCGGCTTGCTCATATATTCTGGTAACAATTGAAAAATAGAATGAGGTACTTCATTTTCTTCTGAAAATCGTTCCTTAAGCGATAATATTAATTAATATCGAACAATTATCGTTTCATTATTTTCTGCTATTTTTGTATGTTCGGGTTCTAGTTATAAACGAGGACTTTTTAAAGTATCTTCTCAAATCCATTTCTATCAAATTCGAATAAACGTTAAATTATTTTCCATAATTGCGTAAGTCTACTTTTTGAAAAATCGTTATTACTTTATACTAACGATACATCGATAAAGTTCCAAAACACACAATTGACAAAGTCGGATTTCACACCGATTAACGAGTAACGACTGACTTGTGATCACAATGACACAATATTATACGGGAAAACACTAATCAGTGATCGTTTAACACGAACCCATTCAGCAGGGCCCATTATCTTTTCGAAGAAATAAACGATAATAATAATAATAATAAAAACAATAGATAGAATTAGATAGGTAGACATTATATGATAGATAATATTATGTAGGAAACTATAGAAAGGCCTGATTTAAAAATAAATTGATTAACCGACTGCAAATAATCTAATCTAATTTTTTTATAATGGTGAGATGGTGACATATTCATGTAATCATGTAACCACTTTTGATTTGTTATATATAAATATATTAAATAGTTATAGTAATTTATTTTAGATCGTTAAATTTAAAAAAAAAATTACCGAAAAGCCAGGACGGGTAAATGACCCTGCTTGCCCTCCCCTCCCCAATCCGGGCGCCTATGCCTATAAAGTTTTTGACTGAAGCAAGATTTCTGGTGGAAAAGTTAATTACAGACACATAAAAAAAAAAAAAAAAACATCGTAGTAAAACTCGCTTCACTCAGAATATAATAATTTTATTCAATACACTTGTACAAATCGCGTGTAATCATTTACCAAATATGTTTCGCAACTTTTTTCCTGTTTAGTGATTTCGTACGATAAATCTTAATGATTTTTACACGTACGCGATGTAATCTGATTTTACAGATGCGTATTCATGTATATTACAAGTACTCGTACGTTGTAACGTAAAAACAATTTTTTGTTTTTGCCTATCACAAGTGGTATTTTACCGGTATTATACGAGGTTAAAAACGCGCAATAATGCATTGGTACACGCGTACAATTTACGCGATACAGTTGACGGACTTTACAGCGTGTTGCGGCATGTCATTTTTTACCTGACCTATATCCACGCGTTAATATTCACTGTACGCACAAAAATACCCCTATACGAGTAACTACAATGTACTTCCGTCGCGGTACACGCAGACTTGTATTGTACGAATATTGCGACTTATTATTCTGGGGCCACGCGTCACTAACATATTGATAACAGTGAGTTATGGTTAAAGTATCAAGTTAAGTTCAAGCACACATAATAGTTTAATAAGCGATGAAAATATTGAGCAAAAAAAAAAAAAAAAACGCCATTCCGATAAACCCCAGTAAAATACTCTTCTTTATAAAGGGTATTTTATAATACTGTCGCTGTACAGTATTACGCGCGAGAGAGACAGAGAAAACAAATGTTACTATTGTATTAGACACGGAATATCATTACAATAATTTAGCCGTTTAGGTATACATTGTATAATACAGGTATTCCTATCCAGATATTGTAGCGGATTTCACAATCGAAATGAAATCAACGCGATAATTAAACCGGATACATGGCTTAGTGTATAATATAATACCTGTATTAAAAACTTGTCCGGAACTAGCTAAATTATATCGTTTAAACGCGAATCGTGTGAAAAAACAAAATTATTTTATATTTTTATCTCTGAAATGCGCTAGGTACTATAGTAAGTTAAGTTTCTATATTGAGCAGTGTTGAATCTGGACGATTTTTTCTGGGGAGGGGAGGGGACTAACAATTATTATAATGACTATTTTTTGCTTATATACCTTCTCAATCAAATTAGTTTTATTATTTAATTAATTTATTCACATTTAACAGGGGGGAGGGGGCGAACGAAATTACGAAATGTATACCTGGATTCAGCACTGATATCAATCAGTTTATTAACTAGACCGAGTGAAGGAGAGACTTTTATTCGTGTGTAGTGCCTAGAATAGTAGGCTTATTAGGGGATAGACGATTCGGTACTTTAATAACTCGGTCCCTTCGATATTCCAGAAAGTAATCGGGGTAGTTTTTGGTATCTATTTCGATATGTCGTGATAACGAAAATTAATATTTTACATTCTACGTGCAACGAGGAATGTATTGGTTTTACGATGATTTGTGTGCTATTTTTTGTTCTTTCCGTAAACCTCTTTTCCATAATCAGAAATCTTGCTACAATCGAAAAATGAGAGAGAGAGAGAGAGAGAAAGAGAACTTTTTGTTCGCTCAGAACCGTATTTCGTCAGCAATGATTTATCGTTGCGTACAGATAAAAATTAAACAGCCGTCGCAAAAAGTATATCAGCTTTTTTAAATTTTATACCGTGTTATCTAAATTGTAAATAACGTTCGACAATAATGAATAATTTTCATTTTCAAACAATGACACCGAGAATCGAGTAATACCGGTGCCGATGGCCCCGCCTCTGGTAAATACCTCTGCCCGCGACACACCGATCTGATATACCTGCATGTTGTTAATCTGTGTCGAACACAACGTGCGTCCGCCACGTGTTTAGCCTCCCCCGTCCCGTCGAAAAGCCCAGGGTACGTCGCCGCTATATAGCAGGATGTGAACACAATATTAATTTTTTTCGTCGCGTAAACGTGTGCGCACTACTACTACTACTGTACGGCACCGTGATACTACAACGCCAATAATGTGTTTCGTACGTACACCACCGCAATAACGCGTACGGTAGTGACGTGCCTAACGGTAACATGCCGGATGCCGTACGCAATACGCATAAAATAGGCACGGTACGGAATTCACCGCGTCGGTTTTGAATAAAAAAAACGTTTTTTGTACCTACGGCATAGCGATGGGATGTTTCGTTAATTATACGATTTAAAACGAGGCCATTCGGTACGTTTACCACTCGGTTTATCAGCGTGCCCGACTCGCTTTCTATAACGCGTTTAATACAATTGAGAAACTCTGGGCGCGTATATATATATATGTGTGTGTAATGCGCGCGATACATTTTCTTTCCGTTTTTCGTCTGCAAAAGTATAAACCGCGTCTACCGCGCGCTATACTTGCCTTTTCAATACGCCTAATATGAAGACCACTAAAACGGTACCTATTCTCCGGGTAATTTCAATAATGCGATAAAAAAAAAAAAAATCACGAGCGGTAATCACGTCATTTCAGTTCCCATTATAACTAATAAGGGGGGCAATAGCATTTTATCAGGCCGATTCCGCCCTCCGTCCCCGTTAGTCGCCGGGCCTATTATCGAATGCAACAGTTATTGAAATATAATGTGCCTAGTTGCACAAAACGCCAATGACAAAAAAAAAAATTGAATATTTCAGTGTGCACGGTTGCAAGGCGCGAGTGCACACCCTGCATCCCCCCCCCACCACTTCCGAAACAGCGGCGACCGGGCACAGCTAAAATCAATTATTTTAATCGAGCCGATAAGCGCGTACATATAAATATCGTATATTATCATTAGCGTAATAATCAACGGTCGGAAGAGTAGCGCGCTATCCTTTTCGTAGCGTACGGATTTATTTTGCTAAGCAGACAAGTAGTGTACCCGTAACAGCGCAATAACGGTAGGAAACCGGAGCGAATTTACGGTGCTAAAGTAAAACTGTGATAGAGAAAAAAATAGAATAAAAAAAAAAAAAAAAAAGGAACGATGATTGTACGGAACTCCACGCTTTGAACATTCGGGTACACACAATACGCCGCAAGTAGATTGTCCGCCGGGTCGTCTGATTTTCGATGCCCACCGTGTGTATAATTTTTTATTGCAATAATATTATTTATCAGTTTATATTGCAATATACATTTATCACTAATCAATTGTGTATTGAATCGAAAAACGCGCTGTCCAGTCCGGGTTCGCGCGCTGTTGTTGTTACGTGCCATAGCGACGTCGAGCGTCGATGTACACTTTTTCGGGTGGGTCTACGGGCCGCGGGCTTTTCGCGGGGTCACCCGATTTCATTTCGGGTGACTGCGGGGCATGCGGAGACGAGGCGCTTACACCGACAATACCGACGCCGCGTCGTCGGCGGTCGAAAAAACGATAGTATAATTCATTAATCTTACGACGATCCAGGCCAAGAACGCCATCAGTTTGTTGTAGGCGATGATCGCTCCGATCCGCCATTTGAAGACCGTGGCCGCCATGCTCCTCATGATGGCCGGTGATAACGCCAATTCTGCGGCACTCACACACACCCACACACAACGGGTCACTGCGGTTATTATTCGGTTACCTGAATAATTGCGATAGAGACGCGCGCGCGCGCGCACACACACACCGGGTCACTGCGGTTATTACATTTGGTTACCAAAACAAAACGAGACAGAGACGCGCACGCGGCAACAAACGACAGACGGCAGCTGATGGCGGCGCTCACTATCAGTCCAGGACCCTCGGCGAGCGGTCGCGGCGGCGCTACTCCCTACCATCGCGCCGTCGCGGTGGTCGTCGTCGTCGCCGCCGTCGCCGCCGCCGCCGCCGCGAGCCGATAATAATAATAACGATAACGGGACGAAACCGCACGAGAGCCGGAGCGGTCACGATGATATCCGACGTTTTCATTGGCCCCGAACGCGGGAAAATCGGCTTAACAAGGCACGGGATTTAAATTTGAAAAAAAATATCAACTCTAAATTAAAACCCGTCACGCATGTTTAAGGCACGCCGCCACGTGTCTGATGAAATGTGAAACACATAATAACATTGATTAATTAAGTTTTTTTTTTTTTTTTAAATATTGTAAGTACTAAAAGTGTATATTGAAAAATATGTACACAAGATCGAAAATAAATCCTTGAATAGCAAAATTATTGGATCTACTTGCCAACTAGATTTTTTTTTTTGGTGAAAAATAATAGATTCTATGATATTGTTACACCTATATATAAATGAAAATGATTTCTGTAAACATTAAAATTAAAAAAAGTATATTCATGTATACAATTAATTTTAATGTATTGAATTCGGAAATATGTACGAACCAATATAGTGTGTAATGTAATATTAAAATAACCACAAAAAGACGTGTTAATATAATTTATCTGTTCTAGACGAAATAAATTGACTTTTGTGCTGTAATAAACGTACCCTAAACTAATATAGTTTATTAACGTGAAGGTTTTTGAAAGCCGAAGGATATTTTCGATTGTCAGAACAAATAGTGACAGCTCCAAAAAGCGTAGTTACGAATCAAAACAGCGCAAATTACTTACCTGTTTGAGTTGGGTCAAAATATAATGTGTTTGATTTGGTGAAAACTAAGCATTTAAAGCATACAAAGTATGTTACCTAGTTACGGTTGAAACGACCGGATATTTCTGTATCGAGTTGTTATGTTAAAGAAATATTATTTATATAGTAGGATTTATTTTATGGATCAGTTGATAGGTGTGATTTTTTTAAAAAGTGCCTATTAATTCTTTGAATTTTACAACCACTCGTGCTTTAATTGGATACTGTTTAATTATTTTGTTAGGTTTAAAAAGAAAAAAATACTAAAGAATAGTTAGAAGTATAGGTACACGATATTATGTGCTCATAGAAAGTTATAAATAATAATACAATCAAATTACTTGTGATAGTTATTATCCTTACGGTAAAAGTAATTTTACATAGCAATATATAGGTAAATTTAAAATTTTAATTTATTCAATATGATGTAAATTTTTAGTATTCATCTCAAACCAAAAATAAATATTGTTTATAACTTACCTTGTTTATTTTATGCACACAATTATATTACGTATATCCAAAGCAATTGTCAAGCACAATTTCGTCTTTATACAAAACAAAGTTTTATGGAATATTTATCTAATTATTGGTGTATTTAAAATAACTGTAAGTTTTAAATGCTATGTATATATTATAGTACTTATAGATTACTTATATAAACAAATTTTAAAATGTTTCGTTTTTTTAAACGTTACAAATTGATTAACTATATTAAGGGAACGTGTGGTAGAACGAGGTGAAACTAGGTTATTTTAATACTTAGGTCTTTTACTGGTCATACTAGTTTAAAAATTTGATACATACGATCCTTGTTCTTAAGACGTCATATAATACAAATTTCATATTTCAATAATAGATTATTTATGCTTTGAATATCAGTATAATTATTTTATCAGTAATATATTAAAATCATTATAGACACCTCTTATTAGTTTTTTTTTGAATAATGTACATAAATAATTGATTAAATTGATATTTTACAGTTAAACTTGCATATTATTTGTTAAACAAGGTTTTTATATGGAGTGTTTTTTCAACATTCTGGCAATAATGTGTTTTACAAATAATTTCAGTAGAACCAGTATAGGGACTGAAGACTGTGTGCGATATAATATTATTAAATTAAATAAAGTTTATTAGTAATATATTTATTAAATGATATAAGTTTTAATTCAGCCGTATTAGTATGTTTTGTGTATTTTATTATAACATAAACTGTTTAAGGGGAAATCCATAGTATACAAAAGGTTGAAAATATGTGAAGCTATAATATTTTGAACATTTGTTTCCAAATAGAATATACAACCGTTATAGGTATTATTTGTTGCTGAAATTTTTGAATTCATTTATAAAGTGCCTATACAGGTACTTTTCTAACCTGTTAACTTTCTAAAATTAAATAAGTAGGTACTTATTGTTAAAGAATAATAATTGTTGTAAACGTCGTTAAAGATACGGTTTTATAATATTATAATTTATTTATTAAAATCATAGTAGATAGGTATAATTTTTAAAAATATTCTTAAAAAAAAATTTGATTAAAAGATTAGTAACTAGAGAAGAATTTAATTTTAACAATGTTTAAAAATAATATAGATAACGGTTTGTTTTCAGCATTTTTAATATTTTCAACGTTAAATTTTGTGACAAATTTAACAAATTTTAGTTTTCCATTTAAATAATATTTGAAATGTTCCTCCAACGATAATATAAACTATATTATATTAGAAGAAACATAATAAAATTTTACTCTTCAATATTTATAATTGCGTAGTTCCATAAAATGTATTAATGTACAGTAGGGATACATTTTCGATAAATTATACCGTTTAGATTGTTTAAAATTAATATTTTTGGTTCGGTATTCGTGGTTATTACAGTTAATATGTACCTACTATAAATACTCGGGATAATATTTTGGTTTTATATTCCGGTATTATAGCTTCTAATCAGTGTTGGTGCCAAGATTTTTTTTTAGGTAGGGTTAATAAGAGGCCAACAATTATAAAATAGGGCCACAAAAAAATGAGATTTCAGCAAAAAAAAACCAATACTGATAGCCTTAATAGGTAAATTCTATTTAACTTCTATTTAATAAACTGTTAAATATAGAACATACATAAAACATATTTAATATAAGTACTTATGAATTAGAAATGTATAGATGTGTATTACAAACAAAAGTATCTCAACAACCAAATATAGAAATATTTTGGACATGTATAATAACTACAATAATGAATTTTATCATCAAACTAATTTAAGTGGACTCTCGTGTTACATTCTGAAATAGTATAGCAAAACTTCGTCACATAAAACATCAACATAGAAATGTAGGAACAATAAATAGGAATATTTAATACTAAAAAATTTTAGGATACTAAAAATTAAAATACATATTTTTATTTTTAAAATGAAAGCAAATAAAAATTTTAAAAATTAAATAGGCTATACTACGTTTTGGAACTTGGAATTTTATACGAATAAAGGATGATAAACTAACAATAAAAAAATTATATAATATCGATTTCAGTTGAGATTGGACACTCGACCTTTTGCAACTGGGTGACTCAATTATCATGTAATATAATTTAGTAGCATATAAAAGTTATATACAGTGAAAATAATTTTTTTTCTGTTATTTTCTGCTTGCGTAAAATTATTATATTATTTTTATACTATTATGTCAAAGTGATAGGGCCATTGATAAGGCCAGGCATTTTCAGGTGGGGCCATGGCCCTACCTGGCTCGTCCATGGCGCTGACACTGCTTCTAACCTTTATAAAATAACTATCAATATTATAATTATACATGATTATTACCCATATAGCTGCTAAATAACAATACAGTTAATATTAGTTGTACCTATATATTGTAAGAGGAATTTTAAAATTAAAATAAAATTTTGAAAGTATTGATATCCAGTGAAAAAAACCCATAGGTAATAGTTGTACTCAGAGCCGAAAAAAAGAGGGAGGGATAATAGGGATATAGCCCAGGGCCCCTCAAAAGAAGCCTCCAGACAAATTTTGGAATTGTAATTTTTCGACCATTGTCCTTTAATAATAATACGTTATTACTCAAATAATTGCAATTTTAAAAAGATCTAACACTGCTAACAGTTTTGTTGTGTGTGAGAACTTCAAAAGTTAGGATAAGTAGGTAGGACAGTCATTCATAATTTACAGCTGTATGAAACGATACATCTTACCTTACGAAATACGATTTTGAACAATGTTTGGTTAAATATGTTGTATAGTTGTTTAATTTTTATGATTTTCTTAAAAATTTAAACTTAAATTCAATTTTTGTTTTGTCTCTTTAGTGAAATTTATGAACTTTAAGTAAAATGTTCAAACATTTCTACTAGGTCTAAATAATAATATTTTCCACATAAAATCAAATAATAACAATAAAAAACTATATAATATCAGATACCTACCAATTACAAAAAAATTACCATAATGTTTTAAACATTTTATCACATCCAGAAAAGGTCGTTACTATTATTATTCAACAGAATTACAACAAAAACTAAAATTTGAAAATATTGAAAACGTTTTTGCCGTAAACTTTCCGTTGTACCTACGTTTTCCCCAATAATTAAGAAAACAATAAGGGAAATCTAAAAACAACGTCATATTGCGTCAACAAGACAAAATGTTCTTTTTGAATGAAAACCGGAGCCAGTTTTTTGGAAAAAAGTTGTATGCAAAAAAATTAAAAATTAAAGTTTTTAAAACTTAGTATAAATATTAACAAAATTTAAAAACGATTAAGTTATAAACAAACATGTACGGTATAATAGCTATAAAGGAAAATGTGTTTTAATTTTTATTAAAATTTGATGCCCCCCGAGAACGGGTCCGCCCTAGGTCAGTAATTTCATTAATCCGGCTCTGCGCGTACTTGCACATGTATAGTGGATGCTATTTGGTAGATTACTTTTGAAAGAGTTTAAACATTATTTTGTAATTATATAGATAAGCATATTATATTAGGTTGTCTTACACGCCAACTCGATAAACACAATAATACATCTTCTAAAAACAGACGGAAACTATTGGATATGAAAACAAAAATGTCTTAGATACCTTACTAAATATTATAATATCACGTTAACAACGATAACAGTACTGTTTTAATTTTAACGCGATAATATTGTAAACGCTTAAATCTTGCTTTTAGAGCATAAATACATAATAATCATAATAATAATAATAATAATACTAATAATACTAATATACTAATAACAATATTTGAAAGTAAAAATAAATAAAATAAAACAATACAATATATTATAAATATTATATGTACACGCGGAATGTTATCGAATAGGTATTGTTAGTTTTTTTACAATACAATATTATATATATGTATATATATGTAAATTATAAATATAATATTAGTCTGTATTATGATCGCGAAGAGATTTCGTACCGGACGGTATTTAATTCGAAATATAGGTATACAAAATTCAAATTATCATTTTTTTTTAAATTTTTTTTTTTTTTTCTGTATAAATGCGGATTAAAACGTGCCAGGTATAATGTTTACGTGGGATTGTAACAGATTTCGAATGAAACAAAACGAATGATTTTCTCTTTGTGTACCGGGTGTCTTGTAAACATATTATTACACACCGTCCGAGACTCGAGAAGCACAGTACATTCCTCTCTAGTCTCGCCGTGCGCTGATTGGTTATATTTATTCGATTTTTTTTTTAGATTGGTGTAATTTGATTCGCCCGTCCGCGTATATTTGTACATTATGTACCCGAAGACGCATAATATGCGTGTAACCTAACCTAATTGTATATGATGGGAAACGTGGTAAAATAAAAATAATGTACGTTTTCGTTTTACGAATTTATACAGACACGTCAGTTCTACAGCATATAATAGGTATATGACATTGTTAATGTCAATTGTTAATATGACGGTGTTAAATGCGAGTTTCTATTTCGATACAACGGGGATTTTCGGTTTGCGTTTCGTAATTCGGGGTTTTGCACGTGAGCGCCGCGGTCGCCGCCGCGGCCCCCGGGCCGACGGTGACTCTGAGCAATGTTTTGTAACACTGTGCGTTCCCGTTCGCCGGCGAGATCATTACCAGCACGTCAGCGCCCGAGGCCGGCTGACCGGACCCCCCGTCGCTTCCGTCGCGCGGCGCCGAACCGTCTTCCGGGTTCCTGACCGGCCGGTGCACCGATCTGCGAAAATCCGTGGTGCTGGTCATCGTGTTCAACGGGACGATCGTGTCCCGGAAACTGGACTGCAGGTCCCTGGACACCCGGTTCCTCCGCTGGCCGCACAGCGTCTCCTGGAACGCTCGTCTGTACTTCATAGACATCAGATTGTACAGGATCGGGTTGACCGTCGACGAGAAGTAATAGAAGCAGCCGGCGATCGTGTATAGCAGTTCGTTCACCTGGGAGTAGTACGGCGAGTTCTTGGCGTACAGGTAGTTGAGCCTCTGCGCGTGGAACGGGGCCCAGCACAGGAAGAACGCTATGACCACGGCCGCTAGAAAAAAGGTCCGGTTTAATTAGTGCACATAACAATATGACGTATAGCTAGGATGGACGGGTCCAACATTTAAAGGGCCGCGTATAGGTTATTTATCAACTCCAAACACAATTTCAAATAAATCTATAAGTAATCTATCATCACAATGGATTTATCTACATAGGTTAATCTATGTCGGTTTAATGTTGCGTAATTTGTTCAAAAACGTGTTACAGAAAAATGGAAAAAAGTCGTTTTAAAATAATCGAGCAAAAATCCATGAAAAACTACGGTAATAACGGTTTCATTACTTTCGATACATGGTAGTAAAATTAATGCGCGCTCCTCGCTTCGCATAGAATCTAAAACAGTCGAGTATTCGCGTGTCGGAAACACGAACAAAAATATCTATTATCACCTTACACAATATTATTGGTGGACAGTCATGCGTCTATGTCAATGTCGGATTGACAAACAGGCCAGAGTTATAATTGTTCTAACGACTCAATTCTCGATCGAGTAATTTTTTCCTTTAAAACATTTCTGAACAACACATTTGTTTGCTACATTTACAAATAGCCTATAGGTAGATTTCACTGAACTTCAAATTTTATTTACATTAGGCCCGGAAATATTAAATGTATGGCGACCCGCCGAGTGTTGATCGGGTCAACTGGTCGGCTCAATCCGGCCCTGGTCGATTATTATTATTTTATTATGTATTTCGATACCGATAAATATAATATTTACTTCACCTTCGAATCTTCGGTATGTACCTATGGGAAAATAATGATCAGAGACAATAATATATTATGACACGCTACACACATAATGCCGCAAGGAACGTCAGTGGAGTATTTATTTAGGATATTTACCTACTATCGATTATTTATGTGTCTACTTATTTTGAAATTTTAATTTTTTTACTTTTAAGACAGAAAAATTTAATAACATTTTAATATTTTAATAGTTTAAATAGTTTATATATAGTTAATAAAAACGCTGAATGTCATCATTTTCTTATTCTTATACGAAACCTATTATATTAATGTAAAAGCTATTAACTACCATCACTTTTAAACAATAAATTCTCGTGGGACACCTACGCGTAATCCTTAGGTACTTGCTATATACAATATTTTCTGAACGATATGCGGAGCTCGTGTATACATATTTGAACATTAATCTATCTTTAAAATGTCCAGACCGAGTAAAAATGATGAAAGTACGTCGAAATTGACATTAAAATCATTTAATTTCGTAGTTTTTAATTTTTAGCGCGTGAAATCGAATTAGGTACAAAATTTAATTTGATTTTAATTTAATATATGCTTACTGCCTAGGTACTGTATAGTAATTATCGTATTTAATGAAATACTATTAGCAATTAAATAGCGAATTTACGTTTTCAGTGGGGAAACCGGAAAATTATGAACTGTTAGTTTTGAATTTTGATATTAGAATTGACCTTTTATCACAATTAAAGGTACGAACATTATCTACGTTGGTACGTTGGATTTTGCAAGTATTTTAACATTTATGCGAGAAATAATAAATTTGTTTTTAAATTTCGATACCTCATACACTTAAATTCATATCTCTGTTAAAAATGAAAATATCGAAAAGAACCCACGTACAAACACAGATTTAATCTGTAACATATAATGTTTTTATCATTAAGTTTTCGATAATATGGCATCAGTTCACGCTAATATTATAATATTAAAACCAACAGCACAAAATTATGCCTGTCAAACGCAAATATGGTAATTCGTGACGAATGTGAGTATCACGTTCTTTTAAATTTAAATTACAAAATATTAAAATAACAACATGTATAAAGTAAAACCAAATTACTCAATATTATGAAAAAAAAGTATTATAAATTGTAAGAAAATTGTGAATTTTTAGTTATAATTACCGAAATAAATAAAATTTGTAATAATATTTCATTACTATTTCATTTTAGGGACATAAGTGGTATGAGCGGACAATGATAATAATATATAAATCATTACGAATTTATTTTTATATAAACTATTTGAGAGTATACGAGGTATAGCCATGATTTTTCAAAAATGTTGAGAATATACAGCGTATATGTAATATATCAAATGGGAACACCACCGGTCCTATGTTATGATATACGATCAGTAGACATTTTTAGTCTGTTACCATGTCTGTACGTACGCTCTAGTCCGGCCCATTAAAAAATCTGAATTATTTTTGCAGAAATATTTAACACGTAATTAGCATGCATTTGCATGATCAAAATTGGAATTTACATGCCATTTGTTTTACCACAAAACTGATCTTTTAGTTTAGCGGGGATGGCGCAACGTTGAACACGGAGTAAATTAAGTTATTCATAGTTTGACTGCTCTAAAAATTAGCCATCGATTAACATGAATTTGTACGACTGATTTTAGAATTCATACCAAATTATTCAACAAGTAAAATCCAGTTTCGTGTTTTTAAATTAAATGTTTAACTAAATCTCTTAATATTAAACTTTAAATATTTTCATTAGTAATTTTAGGCAGGTATATAACTCTTTTTGTTGACCATTCAAAATAGATTTTTTAAAAAATTTCATATTTTACAACTATTATCGTTGGAAAAATTACTTAAAATTAAAATGTACCTAAGTAAGTTAGGACATTCTTTGTTGTTAAAATTACGACGGTTTTCGTTTGTAATACTAAGTAACTTAGTTGAATTCAGCTCTAACCCATGTTACTTCTCTTTTCGTTGGAATATTAACGTTAGTTA